GTGACTCATCGTGTAACGGTGATTCATCGTGTAACGGTGACTCATCGTGTAACGGTGACTCATCGTGTAACGGTGACTCATCGTGTAACGGTGATTCATCGTGTAACGGTGATTCATCGTGTAACGGTGACTCATCGTGTAACGGTGACTCATCGTGTAACGGTGACTCATCGTGTAACGGTGATTCATCGTGTAACGGTGATTCATCGTGTAACGGTGACTCATCGTGTAACGGTGATTCATCGTGTAACGGTGACTCATCGTGTAACGGTGATTCATCGTGTAACGGTGATTCATCGTGTAACGGTGACTCATCGTGTAACGGTGATTCATCGTGTAACGGTGATTCATCGTGTAACGGTGACTCATCGTGTAACGGTGACTCATCGTGTAACGGTGACTCATCGTGTAACGGTGACTCATCGTGTAACGGTGATTCATCGTGTAACGGTGATTCATCGTGTAACGGTGACTCATCGTGTAACGGTGATTCATCGTGTAACGGTGACTCATCGTGTAACGGTGATTCATCGTGTAACGGTGATTCATCGTGTAACGGTGACTCATCGTGTAACGGTGATTCATCGTGTAACGGTGATTCATCGTGTAACGGTGACTCATCGTGTAACGGTGACTCATCGTGAAACGGTGATTCATCGTGTAACGGTGATTCATCGTGTAACGGTGATTCATCGTGTAACGGTGACTCATCGTGTAACGGTGACTCATCGTGTAACGGTGATTCATCGTGTAACGGTGATTCATCGTGTAACGGTGACTCATCGTGTAACGGTGACTCATCGTGTAACGGTGATTCATCGTGTAACGGTGATTCATCGTGTAACGGTGACTCATCGTGTAACGGTGACTCATCGTGAAACGGTGATTCATCGTGTAACGGTGATTCATCGTGTAACGGTGATTCATCGTGTAACGGTGACTCATCGTGTAACGGTGACTCATCGTGAAACGGTGATTCATCGTGTAACGGTGATTCATCGTGTAACGGTGATTCATCGTGTAACGGTGACTCATCGTGGGTATAATTTCGGAATACTAAACAGAAAGCAACTGTTCTGTGATTCATCGTGTTCGGTGATCCGGTAAATCTTCAACATCAACAGAATTCAACGGTTCAAGAAGAGGAACAACAGAAGAAAGAAATTCAAGTGCCCGAAGATCGGTTAATATCTTTTGACTAATTTAACTATTGAAAAGGAGGGAAGAGGAGAATTCTAAAAAAATAAAATTGTGTATATTTGTTAATTTGAAGATGTATGAATTTATATAAAAATATTTTTTTTCGGTAAAGTGATCAAATTAATAAAAATAATTTTTAAATAATAAAAATTTATTAAAACTATTTTTATATATTTGACTAAAAATCCAAAATAAATTTTCAAAAATTAGTTAAAAAAATTTTAGTTAGAATTAAAATTTATATAGAAGTTTATAAAAAAAGCTGCCCCGTTTCATTTTCCAAGGAATGAAAAAATCCGCCTCCTCCATTTGAAGTTGCTACTTCAACATTCACTGGACGATAGGCTAACATACAAGCATCGAATAATCTTTAAAAAAATTAAATTAAAAAAAATTTTTCTCAAAAGGATAGAAAAGCGAGAGAAACACAGTAGCGGGTATAACTAACAATAAACATAAAGAAATGCCCCAGGATGTCGATTCTGGAACTTGGAGGAGCGAGCCAATTTACCTCAAATCGTCCCCTTTACAAAAAAAGTTACGCCGAGTCAAGCCAAAAATTGAGTCGATCCCAATTTCATAAACCTAAGTTACAAGCCCTTGCAGTTCTGGTAGATCGCGATGAGTCCAGGGCTATGTTTTTCTAGTTTCAAATCACGTCCCCATTTTTGTAGAAAAATTTCTAACTCCCAAAGTTCTTGGGGCAGGCAAATTCCAAATTTTTATTTTAACCCAATTCCTATTTTTCTAAAGAAGTTCCCCTTTAAAAAAGTTAACAATCAACAAACCTATCATAACCTTCCTCCCTTGCTTTAAGTAAATTTGTGATATCTTCATCTTCTTTTTTGAGCTTTGCTTTTGCCGCTTCCCATCTAAAAATAAGACGAATTATTAACAAAATTTTTCTTAAAAAACCTTATTTTAAGGTCCATATATTCTTTTTGGAATTGTTTCATTTCTTGTTTTTTATTTTGCAAAACAGGCTCAATTTGTCTAATCGTTTCAATTGCCAAATTAGCTTGTTCATTTGTTGGTAAAGGTAAAAATGTGATTTTGTATTTGACCTAAAAATAAAAAAAATTTTTTGAGCCAAAAAATTTTTCTAAAAAATTTTGAGAAATTTCCAAAAAAATTTTTTTTCAAAAAAAAACCTGTGAAAGAAAATTATCTCCATAAACACAAAGAATATAATTTGGTTGAATCAACTCGGACAAATTGGCGCCTATAAAAATAAAAAAAATTTTTTTCCCAAAATTAAAAAATTTATTTTAACCTTGAGTTTCCAATGCATCCAAATAGTGAAAAGGTAAAGGCGTTTCTTTATCTTCCATTAAATGACTGAAAAAAAATTTAAAAATAATTATTTCTAAAAATTTACTGCATTGGAGAAAATTCAGGAATTTCAATTCTTTGAAAAGGTAGAAAAAACAATTCTGCCGAAGTGCAATGCTTTCGTTTTTGGCTTTCTTTGATGTCACGAACACTCCCATCTTTATCAAATAGCACCAATTTAAATTTACTTTTGGAATGGGATTTGCAGCGAATAATTACTGAAAATGAAGAGGTTATTTAAAAGAGAAAAAGGAAAGAAAAAGAGTAAAAAGGAGAGATTAAATATCCTAGAACAAATTTAAAGTCCTATAACTATCAGGAAATGGCTCCGATCCCAAAATAAATTGGCGTATGGTCATTTCCATCAAATATCAAAAAGGAGACGAAAAATCCCAGTTCGGGAAGTCCAAAAAAATCCAAAAAAATTTCCAATGAGTTTCCCTCTTCAATTATTCCTTAAAAAAGGAATATGGGGAGGGAAACCTTTAAATCAAAAATAATATTCTCCAGAAATAATATTCTCTAAAAAATTAACAAAAAAACCTCCATGTCTAGAATCATTTGAAACATCAAATCTATAAAAATGGGCTTCTTGATTGCTCATAGAATTGTCGATTGGAACACCGGGTATGAGCCTTCTGACACTAAAAAATGTTTAGACTTTAACTTTAAAAAACAATTTAAAAAACCTTGTATCAGACTCCTTTCCTTTACAAATATCAATGGCTTGAGCCAAAACTTTGGGTCGAATTTGTGTTGGGATTTTAAAGCCAAATGAAGATACCTTAAAAAGAAATTTTTTGGAAAATATTTAAAAAAAATTTTCTCCAAGAAATTTTTCAGGAGGGAGATTTAACATTTAGATTAGTAATGCTACGCTTACATAAAAAACGCAAGACGCCGGCGGAAGACGCTCGGCGACAAGACGCCGGCGGAAGACGCAGTTTCGTGCTTACATAAAATCGGCGTCTTCCGCTAAGCGGGAAGACGCAAAGCGTCAAAACGCTAGTTTTATGTAAGCACAAAACAGCGTCTTCCGCCGGCGTCTTGACGCCGAGCGTCTTCCGCAAAAAACTGCGTTTTTTATGTAAGCACTAATTGCGGACTAAATTTATAACAAATATTTTATTGAAATTAAATTGAACAAATAATATTAAATCATTATATCCTGCCATGATACCGATCCAACTTCAATGGTAAAATATTCTACTTAGAGGTCGGCGCGGGACGGGATCCCGACGGGATTTTCCGGGATCCCGGATTTTTGTTATTATCGGGATCATTCGGGAGGTAATTCTTCGGTTGTCGCCCCCCCCTTTTTATGTTTCCCTGACCATTTTGAGAGCTGGGTAGATTGGTACTAAGATCGGTTAGATTTGGCGATTTTGAACAAACTTATGAGGCTAAATCCTCTGTCACTAAATCCTCTTATGAGGCTAAATCTTCATATTCAAAAAAATTTAAAAGTTCGGAACTAGAACAAACTTGGAACAAGTTCTGAACTGGAACTAAGGAATTTAAAAAATGGAGTTCCTGAACTGGAACTACAAAAATTAAAAACCTAGTTCTGGAACTGGAACTAGTTCCAGAGATATTTTGGAACTTTCCCATCAGCCTCGATTTTCCCCAAAACTTTTTGTCTTTAACTATATGGTACGAGCCCTACTCATTAAGAAATGGTCAATTTTTCATGTTTTTGGTATTATTTGATAGAGAATCAAAAGCTCTACAACATAACAAAAAATCAGAATTTTTGACCGATTGATAAAAAAGTTATGATATAAATACTTTTTTATCTCGAAAATCTCAAAAATATCGAAAAAAAAGAATATTTTTTGCAAAAAGTATACGTTTTTCAAAATCAATTTTAACCCATAAGATTTAACTTTAAAAATATAAAATTTATATTGATCGATAGAGAATGAATTGAATTTTCAAAATCTTTTTAAATTTTGAAAATCGGATTAGAATTGGCCGAGAAATGATCAAGACGCTAAAAGTTGCCGCAAAAAATTCAAACATGTTTGAATTAAAAAAAGAGACGCCGGCGTCAAGACGCCGGCGGAAGACGCAGTTTATGTAAGCACTCAAAAAAAGCGGCAAGACGCCGGCGTCAAGACGCCGGCGGAAGACGCGAGTTATGTAAGCACGCAAAAAAAGCGTCAAGACGCCGGCGTCTTGACGCCGGCGGAAGACGCAGTTTATGTAAGCACTCAAAAAAAGCGGCAAGACGCCGGCGTCTTTTACTCTCCTCATTTCCCATTATCTTTTCTGCCGCAAGACGCGCGCGTTTTTTATGTAAGCGTAGCATAAGAAGAAAAGTTAAGGATAAACTAAAAACCGTCAAGCGGAATAGAACCCAGGAACCCATATTTAAATAGGCTAACACACAACCACTAAACCACAAAATTGTTATTCAAAAACTTTTTATAATTAAACTTAACGACAACTAATTTTTATAAAAAAATCTAAAAGCTCACCATAGCTCCAAAGAACCGACCTTTAAAAGTGTTTTTAGATTAAAAAATAATTTCTCAATAATTTACCGAATCCACCAAGTTCAGAAATGTCAATACCCTCAAAATTAGCCATTGCTGTAGACGGACCAGAAACGTTGTATTGTCTTCGTTTGTTTGGGTCAGAAAGTACAGAATAAGCAATGCTTATCATTTTGAAGTGTTCTTGGGCTGAAACTTCTTTTTTTTGAAAAATTCATTAAAAAATTGCAAACCTTTTTCATCTCGATTCTTGTCTAAAATATTAAAAAAAAATTAAAAATAGTTAGTAGAAACTTCAAAATATCCTCCCATTTTTTTTGCTTATTTCACCTTTACTATTTAGTTAACCTCAGACAACTAAAATAACCAACAGGACTAATTTTAGGATGTAAAAATTTACAAAAGGCATCGTGGATCTTATCGACGTTTCAACAAAGAAGGGCCTCCTAAAGTCCCAAAAATTCCGCGAAATAATTTTTTAAAGAAACCTGGATGATACTTCAAAGCCAATTTTCTGTAGGCATCTTTAATTTCCTGTTCACTTGCATTTCTAGAAACGCCCAATAATTCGTAGAAATCTCCAATATCGCTGTTTTTATTTTTATTAGGGGTGTACATTTAATTCTATAAAGTATACGTAAATAGTCAAAGGCTGAAATTTAAAAGCTATTAAATAAATCTTGAAAAGACAGTTTTGAAATTTCAAAGAAAAATGGGTGAGTAATACAAAAGACAAAACAAATTGTCAGCCTTGCTGTCTTTTGTTCACTTTTTTATGTCTGCATTTTGAAGTCCTTCGAGAGAATTTACATTTTGAAATATAAATGTAAGAAATAGCAGAGGAAAAGAAAAAGAGAAAAAAATGTAAAGTTTTTCGCGGTAAAGGTCAATTCAAAGACGCCGATTCGTCCCACTGCACAGAAACCACGATTCGTCCTACCTCAAAACGTCCAACAGACTAAAATACTCAATTCGTCGAACTATAAATTTTAAAATCGGAGTAATCCTACTTGGCTATATATTTCTAGGGCCGTTTGGGGACCTAAAGACCTACAAATATCTGTGACACCCTACAAATTTTGTTAACTGAATTTTTTTAAATGAACAAATTTCTATTAAAATTTTATTCAAAAAATTATAAAATACACAAAATTTTAAAAAATACAAAAATTAAATTCCTCATATCTACCGAAGAGTTGAACGTTGCGTTGTATGTACAAGTACCATATCGTTATGTTCACAGGCTTCGCAGACCTCGTCGTCGTTGGCACCGCCGCTTGGTGTCACCACAAATTTGGCGCCGAACTTTAAAAAATTTCTTCGTCTCTTAAGCCCATAATACCCCCATTTTTTACCACAGGCAGTTATCCTTATGAGATGCACTTAATATTAGATACACCTCCATTTAAGATTCCCTGACTAGGGGAGGGGTGTTAACGCGGACTATTGGGCCTATCTAGTGTCTAAGCTATCAAGTCCAGGCCTACCAAGAACTCCTCTATTTAATATACACACACTATAAGGTACAATTTCCCAAGGGTATGAGCCCCAGTAGTACCTGTTTTGCCAAGTCAATGCATTCTCTACCAGGAAAATGACTTTCTGAGGCAATACAAACACCTTTAAATTGGTCCAACCATTCTTTCCTTTCCTTCTGAAAATTGAAAAAAATTTTCAAAAATTTCTAGAATTTTCAAAAAAAAATTTTTCCACTCGCCTGACTTAATGCCTTAACAGAAGTGGCAAAATAATTATTCCATTGACGTTCAGTAGCCTCAGTTGCTGCATTTTTAGCAATACTATTGGGTTGTAAAAGAGACATTGAGGAAGTATCATCTACTCGAATTCCAGCAACTATAGCATCAATTATGTTTGCCTTTTCGGCTCGGCGAACGTTTGCGCGCCATGGGAGGGAGAGAATACGAGGGTGTTGACGAAGCCACCTTTTAAAGAATTGAAAATTTTTTTAAAAATGTTTAACTAAGGAGTAGGTCTTCTATTTTTCTTAATGGAATCAAGAAAGGACAACTGAAAGTTTTTGGGATACATAAGAGTGTGAGGCAGTTGGGGGGGAGGCTGTTGTTAAGTCCATCCCTTTATCGGAATTTCCAAAAATTTTAAGTTAAATACAACTTCCATTATAAAGTCGACCCTCATTTTTAGATTCACCCAATACTAGACACAATCTTGATTTTCCTAAAAGCTGGTTGAACACTGGACGTGTGTGGGTGTAAATGCGCGTAGATGCTTTCGATGCTTAGATGGTTACGTATTGCTTCCGCAATATCCTCTAATTTAAAAATACCTCAATTTAAGTTTCAAATTTTTTCATCCCATGGGTGTATCTAAAAATGAGGTGTTCAATAGTACTATTCTAGCTTCATCCAGGCTTATGTTAGCCGGATACAGAATTATTTTTCCTCTAATTTTCATAATTTATTCCTCCCAAATTTTAATAAAATGACGTTTCTTCAATTTTTTCCATGTCCTCGTGGGGCCTTTCTTTTAAATTTTAAAAGGAAACACAGGGCCATGTGACTAGCTTATCTTCAATAAATATTTTTTTGTTGACCTAGTACTTTTAAATATTTTTATTTTTTTTGTTATTTCCTCCCTGCGTCATTTCCTCCCCCAAAAAACTTTTTTCCTCGTCCCTTCCCCCAAAAAATCCCTTCAACATTTCCATCAAAAATGTCATCTCTAAAACACTCATAATTTATGCCTAAAGCACTCCTTAATGCTTAAAGTGGTTGCTATATTTGCTAATATATTACAATGGGGAGAAGAGGGGAGACTCGTGGTGATGACGATTATGGGAGGGAAAACAATGAAAATGACAGTCTTTGGACTATTTTCTGCTTTTTTTACGTAATTTATTTTTTAATTTATTCCAAAAAGCCCAATATAAACAATAAATCCAAAAAAGTCTCAAGAACTCCAAGATTATTTTCATGCCCTGAGGCGATAAGAGGAGGGAATCCTTAATATAAAATGCGGAATCTTCTATAGGGATGGGTTATTTTTTATTAAAATGCTCTATAGGAGATAACGTGTACTCGATTAATTACTCTGTTTAATTATTTTTTCGACCTTCACTTAGAGGGGACAATTAACCGAGTTTTTTTAAACGAGCGGTAGGGCATTTGAGGCATTAGTAGGGCAAATGAGCGGAAAAGGATTCCATCGCTTCTAGACCCTATTAGTTTTTCTTATAGAAGTAAAGGAGATCGGAAGTATAAAAAATCTTGATCTTAACCTTTATTTTGGTTGAGGACAATGACCTTGAGTCAAAGAAGAATCAAGGACTAAAAAAAATGTCTTGATCATGACTCTAGATCCAGGAAAGACTCTAGATTCATGTCTTGATTAAGGTTATCGGATAGTTGGAAATCTTCGGATATCCGGACCCGATATCCGAACCCGATATCCGAACCAAAAATTTTGGATATCCGGTCTTTTTTCAGATCCGGATATCCGAACCCGACAACCTTAGTCTTGATCCAGATCCAATCTCTAAAAAATACTACAATAATAGCTTAGTTTATATTTTGATTGACTTTTAAGAAAGCTCAATTTTTAATTTATTAATTAATGATAGAAGGGAGAGGGAGTCTATTTCTATTTAATTAAATAATATTTTTAAATCACTCCCCTCTCAATCAATTTTCGTACAAATTCCCGCGACAAAATTACCAACTAAAAAATTAATTCTCTTATCTTCCCCCATTTTTCTTGATATTTTTTTATCATTTATTGTCCATTTCCGTACTTTTAAATAATAAAACGATTAAAATGGCTGTCATTTAAATACCCTAATAAAAAAAGAAAAGCCCTTAAAAACACACAAAAGTGTCCAAATAAAAAAATAAAAAATAAAATTTTGCCCCCTCGAATGTTTGTATTGAACCTAAATAAAATTTCTAGACCTATTAGTTTCTTAGAAAAATTCCAAAAAAATTTTTCAACAAAAAATATTAAGAAGAAAATAATTTTTTGTATGAACGACAAAATTTCTGCAAGTCAAAATTTGATTAATTGCTGCGTTCGTTTGGATCCGCAGCATTGCTGAAGAGAATTTTGAGGCTTTTAAGAAGTCTAACTACCCCAAAAACCTTCCAAAGACCTTCAGAAACTTCCAAAAATCTCTCCAAAATTTTTCAAAAAATGACTGAAGTAAACTACAAATCCCCGTCCTCACCAACTTTCTTTCCCAACAAAAATTCCTTTTTCAATGCTTACACCTTTTTCTTATCCTATTTGTCAATAATGAGGATTTACAACTTTAATAAACCTAAAAATAACAAAATTTCATCAATTACTCGATTAACTGGCTTGCTTCTAATGCTACTGCAAGCGGTAATACCGACCACCGCAAATTTGATTTTCCATCAAAGTAGGGTATTTTAGAAATTTTTTAAAATCATTCTTAAATATTGAGGGAGGCTATAGGTTCAAGAAAAACTCAAAAATAAAATTAAAATAGAAAAAATAAAATTTCTAGCCCAAAATCTTTGAGAAAATAGGAGGCGTGTCAGAAAAGATCGACCTAACTTTTTCAACCATAACTTGAGTTTTACTTAACCAAAAATTCTGAAATTCGGGGATTTGTTAGAAAATACTCTCAAAAATGCCTTTACAAAATTTCAGAATTTTAAAAAATCTAGAAAATTTCATACAAAAAAATGACGGTGGTTTAACTCTTAAATAGACATACGCCTATCTTTTCAACATAACTTTGAAAATAAATGCCCAAAAATTCTGAAATTTGGAGGTTTACTAGAAAATACTCTCAAGAATAAATCTGCAAAATTTCACATTTCTAGCTAAAATTTAAGCTATTCTATAGAAAATTAACTATAAAAAATTTTCAAGTTGAAATCGGAAGCGATTGTATGAAAGCAATGTGCCTAGCTGACAGTGGGTGTATTCAAAAAGGATGCAGCCGAGATGTTTTTGATCGTTTGGGTTGTGGGTATTTTAGAATGAATATTTGGCAATTTAAACAATGCTATGAACCGGGAAGGCAAATTGGGGAAGATTCTGGTAGGTTAATTTAATCGGATTAAAAGAAATTCTGATTTTAATTCTGAAAAAATTCTAAAAGAAAAATCAGAATTCTGATGAATTCTGAAAAATATTCTGAAAAAAATTCTGATAAAAATTCTGATAGGAAAAAATCAGAATTCTGAAAAAATTTTGGAAGACAATCAGAATTCAGAAAAATATTCTGGAAGAATTCTGAAAATTCTGATATCAAAAAAGCTTCCGAATTTAAAATTCTGATTTTTATAAACTTAGAAAGTGCTTGGATACGGTGTTCTGAAGACTACGAATGTGCTTCTAAATGCATTGTGCAAGTAGCGAGCCGTTTCCGGCTTAAATGCTACGGGAAAAGTGACTGCGAAACTATAGCTAGGCTTCATGATGGCGGCGCTAATGGGTTTTTAATTGGAAAAAATTTTTTTAAATTTTTAAAAATTTTAAGGTGTCGAACAGGGGATACTTTGCCCTATTGGGTGACTGTAAAATCGTTTTGCCCAGACTGTTGAGGAATTTTTTAATGAATTTTGATTTCAATATGATTTAATATTCATCGGAAAATGAAGCTCATTTTTGTGATTTTCTTATCAATTTCTTTCTCAAAATTATTTTGTCTGTAATATGTTAAACTGAGGAACTGTGAGTCATGTCGAAAAGTTCAAGGACATAATGGAAGGGGGACGTGACAATAGTACCTTATCTGATTTTTAATTACTGCCCGAGGTGATATTGGATGGACTCGACTCCGGTTATACTTCTAGGCTTTTATGTGTGTGGAATGGTTCCCTTACAATCCAATAAACCAAATTAATCTTCATAATTCACCCTACCAATTTGCTGCCTTTTCCCCAGCAAGTCTAGTACAGTTTAGTCTACTTTGTTGTCCAGCACCCATTCCAATAACTTGCCCTCGATATGCAAAACAAACAGCATCACTTTGCGTGTATTTAACGGCTACACAGGCAACCTGAATTTTTTAATTAAAATTTCTTGGCTCTTAATCCCTCGAAATCCCTCACCAATAAATCATCCACCGTCTCAGCAGTAATTTCCCCTCCATCCCCAACAGCTACATCAGTAAATGAATCAGTAGAGAGAGCAGCAGCATTGCGCTTTTGTTTTAATTTGAGGCCAAAAATTGTGCGGACTTCGTCTTCAGCGGGAAGGTTTTTTGGGTCAATCTATTTTTGAAAAAAAAATTTTTTTTGAAATTTTAAGATCCATTTTCACTAGTTTTTCAAACATAACTTTCTGATTACTTGACAAAAAATTTTAAAATTTATAAAGAAGGTAGACAGGTTTATTGGGTATAGTCATGCAAAATTTCAGTCCTGTACGTCTTCGCAAAGTTGAGATATTCAAGTTCGCGCCATAATGGTCAGGCGCCGTAAAGACCCCAATAAATTTCAGAATTTTACAGAAATTCTGATTTTTATTCAGAAATTCTGATTTTTTCAGAATTTTTTTTTCGAAAAATTTTAATCCCCTTACCCTTAAAATAATATAATTTCCATTTTTCTTTTTTGCCAACATAGACAAAGCTTGGTCATCATAATCTGGAGCAATCACCCCATCACTTATTTCTCTACTAATTAATCGAGCCGTAATTTCATCACATTTTTGTGACAAGGCAATAAAATCGCCAAAAGAAGACATTCTGTCTGCACCTTAAATTTAAGGGGAAAATTAAATTCAGGCCTTTAAAATTAAAGAAAAATTTTGCAAAAAGTAGAAGGAAAAAAATTTTTGAAGGTGAATCGGTCTTCGAAGCGTTTAAGCTCTCTCTCTCTCTGTTGAGTGAGAGCTTGAGTGAATTCTTATACATATTCAAAGGTTTCATAGACGTTCACTACCACAAAAAAGAAAAAAGCGAGAAAACAAATTTAAAGGCAATTACTATATTACCAAAAATTTTCTTCACTAAAATTGTGTTGTGTGTTCTGATATGCCAATATTGTTCTAAAGATTTGATAAACGGAAAAATAAAGGAGACAGTTTTATTAAATTAGGTATAGATTTTGTTAGAAAAGAAGTTAATTATGTGTTAGTATATTTTAGTTATCTACTCCAGATACAAGGGTACACTAAAAAACTAGACAGGGCTAGGGGTGCCATACAAGACCAAGATCAATGACTCGAAAAATCTCGATCCTGATAACCGATATTTTCGGTTGAGATCTAGTTTTAATCAGGTCTCGAGGGAAAAATTGGAATCAGTCTAACACTTATATCCTAATATCCCCTCACACCCGGAGTCCCCCATAAATATGTATTTCATTTCTCTTTTCCAACCTCTTGCCCTAGCAAGTGCTGATGCCAGCGATGGACGGCGAGGGTCTATCGACAAGTCTGCCACCTTTAAAAATTAAATTTTAATCTAGAAGAGAAAAGCTCCATCTAAACCATTAAGGATTGTGCTTCAGTATCATTTAGAGGGACACCGATTGCTGCACCTGCTGGACTGACATGTTTGAAGGATGCAGCTGCAGGTTGACCTGTTGCTTCTGCCAATTCTGATACTAATTGCCAGGCGTTTAACCCGTCGAGAATATTTATGTAGCCTGGCGACCCGTTTAAGACTAGAAAATTAAAAATTTAAAGAGACTCTCTAATAGAAAGGATAAGCTCTCCAATAATAAGGCATCTTTCTAATAGTAAGATATCTAGCTCAATAGGGCATTTCTAATAGTAGGAAAAACACTCTCTAATAATAAGGTCCTTTGTAATAATCAAAAAGGCATCTCTCGGCACTCTCCAATAATAAGACATCTCTCTAATAGTAAGGCACTCAATAGTTAAACAAACAATTCACCTTTAATTGGCATATCCATTTGTAAGGAATACAAATCTGCTTCGTTTCCGTCTTCTATCACAGCGTTAGAATTACCGTTTAAACGATAAGAATCATAAGGATCATTTTGACGTCCAAGAGAGTTATTTGCATGTTGTCCAAGCAGTTTACGTCTCATAAATCTTCCACAAAGGCCATCGTCCAAATGAGAGTGGTGACAATGACGGCCACAGGAAGAATTTTTCTCGAAGGCCTGGGAAGGGGTTTTGAAATTTTGAGGAGATTAAAAATATTTTTGAATTTTTTGGCAACTTTTAGAAGGACTAAGGAGGGTTTATATTACTTGTTTTGAAGTTAAGATGTACGTACATAGAGGCGGAAATTAAGGTTTAAGAAAGCAAGAATAAGTTGAACTTTTAAGTGGATTAAAAAAGTAATGGAAATGAGAAAATTAAATTTTGTTGACAAAAATATTTTTTGTTTTTCTTACCGCAACAATTCGAAGAAAGAAGCTAGAATCAAGCAGTCGAGAGTGTGACTTTGACCTGGAGAAAACGTTTTTTTTTCTGATTAATATATAATTTTTAAATTATTCTGACTAATAATTCTGATTTAGTAAAAGAAATTCTGATTCTCTTAGTCGATGATTCTGATTTTTGTAACCAGAATCTGTGAGCAGAATTCTGATCATTCTTGTCAGGTATGCAATCAGAATTCTGATTTTTCCTGTCAAGTATACAATCAGAATTCTGATTTTTAATCAGAAATTCTGATAAAATTATTTTGATTTTTTCAGAATTCTGATTTTCAGATAAAAAATTCTGATTCTTTTGTCAACCTTCTTCTCGCGGAAAGAAACTTCGCCACAGAAGGGAGTCTCCCTCTAGGTCCCCCAGGCGATCCATGCCCATAAGTACTGCTACAACTCTTATTAATTGAAGAAGTACTGGGTCCCCCATTTTGTTGCAGTTCCAAATCTTTTTTTCTTTCATCTTCCAATGCTGCAGCCACTCTTAATCGGGCCATTGAAGAAATTCTGGACATTTTTAAAATGTGTCAGTAAGACGTTTTTGGCGTTAGTTAAATTTTTTTGGCATTTTTTGGCGTTCTGTTATTTTTTAAAAATAATTGTTGGACTTGTGTACTTATTGTTGTTGTTTACTTTGTTGTTTTGTTCCGCGTTCAGAAATTTTTTTTACTTTAAAAAATTCTTCTCTAATGGCATTCTTTCATTATTTATCTCTCGAAGAGTAAATAGGAGGATTGGATGAATCGCACTAAAATTTTCTTCTTTTTCCCCTTTTCTACTTCCCTCTATATCTATGCCTCGATGGTTTTACCTCTATAAAATTAAATACTAAATTCCCAACTCATTCCCCGCCCATTGAAGCATACTTTTTGGGGCTTTATTAAGTCAAATTTGGGAGGAGTACAAAAAAGGGGCTTTACAAACGGGGTTTTAAAGGTAGGATCTAGTATAGGTTGATTATATAATTAAGGGTTGAGAGAGTCCATGTTGGATTAGTGTCTAGGATAAGTCCTCTGATGGTTATATCATCTTAGGTGTGAGGACCGACTGTTAACTATCATGGATATAAACAGTCTGATCTTACTATAAGATACACCTTTTGTGTTGAACCTCGATGATTTTACCTCTAAGCAAACACTTGCATCCTATGATAAGGTGTATCTTGCTTAAATAGGGAATAAGATTGGGGATTATCGCTTAGGCATCTCTTCTGACTTGGTGGCCAATCTTTAAACGACATATTCTAAATTGGAGTTATTTAATATTAAAGGCCCGACTGTTAACTACAGTGAGGTCTGACTGTTAACAAAAATACAAAAAATATCCATTCCCAAAAAATTCATTACAAGTCTAATCTACTCAATATCCTTCCCCCCCCCCCTCCACAAAATATCCTCAACAACAACCTTTCCCCTCACATTTTTAGCCCGTTCTCTCTCCCCTTCCATATATTTACACCAATTCCCAAAGTCCAAATATTTTCACTACATTTCCACCAATTTTCTTTTTTTTTTAAAAAGTTTGCATTGCGAGACCATTGAGCACACATCTTTTTAAAAAGTAGAAGAGACCACTCTCGCTAATTTACTTCACAAAGCTTTTTTACCTCATGTGTTTTTTTATTTATTTTAAAGGGAGAGAATTGACTCGCGCCGTTTTTTTTGGTGGTAGAGGAAATTGGCGGTTTTTTGAGGGAAATTTTGATGACTGGGAATATTTTGAAGAGAAAAATAAGGGGATGGGAAATAAATAGGAAAAAATAGGTTTAAATTGATTGTAATTTTTAAATAAACTTTTGAAGAAAAAACAAAAAAAAAAATAGAAATTGAACAAGTTTGAATATTTTGGAAGGATATAGGAGACTGTTAAGGAAAAGTGGATTTTAAAGAATTAGACATTTGAACAAGGTTAATGGGGGATAAGAGAAGGGACCTAATTCTTTTTTTTGAATTTGGGATCCGGCTCCAGAAAAACCCTGGCCGGATCCCGTGCCGATCACTAATAATAATCTCAGACTGGATGGAGGATAAGGAATTTTGGACTGGTGCTAATCCAAACAGAAAATTCTTATATAATTTTGAATTGTTCTAAAAATATTCTTCTCTCCCGAAAATATTCTCAAAAAAAATTTTTTTTTGTATTTTTGAGCCAAAAAATCCAAAAATCGAACCTACTTTTTTTCTCCAAAGCCAACTTTGGTGTTTGATTTTATTTTAGTTGTTAGAAAAAAATTTTTTTTAATATTTTTCACGTACTAAAAATTATTTCAGGTGGAAAATTGAGATTTTTTAAAATAAAAAGAATAAAATAAACCAAAAATTTCGTTCCCTTTTATGGACAAAACCAAAAGTTAAATGAAAACCTTTCATTAAAAAAACTCAAAAATACCACCCCTAACCTTTAATTTCATGAATGAATATTCATGAGAATAAATAAATAGAAGGGGAAAAAACTTATTTTTGGAAATAAAATTTTTTTGGAATTTTAAAAGGATTTTTTAAAAGATTTTTTTTTGAAAAAAACCTAAAAATAAATTCAAAAAATGCCCAAAAATTTTTATTTAAAATTAAATTTTTATAGGTATATGTAGGTCGCGAATAAATTCTAAAATTTGCGGAAAATTTTAAAAAATAGGAAAAAATAATTAATAAATAAGGTAATTCTGTCTTTGCCCATTTTTTAAATTTTTTCCTAAAAAATTTTTTAAAATTTTCCCGCCAAAATATATATGTATAATTTGAATAAACACCATAAATATTTTTGTTTTAAAAATACAAACTCAAAATTATATTTAAATAAAAATTGGTGGAGGGTCTACAAGGGGGGAGATCAGCAAAAAACTTTTTTTAATTAAATTTAAAATTTCAACCATTAATCTCCAGTGCTCATCAACAATTCCTTCCTGCGTTCTGCCAACTGTTCCGCTTTTAATTTCAACTAAAAATTTAACCAAAAAAATTTTTTTTCTAAAATTTCCAAAAAAACCTCTTGCAATTTAATTTCCTCGTTAGATAAAGCATGGTGATACGTGTCAATCTTCTTTCGAATTCCCTCAATTTTTTTGGACCCATTAGCAATAGACGACTGCACAGTGAGTTCCTCTTGACACAAAGACCAAAGTAAAGCTTGCTATAAAAATTTTCTTTTAATTTAAGCAAATTGACCATTTTGAGACATTATGGGAATTTTTGCGATTTTCAAAAGCTTTAAGGTTTTTTGTGGTCAAAATTTTTTAGAATTTCTAAAGGGCCGGCTATTTTAGTTCCGAGAAAATTTATAATCAAAAACCTTCTTTTTGTTCTTCTCATCTTCAGAAAACTCCTCCGCCGTCTTTATTTTCTGCCCATTAACAATGTCAGGAGGACTTTGGAATGATGGGATGTCATCCTGAAAAAATAAAAGAAATTTTTAATGGAAGTTTTTGATATGTAGTACACCCCGTCCCCGATACAAAAGTCAACCCCGAACTCCTACATGCTCTCCCTGGAAAACCCCGATCCCGAAGGATCGGAGTGCTATAGTTTTAAAATGTGTGAACATCTATTGATTTCAACCAAATTTTCCCGAAGGCTTAAGTTCTCGAATTATTCCCCAACCCTCATTCAAATAAAAAATATTTTCAAACCTCAGTGTTCGCCGGCACTTCTTCAGCTTCCTGTTTGACTATCTTATTTCCAACACTTTTATTCTCAGCAATTCTTTTGTTGTTCTTGACACTAGATGAATCCGTCGGAGGAGGAGATTTTGAAGGAGGAACAGCAACATTATTATTTGGTTGGAAGTCGTTTGGAGATGTATTGGTTGAACGCATTGGCATGAAAGGGTTCGGCGGAGGAATGTGTGGATTAAATGAAGGAATAGGTCCATAAGATCCAAAACTGAAAATAAAAGAAATCCTTGTCATATACACAAAACAGTCAAAATTAGCAATTAAACCGCCATCAAAACCTGACAGGCCCAGAAAATACCCAAAAAGGCCCACACCGGAGTTTTGGATAAAAGGCCCACACCGGGGTTTTAGATAAAAGGCCACAAATATTGGGAGAGGGAATCGTTCACGAAAATTTATTATTGTCAGATTTGCCTAAACCTGTCAAGATCTCTTCCCTGATTTAAATTGTTTGTCAGAACAAGACTAGAGGTCCAGAAAAAATACCGAACGAACCCTGGTTCTAAAAGGAGAAAAAAGGCTATGACAGGTTCCAAAATATTAATAAGACTCCCATTTTTAAAAGTAAAATTAAAAACCTTTCCAGAAGATGCATAGGAGGAACGGGAAACATAAAAGAAGGTCCAGACGACATTGAGATTGGAGATTCATGTCGATGCTCCTAAAAATATTTAAATCAAAATACTAAAAAATATTTTGAAAATATACAAAATTGTTCCCAATTCTCTGCGAAGCAACATCTTCCAAAAAATCAATAGGACAACCAGAATGACCATTATTAGAGTCAATGAAATTGTTGCTTCAAATAACAATTTCATCAAAAAATTAGTGAATATCTTAGAGATTTAAATATTAAAAAATCCAGAAACTACCCTTACAAAGCCATTTTTAAATTAAATCTTGAACTCTTTTAACTAGTGCGCAGCAAGATCGATTTTTCCGAAGTCGGTCGCGGATTTATAAGCAGAGCCGGACCAAAGCCGGGCAGATTCTTCTGGATTAGCCATGTCAGAAAATAATCCGGAGGGGACGAAAGAATCCAAATTTGGGACCCTACTCCGGAAAACCAAGCCATGTCCGGAAAAATTCGCGCGGACCCGCTCCGGGCACCACGCACAAATTTCACTATTAATTAAACAAAAAAACCTCTTCGAGCCTTTACTTGCTTCCTCATCCACAAACTTTTTGTTTCGTTCTTTAAACATTTCCTGAGCCTTAGAATGTTTATAGTTTGCGATTTGTTTTGCAGTGATTGAGTCAAAATTGGTGGGAATTTTTAATGCCTTCCTAACGACGTTGACAGTTGATGGATTAGTTGAATTATTATTAACTGTTGAGTTGGTCATAGCGTCTTTTTTAAACTTTTTCTTGAAAACGTTACGTTCAAAAATAATGTCGTTAACCATTAATTAAAGTTACAATTCTTTTTTAAACACAAAACTGAAAAGAAAATTATTAAATTTTTGGAAAAAATTGGAAGTTAATCAAGGAAAATGTGAAAATAGTGTGTAGAGATGGTTAGAGAAAAAAATTACATAACGCCAAAACTGTGCCAAAAAATAAATTTTGTTCAAATTTAAAAATAAAAGTACCTACCCAAGCTGATTTAAAGCTGTATAACTCAAAAACTAATGGACGGATCTTTATAATTTAAAAACCATTCGATAGAGAATTTGTTAGGCTACAAAATATAAAAAAACTAAAATTTTAGATAAAATATTTTAAAAGTTGTAGTCAAAAAATTAACATTCTTTACAATTTTTGCGAAGGTTTCTCTTTATTTTTTTTTGTTAATTTGCCAAATTTTTTTTCTATTTCGCTAAATTTAATTTTACTTTAATTTATCAAAAATGCAGTTTTTTAATTTTTAAAGTAAATTTTATTTTTGTTTTTGCACAAAATACACAAAATTTTTGAAAAATTGGCCTTGATACAAAATTGTAAAATTCATTTAGTTGATCGGATGCAATTTTCAAACATTTTAAAGGTTGATTAACTTAGTGGAACGTGAAAATATACAAAACAGAGTGATAAGTAAATTATAGTTCAATTAAAAAATTTTTTTCTATGAAAACATACTACACTTTTTGAAGGTCATTCAACCCCTATTTTCGGCGAATTTATCAAATTTTTAAATTTAAATTTGCGGAAATTATTTACTACAAAATATAGAGTAAATTAAAATAAAAATAAGAAATATTTTAGCGTTCTGCCTCATGAAAAAAATTTTTTTCTAGAAAAAATGAGAGATTTTTTCTAGATCGTTTAAACAAAAACAAGAAATATTTAGTCAAGTTTTATTGCTGATTTAATTTGTAGTTTGAAGCTGAAGACCAAATAAGTTTAAAAAAAGTTTAATAAATGTTTACTATAAAAGGCCTAATTAAATAGCCATTTTTAACACTTCCAAATTTCTTAAAAATCTTTTAAAACAAAAATATTGCCAAAAATGCTTTCTTACAAATTTACTCTTTTTGTGATTTTCTTTCTATTCGTTTCTGTTGCCATTGCTGATTTGACAGCGGATAATGAAGGATTAGTAAAGCAAATGGATAGGAGGTAAGGGGGCCGGCTCCAAGCTGGGTTAGGCGGTTTCTCAGTTCATAATCAGCCGAGCAAAATTTTGAAATTGAAATTCCACACCGATCGACCATCCCTAGATATAAGAAAGTTATGAGAAGGACCTAGTATTCTTGGTATTTTAATGATTTGCCCTTATTTTAAGGTCCCAGGGTTGTACTAATCCTCCCTTCTAATCATTTAATTATATTTCTACCAATCATATTTTCCAATTAAAGTGTTCGTTCAAAACGTTATGGCTACTATTATGAATGTTGTTGCTGCTATGGTGGATATGGGTGGGGAGGATATGGGTATTGGTGAAAAAAATGAATTTAATTAAATAATGTGATTATACTGTAGGATCTTTTGTCATTCAAAATTTTTGTTAAAATTTTTTAAAAATTGGATAAAGCTATGAAAGTATTCTTGTCAAAATTTGAGCATAATTTAAGCATAATTTTGAGCAAAAAATAAAGAATAAGCGGAAAAGAAAATAACTCAGGAGAGAGAGAGAGAGTGTGACTGTCAATAAGATATTGATTTTGGGTTGAAGAGAGAAAGAATTTCGCAATAAAGTCATCCTATATTTTATTGCTAAACAAAGTAATTTATTGTTTCCAAACAAAAAATTTAATTTTTTTCTCCTTTAAAAGCACGATCTTTCGCTCTTCTATAACCAGAAATCCGGAAAATTTTTTCTGAAAATATTAAAAACAATTAAATCAGCATATTCCGGAAAGGGTTAGACAAAATAGGAGAGAGTGTGTAGCTGTCAGCAATTTTATAAGAGAGACAATCCGGAAAAAGAAAGTTTCCAACCTTTTACTCTTACAATAGACTTTTTCAACCTTTCATTTTTTAATAAAAATTTTTTTTTCAATTTTTTAGATTTTAAAAGCTTAAAATTATTAAAACCAATGGATATCGATTCTAAAAATAAAAATATTTTAAGGTATTAAATTTTAATAAATTTTTTAAATTAATTAATTTATTCCAGAGACTCTCTCTCCTCGGAGGTTTTAACGGACATTTTCTCTTTTTTACCCCGAAAAAAATTAATTAAAAATGTCGAGCCTGTCAACAAATATTTTTTTGAACTTTCCAAAGAAAATGTCAAATCTGCCCATTTAATTACAAAAAATGAAAATTTTATCCAAAATTTGGCTAATAATTTGGAAGAAGCCAAACAACAATATTTAAATTTATCTTCAAGTGACTGTAGTTTGGCTGAACATTTTGCTTTAAAAAATGTTTTTAATGTTGTAATTAGCAGTGATGAGAAAACGAATAATCCACCTCAATATAAGGTTTTAAATTAAAAAAATTTTTTTTTGACTCCCCAGGATAGTAAATAAAAGTCCGAAGAATGGGTTAGACAAAAAGTGAGAGAGTGTGTAACTGTCTGTAATTCTATAAGAGAGACATTCCGGAAAAAGTTTTCCGGAAAATATTTACAGAATTTAAATCAGTTCGGGAATTGGTTAGACAAAAAATTAGAGAGTGTGCAACTGTCAGTAATTTTATGAGAGAGACATTCCGGAAAAGTTTTCCGGAAAATATTCCCAGCGTTTAAATCAGCAGTACGGAAAAGTTTAGACAAAAAGTGAGAGAGTCTGTGATTGTCAGTAATTCTATAAGAGAGACAATCCGGAAAAGTTTTCCGGAAAAAGTTTTCCGGAATTTTGGAAAAAAATTTTTTTCCGTCCGGAATTCCGCTTTAACCTTACACAACTTTCCAAAAAAATAATTTTCCAATTAAAAAAAATTTTTTTTCTATCAAGCGTCGTTGTCGCTACCAAATGTGTGTTTTGCGTCATTCATTAGACATTTTTAAAAATTGTTTCATCAACATAGACACGTTAGATTTTGGGAAGAGCTTTACTGACTCAGATTTACAAGAAATCCTTGCCTATTTAAATATTTTGGATTCTGTTTGCCCTTCTAGAATTACGTTAGAATTACATCATTCAATCCATCAAACTCCAGTTCATTTACGGTATCAGATCTGTCAGGTAAAAATCAAAAAAGTTTTTTTTCCTGGTACTATAACGCGGAGCAATGCAGTTCAGATCAGGGATGGGCGAAATTTCGTTTTGTTTCGCTCTTTTGTGGCCTTTTTCCATTTTGTTTCGAAACGAAATAGACTAGATTTTTCGGGCCGGCCGAGCCTTTTTCGGGTCATTTGGACCGGGCCGGATGCCCCCAACCCTAGCTATAATGGTGAGGGGGGGGGTGTTGTGGTAAAACAGAATGTTACCATTTTTTAAATACATTTCAGGAGCTATTAAATAACCAAGCCATTCTAAACTGTCAACTACTCGAAATTTTCAACGACAAAATTTTTAATGAACCAGGCGTTGATTCAATATTTGACTGGCTTCATTATAAAAAAATTAATTTTGGTAATGCATGCCGTAATTTGTGTCTTATGAAATATAATATGGCTAATGAATTAATTGAAAAATGCAAAAAGGCAAGTTTTTCGGGAAATAAAAAAAATTTTTTTGATGAGACATTCCTGGTATCTAACTGGAGTTACATATGTTTTAGGCTTGAAATTTTACCAAGTCTTCTGACCATTTCTAAAATAAAATTACCAATCAAATAAAAATTTTTTTTCAAGAATTTACTCGAGTCAGTAAGTACAGAAGATTGCCGTTTTTATTTATTAATATTTCATTCAAACAAAATTTTGAATGAATTTTCTTTGGAAAATCCAAAAAGTGGAGAAATTATTTTAATGAAAAATATAAAGGATGTGAGTGTTGAGGAGGAAGTCAAGTGTTATTCGTTAACAAGATGTCAATTAAATATGGAGGAGGGAGTTATTCGAAATTATTTTTCAAAGCTGTTTGATACTAGATTTGAAAGTTTACCTTTAATTCGGATTCATTAAATAAAAATTTTTTGTTGAATTTATTTATCTATTGAAGGGTATTTTTTATTAAATTTTTTTATTAAAAATGGAAATGAGAATAATAAACTATTCAAAACTAAAATATTCTAGTATTCAATAACCGCGTATCTTCTCAACCACCAGTGACGCCTTTTCTTTCCGGGATGCCTCGTCGGCGGCCTGTGTCTTCGTCTAATATAAGGTATTCGCCTGGTATATGTTGGCCTTTTAGGTCGTCCGGTCCGGCCCGGCGCCGATCCGGGAGCCGGGATACCCATGCATCACTACCGTGTAGTAATTATGGCCTCAAAAAACAAACTAACGTTTTTCGGCATCTGTTATTTCTAAAGGAGCAGAATATTTTTCAATTTCACCATCCAAAAATACAGGAATTGAATTTTCTATTCCAGATTTCCACTAAATTTGATTTAGGTAAGTTAAAAAATATTAAATTTTTAACTTTTTTCTCAAGATGTTCACTCAATCCAAAATTATAGAATTTAGGGGCTGGTTCAAATAATTTATAGTCCCAGTGATATTTCGAGTGCTGTAGAAGGAATTCTGAATAGAACTCAATATTTATTCTGCTTCATACAATGCTTGAGTTGAGCAGTCAAAAAAGCTTGGTATGGAAACACAAAAATATTGGATTTTTCGTTATGAAATGAGACAGGTTTTCTTTTAAATATTTCTTAACTAAGCTTATTGGGTTGGTTCGATCAAAAATTATCACATTTATCAAAAATTATCACATTTTCGGTTTCAAAACCAGACGCGCCCAAACTTAATAGGTACTTATTTGGTACCCCAGCCAGTCTATATAGTTTATATTTTGCCTTAATATATACAGAATAGTCAGACTTTATTTATTCATCAGATTGACACCCTATACCATGAGTCACCAGCTCACGCAATTGGGACTAGGCCAAAGTTGGGTGGGTATCTGTATTTGCATTTAAGAAATTATAAGACCACGCATTTTATTGTGGTTGCAAAGTTCCAACTGATTAAATGGGTTGGAATTTTTACCATTATTAGATTTTCTATAAATATTAGGATATTGAAAGTTCTAAGACTATTTTTGACCATTCTGTAAATATGAAGGGAAAATAAAAACAAGACTAAGAGAAGAGGGAGTGGGACAATATAAATATGTATCATCATAGTATCACAATAAAAAATTAATTAATTTAGTTAATTAATTTAGTCAATTAATTCTCTTAATTTCAACAGCAGATTTGTCGTCCTCCTTTTTAATATAAACGGAAAACTTCATTGAAAATTTGATATTTTGTAATTTTCAAATAATTATTTTGAAAATTATTGTTGTCAAGATTAATTTCAATATTTTCTGCCCTTTCACTTATATTTAAATGACCAGTAACGGAATCTAATTTAATTTTTTTAATCATTTTTGAAAAGTTTTTTGATGTTTCTATATGCTGAAATAAAATTATTTTAAATTCTTTTAAATATTCATTTTTAAAATCTGATAAAGACTAGAAGTCCGATAAAGATTCCTTTTCATCTTATGAGGCATAATAATAAATAAAAGGAAAAATGAGCGAGCACTTCACCCAACACAAAAGATGCAGTAAAGGGAATTTGCGGACAAGGGAACCGCTCAGAAAATATTAAAAAAATTTATATTGTATTGTTTTATTTATTCTCTATATATTTCCGACCCTATACGCAAATAAGGGTCGAATCGTTTTTTCCTTCATTTTTCCTTTGGTTAATTTTCCTTAGTGGAAAGGAGAAATGAAGGAAAAAACGATTCGACCCTAATTTGCGTAAAAGGCCATATTTTCTATAATATTAAAAAATCATTACCTCTATAATACGTTCATTAAGTCTAGGGTCAAGCTGGTAATAGGTGATATTTTTAAATTGCTTCCTTCCAGTAATTAAAAGGTCAAATAAAGCACTTAAACATCGCTCCACATTATAGCGTACATAATTCCAAACAGAGAATTTATTCGTAATTAAATTATTCAAGAAAAATTTAAAGCATCCACTGTCCAACTGGTCAATGAACAGTGTAGTCTCTATTGAATGAATTATTTCTACCACTTGTGTGGCTTCATCTGTCGTGCTGGCTGTGCCAACAGTGCCATTGCATCCAACAATGGTTTTGTTGTTTACGCAGCGCCACAGATGATATTTCTTTTGCTTCTCTCTATAATTATATTCGTGGTGTTCGTGTTGTAATTTGGGGTTACCCCTTTCTGATTTAGTAAAGCGGGGCATTTATTATTAAATATTAGACGAAAATCGAAATTTCGAAACAGCTCGATTTTAAAAATAGCCTGAAATAAGTTGGATTTATACGAGGAAATAAAAATTAAATAATCTATTATGGAGAAAATATTTGAAAAATACCCCATTGAAGAATGCCTAGAATAAAAAAAATTGAATAGAGAGGTCAATATAGATTGTTTCTTCTTTGAAAAAAAGCAAACTAAAAATATTTAAATTATAGTAAAAATAAATCGATGACAAATATATGGCATTCGTCGTGGTGGTCGTTTGTTAATTGCTGGTAAATGAGTCTACGCAAAACACTACTAGTTATGACTAGTATGTATTTTTTGGGAATTTGAAATTTTTAAAATTTGTGAATAAATGAATACAAATCTGATAAGGATAAATAGTATATCATTCGAAACAGCATTAAAAACTGTATTTAAAAATTAACGGCCGAGATTTTTTATCAACTTACTGTAACGCCCAGTCTTAAAATTAGACTTGTTAAAACACTCAAGTTTTTATATTAAAAGTGCAACAAATTTCAAAACTAAACTAAACAGAAAAACGAATTAAAAAAGAATCTTATATTTTATTGGTATTTTGATTAGTACAAATTGAATTAAAGTTTTATATTTTTAGTATTCAATAACCAAGTATCTTCTCTTCCACCAGTAAGGTCTTGTCCTTTTGTAGTGTCTCGGTCTTGGCGGTCTCCAATAAGTTCTTCGTGTAATATTAGGGCTTCTCCAACGAATTCTTGGTCTAGGACGAGGACAAGGAACGCAGTCTCCACGGATATAACAAAAGTTATCATTAGAGCAACCGAAAGCATATTGAGCACCGTCTCCACCCGGATCTCCAAATCCACCGTAGCCAGGGTAACGCTTAGTGCGATTACTTTAATAATTAATGGAATTATAAAAATAATCGAGTTAATACGTAATTTTAAATTTGATTAATCACACCTCACTATTAATAATAAAAATTTTATTTACATAGTCAACGTCTGTTCATTATTATCATAAATAGTAGAGATGTCCGAGACCGAAATTTTTCCAAGACTCAAGACTCAAGACCCAAGACAAAATTTTTTCCGAGACCAAGACTCAAGACCAAGACCAAAACTCCAAGACTCAAGACCAAAAATAATACAAAACTCGAAACAATTTTTAGGTCCCATAGTTCAAATTTTTGGTTTATTTTTTGTTATTTTGATACGATCACAGTCAACTTCAGCACATTCACCTATAATTTCGAAAAATCTATGCGAAATGCAAAAAATTTTGGAGAATTTATCTGGGTGGAAAATCAATGAGATATTATTTCAGAGGATTTGGGTGGATTAAGGGGATATTAGTGATATCAAAGGGTAAAGCCAAAATTTTGGCGACACCCAACGTTAGCCCTCCTCGAAATCGACCCCCTGGCTACGCCCTTGGATTAAGGAGGATATTGATGTTTAAAGGGGAATTTAAGTGGATTAAGAGGGATCAAAAGGAATATTATGAAGTTGGGGGACTTAGGTGATGGAGTGATGGTGGCTGCTGATATCCATCCTCTATTTTATCCCTATCTTTTTGCGCCGCAGGCGAAAATTTGTACAATTTTGGTGGAATTTTAAGCCAAAAATCTTCTCATCCCAGCGTTGCAGGCGAAAATTTTGGGAATTATGAAGGCCAAGAAGCCAAAAATCTTCCTTTTCCTGCGCCGCAGGCGAAAATTTTATTAATTTTGGAAGGACGTAGGCCAAAAAAATTCACTTTTTCAGCGCCGCAGGCAAAAATTTTTTGAATTTTGGAGCTCAAGAAGCCAGATTTCTTCCAGTTTCTGCGCCGCAGGCGAAAATTTTGAGGAATTTGGATGGCCAAGCACTAGGTCCAAAAAGGCCAAAAAACCAAGACCAAAAAATAAAACCAAGACAAGACCAAGACAAACACCCCAAGACCAAGACCAAGACCAAGACCGAAAAAAAAACCAAGAAAAGTCTTGGTTCCAAGACCAAGACCAAGAGTCTCGGACATCTCTAATAAATAGATTCTAATTGTTTCAAATTATTATTGGAAGAATTTTCTATTCCATAAACATGTTTTGTTATGCTTTGTAGAGAATCCTTATTAAATTCTAATTGCTTCAGATTATTATTGAAGGGATCTTCAACACATTCTTTGTTATGCTCTGTAGAGAACAAATGAATATATAAAGAATTAAACGGATTAATATTAACATTTCTAAAAATCTCTAAAAAATATATTAACAATTTACTTTAAAAAATTTATTTAAAATTTTTTAAATTAAATTAACATTAAATAACACATATTAGACCTCTCTTTTTATTCAACAATAGTTAACATTTTAAGAGTGCAAAAACGAGACAAATGAAATTTTTAAAACAAAACAAACACACAAAATAAATTTAAAGGAAATGATTTATTTAGTCATTGTATTTTTAATTTTTGTTTTTAGTATTCAATAACCACATATCTTCTAAGCCACCAGTAAGGCCTTCTTCTAATGTAAGGTCTCGGTCTCGGCCTTCGATAATAGGTTCGTTTATTTTGAGGTCTTCTCCAACGATAACTTGGTCTAGGACGTGGACAAGGATCACATTCACAGTAACGGCCATGCAAACAATATCCTTTTTTACATTCGCCATAACAAGCGGCCGCACCATTTCCACCAAAATCCCCATTTCCGCCCTCCAAGTAACGCTTATCGCGAACGCTTTAATTGATAATAATACTATAATAGTTATAATTAAGTTTTAAGATATAGCCTTAGATCCTTTTTCATAAACATTCTTTAGATACTTAACAATTTCAAAAATTTCAAAATATTTACATAGTCAACGTTTGTTCATCTTTATTATCAGTAGATTTAAACTGTTTCAGATTAAATCCTTTACTTGATCCTTCAACTCCATAAACATTCTTAGTTAAGCTTTGTAGAGAACAGATAAATATATAAAGAATTAAATGGATAAATATTAACATTTCTAAAAATCTCTAAAAAATAATTTTTAAGCATTAGGAACGTCCAAAGTTCTTAGAACTAATGATCAAACTCGAAATACCATGAAAAACTTGATTAAAACTCCAAGTCCCTGAAGGGGTTTAGACTAAAATCTCTTCGTGTTTCTATTGTTTTCCGTGTTTTTAGAATAGTTTACCAACATTCTATTAATTTTAAATTGATAAAAACATTTCTTAATTTAACAAAATTAAAAAGTTATTCATGTTATCTTGAACAAAATTATTTTAGAATTTTTTAAATTAAATTAAAATAAGAAATACATGACCAGTTTTTTATTCTAACAAGAGTTTACATCTTAAAAGTGCAATGAATGAGACAAATTAATTTTCAAAACAGACACATAAAATGAATTAAAAGAAAATAATTTTTAATTTAATTAGTTCAAATTGGTTAAAATTATATATTCTTTAATATTCAATAACCAAATATCTTCTCTTCCACCAGTAAGGCCTTCTACTCCTATAATAAGGCCTTCTACTTCTGTAGTGTGGCCTCCGATAGGCTTTTCTAACATAAGGTCTACGCCAATAATTTCTTGGTTTGGGACGTTTCTTCGTTGGAGATACACAACAACCGCAACCACAAGTGAGACCAGACTCCCTGCAACCACAACCGCCTCCACCATCTCCACCTCCATCTCCGAATCCGCTGCCAATGTGACGTCTCTTGCGATCTCTTTATTAAAGCTTTAGAATTGGATTGTGGATTGGAGCAAGGCTTTCGAGGAGAACTGAGGCTCCTTGACTATGTGCCACTCATTTTCCTTCAAAAACCTTGACCTTCTAACTGACTCAACATTAAATAATTATGGGTTATTTTTAAAATTTTGTCGTGTTCCCTCATTAATTTCCCGTAAATGTTCTTAAAAATCGCTCTCTAATAGAAGTACACCACTCCCTAATAAAAGCACAACCTACGAGAGGGTTAGGTATAAAATGTGGTTCTATTAGAACATTAAAATTATTTACTCAGTCAACTTTTGTTCATCTTCATTATAAGCAGGTTCTAATTGTTCCAGTCGAAAAATTTTATTAGAGGTGCCTTCAATTCCATGAACATTCTTTGTTATGCTTTGTAGAGAACAAATAAATATATAAAAAATTAAATGGATTAATATTAACATTTTTAAATTTTTAAAAATTATTCTATTTACTTAAATAAATAAAGAAAATAAAATATTATAGTACGTTGTGAAAGTTTTAATTTATATTAACATTTTAAAATTTTTTTATTTCATATAAAAAATACATTCTTGTTTTTATTATTACACTCTGTTCCAAAATGATACGACCACTCTTATTTTTCACTGTAACTTGATGAAAAATCAACAAATCTAACTTAAATTTTAACACAATATGTATTTCTACAATATTATTCAAATCTATAAATATTACAGTTGACAGTTGATAGATAAAAAATTTATCGTTTAAAAACCGATATTTAGGTGTTCCAAAATGATACGACCACTTGATAGTTTTATACTTGCTAGGTACCTATCATTGTTTTTTTATTCCATAGTTTCACTACAATAAATATTGTAATAAAATAAGAAAAAACTAGGCCGATATCATTACAAGAAGGCGAGATACTGATACCTCAAAAATCAACGTAAAACGGGGGTAAGGCTTTGTCAGGAAGATTTTCGACCCCCTATAAGTTATTTTAAAATTTTATTTTAGGCTCATTTGAAAGCCCTTGAAATTTGCTACAAGATAGCAAAAACCTTATTTTTCAGAAAAAATTCCAAAGAAAGATACGGGTCGTTAATCTTCCGAACGCCTAAATGCCCCATAAAATGTCACTTAAGGTAGCTTCGTAAGATTAACGACCCGTATCTTTCTTACGAATTTTTTCTGAAAAATATGGCTTTTGCTATCTTGTAGCAAATTTCAAGGGCTTTCAAATGAGCCTAAAATAAAATTTTAAAATAACTTATAGGGGGTCGAAAATCTTCCTGACAAAGCCTTACCCCCGTTTTACGTTGATTTTTGAGGTATCAGTATCTCGCCTTCTTGTAATGATATCGGCCTAGTTTTTTCTTATTTTATTACAATATTTATTGTAGTGAAACTATGGAATAAAAAAACAATGATAGGTACCTAGCAAGTATAAAACTATCAAGTGGTCGTATCATTTTGGAACACCTAAATATCGGTTTTTAAACGATAAATTTTTTATCTATCAACTTACAACTGTGATATTTATAGATTTGAATTATATTGTAGAAATACATATTGTATTAAAATTTAAGCTAGATTTGTTGATTTTTCATCAAGTTACAGTGAAAAATAAGGGTGGTCGTATCTTTTTGGAACAGAGTGTACAAGAGTGCATTGTAATCAGACAAAATAATTGCCAATAATTTACTAACATTTTTAAAATTTAAAAAATTTATTTTCTTGAATGAATAAAAAAATAAAAAGAAATAAAATTAAAATTTTTTTAGTTAATTCATGAAAAGACAAAATAATTTGGTTCTTGTACTGATTATTTTTCTTGTCAATTATGTCGAAAAATTTCCAATTAAATTTAATTTTAAAATATTTACGCCAAGTCTGAGACTTGTTTTAATTTACTAATGGTCCAAAAAAACAAACTTTTTATAAAATTAATTTTCTCTATTTTTTGTTAATTTAAAAGTTTAAATATAAGATATAAAAAATAATATAGATTTATTTTTCTTGTCAATTTAAAATTCATAAACCAACATCTTCTCAGTTATGTTTTCTTTTGTAAATATCTCGGCTTCCAATAATGTTTTCGTTTAATAGTCTTCGATATCTTGGTCTTGAACGTGGGCAGTCATGACATATGCAGTCATGACCCTTCGAAGTCATACAATAGCCTTTGCTGATGCAGTCTGTGCCATCGCAACCAGCCGCACCGTCTCCACCCCAATCTCCATATCCGCCCTCCAAGTAACGCTTATCGCGATTGCTTTAATAATTAACTAGATAACATAAATTTATTTTTAAATTATATGAAGCTTTAGATCCTCCTCGATAAACATTCTTAGCTATACTTTTAAATATTTTTTGTAACAAAAATTATTTACATAGTCAAAGGATCTTCATTTTTATCATAAATAGGTTCAGATTGTTTCAGACTATTATTAGAAGAATTTTCAATTCCATGAATGCTTTGTAGAGAACAAATAAATATATAAAAAATTAAATGGACAAATATTAACATTTCTAAAAATCTAAAAAAATAATTTATATATCTAAGTGATTATCGAATTTTGGAATAATACTGAATCCTGATTAATTCTAATTGAGAATTGATAATCATGTTCTAGACCTGTTTGAAAAGGTTGTTGATACTTTAAGGGAAGCTTCGAGTTTTTATCAAGTTTTAAAATTAATATATGTTTAGAGATAATGATAGAATTCTGATGAGAGCGCTTCCCAATGTAGGTTCCTCATCCTCTAGATAAAATCCACCTAATTTTGAAATCACCTTATTTATTTTGTAAAAGAAAATTTCCTTGGAGAGGTGTTATATTTATATAACAATTTTAATCTTTGATACTGAATTAATTCTCTCAAATCTGAGAAATAAATTGTGAACATCAATCTTCTTTTGAAAATTTATTTTTGGATAATTCCCAATTTATTGTAAAAACTAACAAAAAGAACAAAAAATGGAAATAATTAATTCTTTAATGAATTAATTATTAATTACAGTTTAAATACAAATTTTAATTAACTTCTATGAACGAATAAAAAGATTGTCAGAACCTATTAATATCAAAATCAACTAAAAAAATAATTTTTGATTTAAATTTAAATATGCCACTACTTTAGAAATTTTTTGGAGATTCACAACGAGTAAGGAGCTATAATTTGGAAAACAATACGAAAATTTGCAAATATCCGGACTTATTTGTTGGATAACAGCCCATAGCTTGAACACAAATAAATTCCACTAATCGAACCCCCAAAATTAAGGCTATAAAAACGGATTTTTGTAAAAATAGAATTTTTTTCTAAGATTACCAAAAAGTCAGAAATTTAGACCAACTACAAAGTGTAAGGATTTTATTAAGATGGATCCGTGTCAAGTGTTAATCGTTGAGTATCAAGTTCATTTATTTCGAGCAGTTTATTTCACTGTAAACAGCACATAGGAACAGAATTACTCTGAAACTTCGAAGTAGAAGCAGGCTACTTCAGTGAAGGAGCAGACCCATAATGAGAAGCCATCTTTCCCTTAAACAGCAGATAGGAACAGAACTACTCTGAAACTTCGAAGTAGAAGCAGAGCTACTTCAGTGAAGGAGCAGGACTACTTCGGAGAAGGACCAGAGCCATAATAGGCCATATAATGAGCCATATAAGCCATATAACCATAGCCATATAAGGAGCCATAATGAGCTACATTATAGCCATAATAAGCCTTAATGCCTCTCCAGTTTCTGATCATTTTTACTTTCAATTTCTGATCTGGACAATTTTTTATAAATGTATATTCGACGTATCTCTCAAAGGAGATAATCAATTTTCTATATCCAAAAAAATAATAATAAATGTAGCGAAAAGATGAGAAAGGAAAAGTAGCTATATAGAAAAGAGATATATTTATTGATGGTCAAATAAATTCCTCGTTAATCCCTTCCAAAATAAAAATAAATAAAAAATATCCTGTCGCAAAACCACAAAAATAAAAACAAAATTTTTCTCGTTTCATTTTTCACTTTCTTTTTTCCTATGAAAGACTGTCAAATAAATTACAAAAAATATTTTTTATTTAAATTTTATTCAAATATTTTTAAATTTTTTTATTATATTTTAATTTTAACTTCGTTGAGTAAAGCTGAATTTAGTCCGGATTTTGCCAAGTGGCTTTCGGAGTATTATGGAGAGGATGTTAGGGCACATTTAGAGAGGTTCTTAGATTAATTTATTTTCAGAAACAGCTAGGAAATATACGATCGAATCATCATAAGGTGTCATTGTCCGGGAGGAAGTCTATAAAGATTAACTGTTGTGTGTTAGGTTAAACTCAATTTAGGGTAACATTTGGCTTTAGAATTGCCTGAGGGGATATCCACATAACCGGAGTGACACTTCCCCAGTTAAGTGGAAGGTTGGAAAGGTCTAACTCAAAAATATTTCTTGTAGAAAAGACCTAGGCCATGCGGGCTCGTTTGGCGGAAAAAACGAACCAAGCGAACCAATACGTCATCAACCTGTTATTTTTGTGCATGGTTAGTGGAATGATTAAATATTTCTTGTGATTTTCTAAAGGTGTCTCCAATCGTGCATGGGACAAAATGAAAAATGCAGCAGATTATTTCCAGTTTTGATTTTTCCTCAAATTATCATTGATAAATAATTATAGCCAACAGGGTTATTCTTTCGCGGAGCTTTACGGAACAACTTATGCTAATGGAGATGAAGGAAACCCTTTGCAGTAAATTTGGAAAATAAATTTTAAAAATTATTAATCCAGGTGGGCCCAGTATTCGATGAAATGCCAATATGTCAAATTGGTAGAGAAATAATTTAATAATTTGGAAATAAATAAAATTGGAGTATAAGTAGAGTTAAAGGGGGCAGCCAGTCAAGCATAAGTCCAGGCAGTCCTGGAGCCATAACTTAATGTAAAATTGCCATAGAAAGCTAATTTTGGTACCAAAAAATACAGCTCGAAAAAATACGTAAATGTTACAAAATTTGTCCAGATCCGACATTTACAAGCCGAGTTATAAGCTTTGAAAGAGACTGAGATTAGATAAAGAGGCGTTAGTGCATCCTCATTTTATTAAAAACAAAAAAATAAATAACACTCACAAGATGGCCTCGTGGTGTAGTTGGTTATCACGTCAGTCTAACACACTGAAGGTCGCCAGTTCGAGTCTGGCCGAGGTCAAATATTTTTTTTAAACTTTAATAAGGAGTTTTTATTTCAATTTATGATGTCTAAATACTTTTTAAATATTATCAAAAATTTTTTTTAAAAGGTACGCGCCCTAATTGTGGCCATTCGGCTTTATACAGGGAAACAAGGTGTATTTTTAAATTATTTTTGAAAATTTAAAAATAAAAATAAAGTTGATGTAATTGGTTATTCATTGGGAGTGCCTGTCTCAAGAAAGGCTATTTTAGGAGGTAGATGTGTTGATACTGGAGAGGATTTGGGAGCACCGTGAGTTGAAAAAATTTTTTTGAAGTTCTCAATAAAATTTAAAATTCTTTCCAAAAAGCCTCACAAAATTCGTCGACACATATGTCGGTGTTGCCGGCCCCAACCATGGAATATCTCTCCAACTTGGCTCATTCTCCCTTCCTGGATGTGCCTTAGCTCTATTACCGATATGTAATGGTCAAACTGGACTTTATTCTTCTGGATTCTGTCCATCTACTGAAAGTGCTTTTCTTCAGGATATAAATAGACAACAAGGATATGAAGGGAAATATCGGTAAATTTTGGAAAATTTTTATTCTTAAAGTGCAAATATAACAACTTAAACATTAATTACTATCCTTTTAATCTATCCTTTAACAAATTTATTAAAATTAAAGAATATTAAAAAGGGAGGAGAGAACTAGGGAGTTTCTGGAACGAAACGAAAACCATTAAAAAATATCGCTAAAATTGGGGGACCTTTAAGTTCGATGACCAAAAATTTTTGAGTACCTCTGATTAGGGTTGCCATATTTTGGAAAATCCATCGATACCCGTATCCGATCCGATATTCGTTCGATATCCGTCAACTCTCCCTCAAATCTAGTGTCGCTTATGCCAAAGTTTAAAGAAAATTTTTTTCAGTTTTTCTCTATACAGCCAAAGAGATCAAATTATTGGCTATACAGTTTGTAACAAGGCAAGCATAATTAATTTTCAAAGATCAATTTAAGAATAATTATTAAAGATAACAAGCCAAATCCCTTCACAAAATGCAGAAAAAGTTTATCCGAGTGCTAATCATGACGAGACATTTTTGAACTCTTTTCAAGTTCAAATGGAAATGGTTGCTAATCATATTGTGATATAAATACCTATTAGTAGTTTAATACCTACTATTAGTACTAGATTAGGTAGTCAGAAATATTTTATACAATAATTTACAGTATAGTTAAACAATTAATTTATAAAAATTTTAAATATATCTATGACGGAGAGTAAATGTTTGAGTGCCTTTCCTAGTGTATAAACTCAAAACAACCAAATTGGTTTCTGATAAAAGCTTCAATCCAGTTGGAGGTATATCTGACTGGCAGCACATTCTTTAAATAAACAAGAATTTTATTCGGACCTCGCTATGAGATACCCCTTAGGGCTAGAACATTGTAGCTTATAATGGAAAGTTCCTTAAATAGAAGGTATCATTTAGACAGAACTCCCCACCCATCTATTGGCCAACCAAATTTTGGCAATGTAGGGGTATATCCATTATCTTATAACGAGGCCCGACTTTATCCCTCGAGGCAATCCATCTGAGGTCCAACTTTAATCCCTTGGTGGAATCATTTCCTTACCTTATCCCTGTCCTCGTAAAATCAGCACGCAATTTAAACTCAACATTTCCATAAAAACAGGCTTCGTGGCAACTTGTTTGAGAGCCTAGCCTGACTACTTCCAATTCTATTAATTTTCCTTGGGGTGCTTGTAAATGCCAATGACAAGAACTAAATTCTCTTGAGGTAAAATCATCATTGCCTATCGTGCCAGTTAATTCGTTTTTATCAGAAGATGTCTTAAAAATTTAAAAAAAAATTTTTTAATTTTTAGTCAGTAGACAAAGCCTTTTTTTAACAAGGTTTTAGCCAGCTCCCGTTATAGTGAGACACTCAAGACAAAAAGGAATTCACTTTTTTCAAAAAGGAATTCACTTATGTGAACCATGGCTCCGGCATTTGTGTCTCCGGCATTTCTTAATCTTAGCTCCGGCTGGAGTCGGTTCCGGACAGCATTGGCTCCAGCATTTCATAATCTTGGACCCGAATGGAGCCAGCTTCGGATAGCTCCCGTAGCCATACCCACGTAACTATGTCCGAAACAAGACAAATACGCAATAGAGGGACTTTATATTTGTCACATAATTTTCAGATAAAAATGTCCCTTCCCCTCCCTCATTAATTTAACTCTCGATTCTCTCATTCACGCCTAACTATAATAAATATTGTTTTTTATTATTTACTTTCAATAAAATCTCTTCAAATCCACACGTTTCTAAATAAACATCCCCATTCCAATTTTCACTTTCACACAAGCCCCAGTCAATATTTCTCTCAGTTAAAGCTATCTAGCTAGACAAGCTAAAGCTATTTCAAAAAGGCTTATACACACTCTCTAGTTGTTTAGGCATTTTTTAAATTTTTTTTCTGCTTTTCTCTCTTCCCCCAGCTGGCATGCCAATTTGCGAAATGGCCAAAGGGAACACTCCTATTTACAAATGGAATGCAGCAGAGCAAAAATAAACCGCACGGAAATCTGTCATTATTCCTATAAGGCTTTAAAAAAATATTTTTGCCTATTTTTTGCTTATTTAAAATCTATTAAAATGACTGTGGATGTTCAACAAGCTGCTACCAGCTGTGTAGGGAAGCAACAAAATTCGAAGAATACTTCAAAAACGTTTCAGTTAACAATCTCTTTAAAGTATGTTAATTCTAGAAGTAAAGATTACAACCAGATCTATTGCCTCAGTCAGCTGACTCTCTCCGACACCTTTTGAGAGATCCTTCTGCCCTATTTACACCCAAGAGCCCATTTCATGAAGCGACATTTGAAGTCAACATCGCTGCGAGGGATAAGCCCCTAGACCTCCTCTATGATTTAATATACGTTTCCTAAAGATAGAGGAGATGACTAAGTATTAACCCATACTTGCGAGTAACTAAGATAATAAGATAGTCTCGAAGACTAAAAATCCCCTCAATTTTTAATTTTTTGAATACAAAGACTGCAAAAGATACAAATAAATAAGTTTAGAAATGTAGAGGATGGAGCAAATAATGTTACGTTCAAACAGGATGGTTCGAGATTTCCAACTTCTCAAAGAACAATAAAGCTTATAACAAATTGTAAATACCAGATTGTTTTAAGCAGCAAACCTGCTCAGGAATTTACGTAAGTCTATTTTAAAGTTGGAGTTATCACAAGAAAAGAAATATTTGGAAATCTAGAATAGATAGACTAACTTCCTTCGGATGTTCAAAACCCCCATAAACTAACCCTAGGTTCCTCCTCGATCAGCTAGACAGAACTTTTCGTCGAACGGGGATGCCGGCTAATAAACAAATCCCTGGATTAGGGTCGAGGAATTGCCTAAAACCCATCATTAGCCGGAGATAGGGAGTCGGGAACCAATCTTATTATCTTTCTATCAACTTTTCAAATATTGTTTAGAAGTCTACACCTAGCTGGAAGTGATTTGGAACTCATTCCAGATAAGGGACAAGGCATTGGAAGCTACACAGCGATTTGGGACACCGCGGGGATTGAACCTACAAGGAGAGGTGGAAGACAAGATATTCTATTTGTTCTAGAGGTTTTTCTAAAGATATTCAAGATAAAATCCAAAAATAAAATTTAAGGGTCAAAACCAAACCCTTACACAAAAATTACAAACAAAATTTTATGGAAAACAGGATTCTCATGGAATTGTAGGGCATAGATTGGAGGTATTTAATTAATTAAAATTTAATTTAAAAAAATAATTTTTTTAGGCATTGGTTTGGAATTGTGAAATAAATTTAAATGGCCAAATTAACGTAAATGATGAAAAAATACTTTGATTATTTTAATAAATTTTTATTTTTTTATTCTGTATTTAGCTAGTTTTTTATTAATATCGGTTTAATTAAAGGCGCTAGAACACAATATATTTTTAAAATTTTTGACCGAGACCTTGGTCGGATACTGTGCCTAATAGGCCTGAGTTTGTGCCTCAAGTCAAAAAACTCTTGGCCCAGGAAAACACCAAGCAGAAAGCTAAAAAGCATGCCAGTTCTGGGCTTTGGGTGCAGAATAAATCTAGGTACACTCCAGCGACCTCTGACTGACTGAGACCGAGAGAGAATTCTGAGACCCTATTTGGTAATAAAATCTTTTAAAAACATCCCCACCTCTATTGTCTCTCCACAATTAGAGGCAATCCCAACACTTGAGCTTCTCTCATCGCAAAATTTGCCTCCAAACCCCCAAGGGCATATACATTGACTACAGTCTTTTGGCTTTGGAAATCCACCATTTTTGCATTCTACACCTCTGCTTTTGCAGTCATCTCGAATTTAAAATTGATTTAATTAATAATTAGTTACTAGCGATTTTTAAAATTTTTAAAGAAATTTAAATTAATTTTTCGAACAACCCAAACACATGTAGCGCTTATTCATCAGTAGCACGTCTAAAAAACTGGGAGCGATCCTCTGGCCCATAGTTTTTTGGTTGTAAGGCTCTTTGGCTGATAAAACAGGGTTGTGGGCATCGGGGGAAGAAAAAGCGTCTAAAAAGTCAAAGTTGACATTTTGACATTTTAGAGATTTTGACATTATCGACTCACATTCTGAGTAGTGCATTACTGAACCCAAATCGTAAGATACTTGTTGATTATCATTTTCTTCTTCGGATTCCTTTGAGAAAAAGAAAGGTTTAAGGCATATTAAATAAAAGGGTTACTGTAATTACTCATTTAATCACAGCCTTAAATTAAATATTAAATTAAGTAGAGGCTTGGAACTGATTGATCAACAAACATTTTTTAAGATAAAAATTTTTGAACAGATTAGAAAAATGCCAGGATATCTTAGCTTTTCGTTCCGATCCGGAAATCCGAGGATTTCACAGAATATCCTATTTTAAGGTGAAATGAACAAATGGCTGTTTTTGGGTTGATTAAAATCCCTTGTTGTGTTCTATCTGTTAAGGAACATGGACTAGCAACCCTTGAAATAGGGTGAAAAAATCGCCGGATATCCGAAACCAGTGTCCTTGGTTCCTCGGTTGTTCTGAACTGATAACCCTTATAGGAATACTTTAAACAAAACATAAAATATTTCCTCCACCTTATCAAACTGATCCTCGTATCCATGCCTTATATTATCAAGACTAACACTAACAAACTGGTCTCTATCCCAACGTGATTGTTCATGAAAGAACCCAAGAGCATGTGCAACTTCGTGTGTAATAATGCCAAACTTTAATGTAAATGGTCAATTTATCAAAATTTTTTAAATTACTTGATCACAATCCTCTCCAATAGAGACATACTGATCCCCTTCTTGTTTACCAACATAGCTAGAACATCCATTGCCTTTTCCAAACTGTAATCTAGTCTCTGATGGATTGCTTAATTAATTTTTTGTTTAGTTTAGAAGTTGAGGATAAATGAAAAGATAAATGGAGAGATAAATGGGGTTATACGAGGATAAATAGGGTTATTTTGTGAAGAACCATTTAATACGGCTTTAAATGAGAAGAAGATTAAACTGGTGGTTGGCCAGTAATCCCTATCACGATCTAGATTGGTATAGGAATTTCACCATTCTTTAATATCTACTATACTGACTAGGGATCAGGGTATAACCAAATGGGTATACAAATTCAGAAAATTCGGAAATATACCAAACGATACAACGCCCAAATAGTCACCGATATACTACCCAAACCCTTCACTACCTTTGAAAAAGCTCTTCCTCACGAAAATTTAGACAGGTCTGATCAGCCCAAAAACTGAGTGCTTGTCGAATCCGTGTGCGTCTTTCCTCAGCTAAAATTTTAAGGATGTAAAATTTCAAAAAAATTGTATAACAAATGGAATTTCCAAAAGTGTAGGGAACTGTCCGATTTAGCCATAGAGAAGTTGGAAAAGTCACAGAATTAATTGCTTGTCGCCTATTCCTTTTATCTGATGGAGTATATTTAAATTTTGAAAATAAAAATTCTGCTTGTTTAAGATTGAGAATTATATCTCCTTGATAAAAATTGTGGCCAAGTCCTCTGTTGATTCTGGCTATAGTTGGTGGGGGATTTTCTTCTTTTCTAATTATTTCTTTAATTTTATTATTAGCATCTTTTTGTAAAAATTTAAACTTTTTCTCTTTAATTTTGAACATATTTTGATAAATTATTTGTTGTCGAAAATCTTTTAAAATTTGTGAGATCCGTTCAGTGTTGTCTAGCTTAAAAAGGATTATCTTAATTAAATATCATAGAGCTTGGAGAAGTCCGATTGAACCCCTATCGAAGTAAATTTCAAAAACACGTCTCAAACAAGACCCAAAATTTTTTAACCAGCTTCTATTGAGTAGAATGTCCAATAATATTCTTGAGACTATAATATCCAAAAAAAATCACGCCATTCATTCATGGGGTAAAGCATGGATGGCTCTGGAGTTGGCGGACCCGGATATCCGGATCCGTAAAAGTCCAATATCAAAAGGAGCTTCGGATATCGGATCAGGATAGGATATCAGAATTCTGAAGGGGTATTTTAGGTCCCCTTGGCTGTTCCTCCCATCTATATGAATGACAATGTCTCAGTATACTAAATATTTACCCAAGCTACTTCGCCGGTTCCTTGTATCTATTGTAGCTTTAACAAAGCAGATACTAGAATAATTAAACTAATCCCCTCAAAATTACCTTAATTTCCCTTTCTAGAGGTATTGAAGCTATCCTTTCAATAAACCATATAATAAATAAAATGTATAAAAATAATTTAAAAATTAACATTTATTTATCGAAAATTATTATTTACAGAGGTAAATATTACCCAAAAATATGCTTACTTTTAAAGCCAAAAACAAACACAAAAAAAATTCCAAGGTGTTCGTACCCTTATTTTTCGATAACAATAGATAACAATTCATCCAATTTTTATTAAAATTTTTTTCCTTGTTAAAGCTATTTTTGCTTTTATTTTATTAATTTTAGGGCATAACACACCCTTCTAGTTGACATTATTTTGGGGCCAAATAAAATTTTTTTATAAGATTTTTATATTTTTTCTAAGTATGTTTGTTTGTCTTGAACGTCAATTTTTATTGCAAGACGTTTTTAAAAAATAGTTCCTTTTATAGATCAGAAGAATAAAAAAGAATAAATTTTTATCGAAAAAATTGAAGAAAATAAAGGAAAAATATTCCGAAAATTTTAAAAAAATTTCAAAAAATTTTTTTTATTTTTTAAATTATTAAAATTACCGTAATTTCTCTTTTTAGAGGTATAAAGCTCTCCTTTCAATTAGGTATTTTTCCTATTTTTTAAATTTTTTTTAAATTTTTCCTATGAATTTTTAACGTGTCTAAAAATTTCTTCATATTTAAAATTTTCCAAAATTTTTAAAAAATTTCTCAAAAATTTTTTTATTAACCCTATCCTTCATTAAATGTTCACAATCACCTTGCCTTTTCTAAATTTTTCTCTAAATTTTTTTTATTTTTTTCCTTTCGATTTTAAATTCATTTTTTCAAGAACAAAAAGGAAAACCTGTTTTTCTCTTTAAAACCTCCCCTCTATTGTTTAACAATTCTTTTTCCTCTCCCAATTTAGAAATTTTAAATGAATTTAAACGTGTAAATTTTTTGATGTTTACCTCTTTCCATTCTCTTTTTTTTTCGTTCTCGATTTAAAAAATTTTTTTTAATTTTAAATTTGTCATTCTTAAGACCAAAAAATATATTGAATTTTTAATTTTTTCTATTTTAAACCTTAATTAAATTGAATTTTTTTTATATAAATTCTTTTTTTTATAAATTTAACGAGAGAAATGATGTTAATGATCATTTAAATTTAAAAATCTTAAAAAATTCGAAAGTTAAATTTAAAAAAATTTTTTTTGCCCAGAATTACCTTCAAAATTAAGAACTATGTATTAAATAGAGACCAGACTTGGAGTGCCGTATGGGAATCGAAAATCTCAAAAAATTCTTGGTCTCGATAACCGAGAATTCTAGTATTAATTCTAGTCTCACGGTCTCTAATATTAATCTTATAAAAAATATTACGAACAGTTGATGTCTCTCTTGGCACTCTTAGTGATCTGCCTTTGTTGTCCTTTTAATTAGTGATCGGATCGAGACTAGATCACATCTAGAAACCTCCTATTACCCTATTATCAATCTTGAATGTCGAACATCCACACAATCGTTTTTCTAATCTTAACGGAATTTTCTCAAAATTTATTTAATGAAAAGATTCCCTATTCTGGCACATTTTTTTATTTTAAAATCGTTAATTATTAAGTATTCATCATTTAATTTAATAATTTGTATTTAGTACAAAAAATCCAAAAATGAACATTCACGATTACAATTCCCGAGTAGATTACATAAACAATGCAAGTCGCCAATTAGAAAAGAAATTGTGTGAGGAAAGCATTAAGCTTCACAAAGGATTGCAAGACGATATTTACGGCAAAAAGGCGTATAATAGTTACACTCCGAGAAGTGAATCGGTAAACTAGACATTTTTAATTTTGGAAAATTGAATGAGGGTTCTGATTAGAAATCGGTCTGGGAGCGTCGTACAAGATCGGGATCTAGAAACATTCTCGATCTCGATAACTGAGATTTTTGAGGACCGTCTCTTAGAGAACTAGGGATCGTCACGGTCCGGCTATAGTTCTGATATTAATTAAAATATAACTCTTAGTATATGGGTATATGATAGAAAAGTAAAGACGGAAGGGGAATAGATCCCATTCCTGGTGAAGAGAGATTCACAGGATTAAGAAGCCCTCTAAGCGTTACATCCTATTTAAAATACCTCTCATTATAAGACACATTCTAGCCTCAATGGTAATAAGGTCTATGAATCCTAAAAGTGTCTATGAATCTTAAAATTAAAATTTATTTTTCCATATCCATTAATATCATTAAGGCATATTCACCAAAACACACACCTAATCGTTACTACGAAATCCACAGCAAAGAAGATCCTTACAAGCCTGTCAATTTTTGGACTCCGGCACTTAAACTTGTCAATTTTGAAGGTTCTTTCGATTAAAGAAATTTTTTAAAGGAAATTTTCTCAAAATTAAAGGGCCAACAACCCGTTCAATACCTTTAGATGACGGTAAAATTGGAGGTTCAATAACTACGTGGCAGTGGACAAAGGCTAGTGAACGCCATTTTTAGAGGAAATTTTGAAAGGAGGAAATTAAACAACGAGAAAATTAAAAATTTGAAAGGATCTTCTAAATATTATTTTTAATAAATAAATAATATTTTTTAAAAAATATTTAGAATAAAAATATTAAAATAAATGACGTGATTTATTTTTGGATTTTTTCCCTTCATTAAAAACAACTAGAATAGAGGCCCTATTTTTATGTCATCATACATAATTTGTTAAAATTTTCTTTTGATCATAAGAAAATTTTCCAACTTTTTGGACAACTTTATTTACAACCCTATCTTTCCACAACTTTTTTTCCAAACTGCTTTTCCTTTCATTTCCCTTCTATCCCCTTTTTTCCTCTCCATTATTTTCAACAACAAAACATTCCCTATTGTTCATGTTTGTTTGTTCGCTTTTTCTCTTCCTTCTTCATGTCTCGAGTTTAACAAACAAACAAAACAAACAAAACAAGGAAACAAAATTTTAAAGCTTCATCATATAAATATTTAGCTAAATTTACTTAAATTTAAAATAATTTTTGTCAATCACATCCCCAATATATTCCTTTATAAAATTTAATAAAATTATGAAGCTTAATTGTTTGGTAAGAAGAAACTTTTCAAATTTTTTACATTATATTACATAAAGCCCCCGTCATTAAAGCCTCCGTCAGCCTCCGTCAGTACCTCCCTCTTAATAAGCCCCTCGGGTTTTTAAAATATGGCTAGCCATTGGAGGATGGCCAGGAAAATTTTTAAAAGGATGGCATCCACCTATATTTAATATAAACCTCTTTATTAGATTAAAGAGTCTTCCTATAAATTTATTTTTACTAGATTTGTTATTTCTTAATAGCCCTAATTTTGTTTGGATTACTCCAAACTTTGTTTGCCCAACAAAAACGCTGCCTTAAAGTAAAGCTTCCCGATGTTTGTGAAAATTCTTGTCCGGTAAATTTTAATTTTATTAAAAAATAAATTTATTGTTTTTTATTTTTTTAGTATCCTGCAAAATAATTACTAAATTTGGCCACACGGCAGAAATGAATTTAAATTCCTTTTAAAAATTAATTGATAAAAACGTTTAAATATTTTATTAAATTAATTAAAATATTTTTTATAAATTTACATTGAATTTTTATTTTTAAATAAATTTTTAAATTTAAAATTGAAAATTAAAAAAATAAATATTTGATAATACGGACAAAAATAAAAAAAGATTTAATTAATGAGAGAAATACTGTATTTGTTAAGGGAGTAATTGAGGTGATTAGAAACATTAAAAAATTAAATATACATTCGAATCTCGTTATATGTATTAGAGCCCCTTTTTTAATAGTCCTTCCCCACCCCCCCCCCCCCTTCCCATGAATTTTTAAAAAAATGTGGCTAGCCGCTGGATGGACGGCGAGCTGCCTTCACTGGAGGGAGGGAGTCGCTCAAAAAAAACTCTCAAAAACTCCCTCCTATTCAAGGAAGCTGCTTTGACCCCCCTCTATCTAATATGTATAACACTTTATTTTAAGTTACAATTTTTGTAATGAAGGAGAAGTCGTCTGTATCGAGATTCGACTGATCTAAAATTTATAAAATCCTCCAACTTTTTAAAATTCCAATTTACAAACATCCAAACATTCCTCTACCGAACCAAACCGGTTTTGATTACCTCCACATTCTTGAGTACTAAAAGCATAACATTGTGCAGTTACACTATCAAAATAAAATTTTGTAGTTAATTTAGTTTCATCCAAAATATTTTCTTCATTTTCCACAGAAGTTTCCCATTTATGCAATTTTTCTTCTTCGGAAAATTTATTAGATTGCTCGTTTATATTGTTTTCTAAACCTGTCTGGACAGGTGATTTTTGTTGTAATTCGATGGTTGAACACAGACCTGATTCTAAAGATATATAATTTTATTAATGAAGGATAAAGCCCTCTGACGAAATGTCCCTAGGGTTTAGGATATTTCGGTTCGGTTTCGGATGTCCGAAGAATTTACAAGAACCGACAACCTTAGTCCTAGCTGATTTGATGAATGAAAACGCATATGATCAGAGTCAAATCAGACTAGAACACACCCTTCGCCAACTGACATGAGCCAGTTTGGATGAATGAGAACGACTTATGCTTAAGGGGAGCTTGAGGGGGAGCTTCTCATGGAATTCTAGATGTAGTAACCTAAAGATCAGGTAATCAAGGGCTGTTTACAGGCCAGAATCCTTTAGAAGATAAACAATTTTCGGACTTGTCATTCTCATCTTGTCAGTATTTTTTCAAAAATTCAAACGAATATTAACCAAATAAAATACCTGGAGGTAAATAGCATAATCCGGGATAATGAGGAACTCTTTCAAAGATGGGAGGGGCTGGTAATGAAGCAATTAGTGGAAATAGTGTTGATATGATTACAATTAACGAGATTCTGATTTTTAAAGGCATTTCTGCTCTTAGTTCAGATTTGAGAAAATTTTTTGAAAAAAAGAGAAAATTTATTTTTGTGGAAAGCTTACAAAAATTTTTGTGATTTTATACCAAGCAAAACCAGATTCACAAGCAGATTTATTTTATTTTTAATTCTACCGGTTGACTGGGGATTTAGAATAAAAGTTGTAAAAGAGAGAGAAAGCTTTGAGAGAAAATTGAGAGAAAATTGAGGGAGAATGGAGGGAAATGAATGAGGGGAAATTCAATGGAAAAAAATAAAATAAAGAAGCAGTTCCGGGGTTTTGTGGGGTTCTTCTCCTGCTTTTCCTTTTCCTCCTCTCCCTCCTTTTTATTTCACGCAATCTGCAATTTTTTTGACTTTTAATGCATCTATATAGGCGTGTAAGGGTCTTCCCCCTCCCTCAAGCATTTCCTCGTTTCCGGATTTGGTGAACAACTTTTTTGGGAGGAAATAAATTGAATGTTGAATTGGAAGGCTGGAAATAAGGGAAAAGAGGAAATTGCACGCGTTCTGAATTAAATTGAAGCAAAAAAAAAAGAAAAAAATCAGCAAATTCATAATTGAAGTGAAAATAAAAGAGAAAATTTGTGTCAGTTTATTTTGAATTTTTTGGATAAAATTTTAATTTTGAGTGAAATTGAGTGTTAAAAAGTTAAAGGACAAAGATATCTTTAAATAAATAGTATAAAATAAATTTTGATAAATCCATAGTGTATATGGAAATAAATATCTCCCATTATAGCATGGATGTTGCTTCTTTCATTCCCTTCTTCATTAAAGTTAGACGGGCAGGAGAGATTAAACTTGGGAAAATTTTCAGGCATTTTCTTTTAACAGAGTTTAAATGCCCCCGCCGAAGCAGGGACTTCCAAAATTTCTGCCCCCTGCACGAAGGCAGGGGGACTTGGGTTGCCCCCTGCACAAAGGCAGGGGGACTTGGGTTGCCCCCTGCACAAAGGCAGGGGGACTTGGGTTGCCCCCTGCACGAAGGCAGGGGGACTTGAGTTGCCCCCTGCACGAAGGCAGGGGGACTTGAGTTGCCCCCTGCACGAAGGCAGGGGGACTTGAGTTGCCCCCTGCACGAAGGCAGGGGGACTTGGGTTGCCCCCTGCACGAAGGCAGGGGGACTTGGGTTGCCCCCTGCACGAAGGCAGGGGGACTTGGGTTGCCCCCTGCACGAAGGCAGGGGGACTTGAGTTGCCCCCTGCACGAAGGCAGGGGGACTTGAGTTGCCCCCTGCACGAAGGCAGGGGGACTTGATTGCCACCCGCAAAAGAAGTGGACTTTATGGGGCGCCCGAATGTTGGGTAATAAAATTTAAAACTTAAGCTCTGCAATTTATAAATTTTCACCGGGAAATAGATTACATACATAAAACATAAATTACATACATAGAACACAAATATTTATTCCTTCTTTAATAATTTTGCTTTTCTCTGCCTGCTTCAGTCTTCCTTAACTTTTCTCTTATTTAATCAAAAATGCCTATACGCGTAAAATACACGATATACCTAAACGTATTATTTTTCAAAATGGTCAGAAAGGGGAAATTTTAAAAATCGTCACAACTTTCCTGATGGTCCCTTTATAATTATTTTTCTGAAATTTTTTTAAAATTTTGTAAAATTTATACCTATTAGAAATTCTATAAACAAATTTAGAGTATTAAATGAACATTTTTCTCATTAAAATCATCGTCAACTTCACTATCCAATCTACTACATAAAAGAATTTAATTTAGTATTTTCTTCCTCTATATTTCTTCTTTCTTGAGGGTACTTATCAGGTCTGGGCTGATGTAAACTATTTTTGAGACTTTAATGAGACACCTGGGACGCATTTCCTAAACCTGGGCGTCCGGATTCAATAACTTGAACGCAGTTATAACTTGTAGGTACAAGCCTGGACCTGTTCCTGAACTCTGAAGTTTGATTTATTGACCTGGACTGGATCCTGGGCCAGTAGTCCAGGAAAAACCCAGGTCTAGGTAAAACCCCAGGAAGGTCAAAAAATGTTGGAGCTGGACTCTAGGTACAGGAAATACCCCAGGTCTTGCTCCAGGTCCAGCTTTATCTCTAAATTGATGTTACTTAAACCAGTTTTATAGCATCAAAAAATATTTCAAAAAATTTTTTAATTATTTAATTTCTAATATTTTTAATTTAAAAAATAAAAATTAATAAAAAAAATTTTGTAAAAAGTCAAAATCGATTTATTTTATTGTTAAGCATTACTTGGCCATAAAATACAGCAATGTTTATTCATATGAATTTATTCCCATTCATCTACCCCCTATCACTCAACGCCAGCAGAACGTCGATTGACTGTCTAAAAAATATTTACCATTCATCTCGATTTTTCCAAAGCTTTTATTGTACAAATTTAACGTCCAAAAACAATCATTAAATTTATTGAAATATCAAATCACGGTATAATAAAAATTTTAAGACAGAGAGGGCGCTTATTAGAATTCTTTGAAAATTGAGCTTGTTTTAAATATATGAAGCAGGGATCGCGCCGACCCGATTCACGATTCCCGAAAATCGTGAATCTGATTTTCTGTCCCCTGATATGAAGTCTGTCAAGACACATTTTAGCTCCAGATCGTCCTAGCTTGAAGCCTCTTTTAATGACCTTAAGGTAAAGAACCCTGAAATTAGTGAGTCAAGTCTGAAGGTGTAAATAAAATAAATAAAACAAAACAGTCCAAAAATCACTTTTAAACATTTTCAAAAAAAATTTTTCGTAAAAATAAAGAAATATTTACACCCCTAAAAAAATAAATTTTATGTTTTATTATTGCAACGTTTCTTTAATATTTTATGTAAAATGCTTAAAATTAATATAAATTAATTTTATAAAACATTTAAATTTTTCACACAGCTTTTATCAAGACACGTGAATTTTATTTTAAAAAATCTTTTTAATTGATTTTATTAATTTTCTCAATTCTATTTTATTTAAATTTTTTAATCTAGTTTTGATGTTTGTTTAGATTTTTGCTTTATTTAAATTATTTAAATTTAATAAAAATTAAATATTTTAAGTTACTCAAGTTTGTAATCTAGTCAAGTTTTTAATTTATTCCAGCTATAAATAAATTTATAGTTTTAATAAATTTAAGTTTGCGAAATTAAAATTAAAGCTTTAATTTTTTCAAGTTTGTATTTTATTAAAGTTAAATTTAATTTTACATTTTTTAAGTTTGCAATTTGATCAAGTTTTAATAAATTTAAGTTTGTTTATACGAACTTGAATTTAATGCTCATAATTTTTAAGTTTTCAAGTTTTACATTAAAGTTTTAATAAATTCAAGTTTGTAGTAAAGTAAATTTTAAATTCAAGTTTTGTTTTCAAGTTTGTAATCTATTCAAGTTTTAATTCTTCAAGTTTTAATAAATTCAAGTTTGTATAAGTTAAATTGAAGTGTGCAATTTATTTCAAGTTTGTAATTTTTTAATTTTAAAATTTAAATTTAAGTCTGATCTCAAATTACTCTAATACAAGTTTTTAATTATTCCTCTAGTGAATATTTTTTTGATCATTTCCAATTTATACACTTCTATTCCATTTTTAAAAAAATATTTTGATATTATAATCCCTTCATTATTTTTTGTTGCGAATTTTTATCAAAATTTTTGTTAATCCTTTTTCAAATAAAAAATAATCAAATAGGAAAAAAATTATTTTAAAAACAAAATTCGCCAAAAATTTTCTAAATTACCCTCAGAACATGTTCTCTACCTTCCCTAATTTTATATTTTTTAATTACGCAAAAGTTTTTAAAATTTATACATAACGCCATAAATAAATTAAATTAATTTTAAATTATTTATTGCCTTCTTATTTAATTTTTAATCTTTACTTCTTATTAAAAAAATTGTAGCATTAAAAAATACAATTGAAGTAAAAAAACCTCATTTTACTTAATAAAGACTAGTAGGTACTTAATAAGTTTATTTATTTATTGACTACGTGCCGTTTATTACCTCTTATACTTTAACCTCTATTTATTTACCTTTAAGCCTACATAATTTAATTTATAAATTAATTTTGACTCATTTGGTTTTGGAATATTTTTCAAAAATATTTATTTTAAATATTTCGATTATTCTTTTTTTATTGATCTTTTAATATTTTTAAACATTATTATTGCTCTTTTTCCCCAAAATTCCTCTAACTAATTTTTGTATTAGCAAACAAAAGTTGTATAGGTGAATTTTTGCCTGGTTTCTCCTCTCTGTTTACTTTAATCTTTTTATTTTAACTGAGAGCTTTAAACAATTTTTTTCAATTTCTTTACTTCAATTATTGATAATTTTAAAAATTAGAATTTTAGATTCAAAAATGTCGACTTGGCAAAAATATCGAAAGTCTCCAAGATTTCCTTCTTCCCTTATTTCTTTTTTGCTACTTGTTGCTTTGCTATTTATGGTGATTTTTAATTTTTTTAACCGATCAGAACTTTAAATTATTTTTCTTTTTGTTTTTCATCACAGACTAGAATTCTGATCGTAGAATTCTGATATTAATAAAAATATTTAAATAGGTGTCATCACTTCTTTGGTATGGCACACCTTACAGCTTATATGACCGAAGGGTAGTTTCCTACCATCGTATGCCTGATTATCGCAATTTGCCTGTGGAACGTTATTTGGAAATTGCGCCTATTGTGGAAAAATCAGAAAATTATTTGAATGAAAGGAGTTTGCGTTTAGGGTAATTCTTGGAAATTTTAGAAAATTAAGATTAACCTCATAATTTCAGAAATATGGTAAATACAAGTTTTGCGAAATTTGTGAAGGAGATTCCAGCAAAGGACGGAAATTGGTGTGAACGAATGGGTATTGGCAAACTTGACAGTGAGGAACATAAAAAATTGGAAGGATGGGCTTTTACTAACGAAGACAAAACTTTTTCTACAGAGGAGTCAATAAAACCTGGGGAGACTGTCAATAATCAGTGAGTAGAAATTTTAGTTGATATTTTTTAAATAACCAATTTAACTTCAAACGTAATTCATTTTCAAGTTTATTTATAAGAAATTACAAACTTGATAATATTTATAAGTTTAGACAAAAGTACAAATTTTATATTTTCAAGTTTATTTTTCTAAATTACAAACTTGAATATTTTCAAGTTTATTTTTCTAAATTACAAACTTGAATATTTTCAAGTTTATTTTTCTAAATTACAAACTTGAATATTTTCAAGTTTATTCGTCGAACTTACAAACTTAACTATTTTCAAGTTTATTTATTAGAATTAAAGCTCGACCTCTTAAGTTTACCCTTAAGAAAACTTGAGTTCTCAAGTTTATTTTCAAGTTTATTTTTCGAGATTACAAACTTACCTTTAACGTTTATCCTTAGAAAATTACAAACTTAATTTATTTTTAAGTTTGCTCTTTAATTTCACAGGTGTATTCGACTTAAAGAAAAATTTCCTTTCATTGATGAACCTCTTTCAGAAGAAGAAAGGGAATTTCCACTTGCCTATGGCATGCTAGTGTATAAATCGGCTTTCCAAGTTTACATGATGATGAGTGCTATTTATCAAGTATGCGCTTTGAAATAAAGCTTGAATTCAATTCTTTTTTAAGCCTCAAAATATTTATTGTATTTTGGTTGACGAAAAATCAAGTAAAGAATTTAAAGATTCAATGTTATTGCTTACTGACTGTTTTCCAAATATTTTTGTTATGGTTGGGATTAATTATAAAATCGTTTTAACCTTTTTTAAGGCAAGTGTTGGCCCTGTTGGTTGGTGTGAATTTGGAATAACTCGTTCACTTTTCAATTGCCTTCGTTATTTGACTGAGAGGAAACACGACTGGAAATATTTTCAGGTGAAATCCTGCACCTATTTTTATTAAATACATTTTTAGTATCTGAGTGGATTTGATCTGCCTTTAAAAACAAATTTGGAAGTATCCTTATTAATTTGCATATTCGTTAAATTATGTATTTTTTAACAGATGGTTCGAATTTTCAAACAACTTCATGGGTCTATAAATATGGAAGTTTCTTTGTATCAAAGTGGCAGGCTTGGTGCAGAACTTAAAGTGACTTGCAAAAATTAAGTGAACAATAATAAATATTAAACCTTTGTAGAATATCAAACCTCCATTAACCTTATGGAAGTCAAGTATGTCTTCTTTGGTTCCACGTGAAGTAGCTAATGTAATGATGGCCAGTCCTAAAGTGCATGAATTGATGAGATTCTTGCAGCACTCAGATTGTTCTGATGAAGCTGTTTGGACCACGATTACAGGAAATCCACAAGGTGGTTAAAATTTAAAACTCGAACTGAGAAAATCAAAATTTTCAGAATTAAAAATTCCTGGAGGATTTAACGCTGCAGCTTTCCATTTTGAAAGAATGGAGTGTCTTAAACATAAAAAAGGAAATTGGACAGCAATTATTGAACAGGAAGTGAAAGCAATGGCAGAAAGGCATCCAAATGAGCCTTTTCTCCCTGATAATTATTATATCGCTCGTTATCAAGTTTGGGGTTCATCTACTTTACATAAATGTTATTGTTGGTTTTATAGTTTATGTAAACTTAAGTTTAAAAATAAATGATAAAAGTTTAAGCTTAAGTTTTAAGTTTAAGTTAATTTTAAGTTCATAAGTTTAAGCTCAAATATTAAAACAAGATTTACAAACTTAAATGAACTTGAAAATCAATATTTACCACCATTTTAAGTTCAAACTTAAGGAATACAACAAAGCTTTAAAAATAAACTTGAAAAGAAAGATTTGTAAATTTAAGTTTAAGCTCAAACTTTAAAACAGAATTTGCAAACTTAAATTGTGTTTAAGTTCAAGCTTAAAGAAATCAAACTTTTTTGAAAATAAACTTGAAAAGATATTGCACACTTAAGTTTAGGTGTAAGCTTAAAATAAAAGTTTCAAACTTGGATTAAATCAAACTTGAAAAAAACATTTACAAACTTTTTTAAGATCAAACTTAGACATCAAAGTTTTAAAAATAAACCTGAAAAGAAAGTTTACGAACTTAAGTATATATGTTCAAACTTTAAAAATAAATTTACAAACTTAAAAACTTTTTTTATTTTTAGCACAAAATTTTGCTAGTGCTTCATGTGTTTATGGAATTAATGATATTCCCTATATGCTTAGAAGACCAGAACTTTCACAACACAAAATGTATTTGAGTTTTCAACCTGCAGGTTGTTTAAATTAATTATTTTTAAATATTAATTTAATTTAAGCCTATTTTTGCCTTTGGAAAACAATACATGAGAGAGCACTTGATTGGCGTAATCAAAAAGAATTTAAGGCTACCGCCTATTCTGAACTTCCAACAGTTAAGCATGCTAGGGAGGGGAATGAACGCTTTTATGACGATAAGTGTCTTTTATCTTTATGGTGATTTGACTAATTTAAATTTTATTTTTTTATTACTCTTATATATTGACAATCACTTAAAATACTGCTTCTTCCTCAATTTTTCTATATCAAAAATTCTATTGTTAATGCTTTAAGTGAAATTTTTTAGCTTCATAAGCGTCTTTTTTATTAATCAAAATTCTCCAAAAAATGAAATTCTCTATTCGTTTACAGCATTTAAACAATATTAATTTCAAGAGAATTTTTAAATTACGGGATTTATATTCATATATTAAAAACTATTTTTGACCTCTGTGATATCACTCTGTTTTTCACGTGTATCACTTAATATATTAATTAATTTTAATTTATTAAATAAATAATTTCTATATAAAATGGATTTTTTTTATTAATTCGATATGAATAAGCTTTCGATTGGGAATAGGAGATTTAGATTTAATTTGAAAAAGATTAAATTATTACAAATTTTTAAAAACTATCGGGAATTTCCGATTTTGGAATCAGTAATTGTGAAAGCAGTCTGTATCTCTCCTGATCAGGTATATCTGGAGCTGTGATTAAGATTGATTTGGAGAGATATCGAGTGATTTGGAGGTTTATCTGTGATATCAACTGATTCTGAGGGTAGATATCAAGAGATTTCAATTAATTATAGCTATAATTATAAATAAACATGTTGACTTATCATACAAGAGTCTTTCGAACGTACTTCATTTGCATCTCACATTTTATAGATTCATTTTATATTTTCTTGAAAAAAAGAATTTCTGATTTACGTGAATCAAGTAAGAATCGGTAAAACAGTCAGTATTTTTCCTGATCAGGGATGCACTTAATTGCAAATTGCGTTTGCGATTTAAAAATTAAAACGGAAATTCCTTTATTCCCGATTACGGGGATCGGGTCGGCTAAATAACTTTTTCTATTATAAATAGATTTTTTACGTTTATTTACTTTTAATGTTAAAATAGAAGAATTTAATTTTAAATTCTGAAAAAAAGAATAAATTTCATTTAAAAAATTTTTTCTTTTGGGATTTTTTAATTGTAAATACACTGCGTGATTAGATTTAATTTTTATTTAATTTTCAAAAAAGTGTGTGAAAAAGGTGCATTTTCTGTTGATCGATGGAGTGTCTTAAACATAAAAAAAGAAATGTTACAGCAATTATTAACAGGAAGTGAAATCAACGGCTAAAAGGCATCCTTATGTTCTATGTACATTATAGCTTTAGTTATAAAATTTTAAATTTATTAAATAATTTGTTATATAAAAATGGCTTTTTTTTATTAATTTGATATGAATAAGCGATGATTGGAGAATTAGTTTTACATAACTTGAAAAAAATTAAATTAATAGTAGTAATAATAATATTCAGATTTATTTCAAGTTTATTGTTCTATTTTATTTTTACCAAAAACGAAGCTAAGCGTTCGGCATTTTAAAATTGCTTAGAAGTTAGAAGTTGTCAAGTTTTAGAACTACAAATTTTTGTATTTTACCTCTAAATCCTGCCAACTTATTCTTATAACTCTGATATTTCTCTTAAAAATAGGTAACTCTATTAGGAACATAAGAATAATAACCAAATTACAATTTTGAAAATATTTTGCCGCATTTTAATAATTATAATTAATGCGCTTAACTCAAGGGGGAGGGCTCATATTTAAAGAAATTAAAATGTTTAGTAAATCTTTTTTTATTATTAATTTCAAAAAATGTCGACTTGGCAAAAGATTCAAAAGTCTTCAAGTTTTTCTTCTTTTTTCATTTCTTTATTGCTACTTGTTGCTTTGTTATTTATGGTGTGATTTTTGATTTTAATCTATCTCAATTCTCAATTCGTTATTTATTTATTTAAATAGGCCTCATCACTTCCTTGGTATGGCAATTGTTATAGCCTTTCGGACAGTAGTGAAGTCTCTTCCATTCGAGATTATCGCAGTTTACCTGTAGAGTCTCCCCTTGATGTAGATAAATTGGAAAATTATTTGAATGAAAGGAGTTTGCGTTTAGGGTGAATTTTAGAAAATTAAGATTACTCTCAAAAATTTCAGAAATATGATAAATACAAGTTTTGCAAAATTTGTGAAGGGGATTCCTGCAAAGGATGGCAATTGGTGTGAACGAATGGGTAATGGCAAACTTGACAGTGAAGAACATAAAAAATTGGAAGGATGGGCTTTTGCTGATGATGACAAAACTTTGTTTGCAGAATTGGCAAAAAGCGGGGAGGTTGTCAGTCAACGGTGGGTTGATTCTTAAGTCTTAGAGAATTACAAACTTAAGTTTTCAAGTTCATTATACAAACTTACAAACATGAAGCTTGTTATTTTATTTTTAAGATGTACTCGCCTTAAAGAAAAGTTTCCTTTTATTGATGAACCTCTTTCAGAAGAAGAAAAGGAATTTCCACTTGCTTATGGCATTCTTGTGTATAAATCGGCTTTCCAAGTTTACATGATGATGAGTGCTATTTATCATGTATGCCTTTAAAACTTAAGTTCTAATACAACACAGCTTGGCGTTAGATATTTCTCTCCTTCAGCTAGTGCAAAAGGTTATACGACGGCTGGGAGCGAACAGACAGCCCACCGCTTAGGAATTAAATGCTTTATAATTCTTTTTAATTTTCAGCCGCAGAATATTTATTGTGTTTCGATTGATGAAAAATCAACTAAAGAATTTAAAGATTCAATGTTATTGCTTACTGACTGTTTTCCGAATATTTTTGTTATGGTAGGGTTTAATCTAGTCCAAAAAATTATTTTAAAGGCAAGTGTAAACCCTGTTGGTTGGTGTGAATTTGGAGTAGCTCGTTCGCTTTATAATTGCTTTCGTTATTTGACTGAACATAAGCATGACTGGAAATATTTTCAAGTTAAATAAAAGAAATTTACTAATTAGATGCTTTTTTTAGTACCTGAGTGGATTTGATTTGCCTTTGAAAACAAATTTGGAAGTATATTTATTATACATATTTTATAATGTAAATTTCTTACAGATGGTTCGAATTTTTAAGCAACTAAATAGATCTATCAATATGCAAGTTTCTTTGTATCCGACTAACCGGCTTGGTGCAGAACTTAAGGTGAGTCACAATCTATGAAAAAATAAATATTAAATGTAGAATATCAAGCCCCCGTTACCCTTATGGAAGTCAAGTATGTCTTCTTTGTTTCCCCGTGAAGCAGCTAATGTTATGGTCTCCAGTTCTAAAGTGCATGAATTGCTGAGATTCTTGGAACAGACAATTTGTTCTGATGAAACTGTCTGGACTACTGTTGCAGGAAATCCACAAGGTGTTTAAAATATTATTTTGATTCTTATTTATTTCCTAAAAAGTCTGGTCTTCAACACCACGTAAAATAAAATTGTTTAATTTTCAGAATTAAAAATTCCCGGAGGATTTAACGCTGCAGCTTTCCATTTCGAGAGAACGGAGTGTGTTAAACATAAAAAAGGAAATATTACAGCAATCATTGAACAGGAAGTGAAAGCAATGGCTGAAAGACATCCAAACGAGCCTTTTCTCCCTGATAATTATTATATCTCTCGTTATCAAGTTTGGGATGTAGCTACTTTACATAAATGTTACTGTAAGTTTATAGAGATTTTTAATGTTTCAAACTTGATTTTAAAATAAACTTGAAAAGAAAGTTTATGAACTTAAAACTTAAATATAATCAAACAGAATTTCAAACTTGAAATAAATCAAACTTTAAAAACAACATTACAAACTTTTTTAAGATTAAACTTTAAAAATCTAACAATGGTTTAAAAAATAAGAAAAGAAGTTCGTAAACAACTTAAGCTTACGCTCAACCTTTAAAATAATTTGCAGACTTAATTTTACAGTTACAACCTTTTTTAAAGTCAAACTTAATATTTTATAAATAAACTTGTAATTAGGATTGCATGCTTAACTTTAAGCTCAAGCTCAAAAAATAATTTGCGAACTCAAAAACCCTATTTTTAGCACAGCGTTATAGACTCGAGTCATGTGTTTTTGGCATTAAGGATATTCCTTATTTGCTTAAACGACCAGAACTTGTACAACACAAAATGTATTTGAGTTTTCAACCTGCAGGTTCCCGATATTAATAATTCAATAAATAAACTAAATTAATTTAAGCCTATTTTTGTCTTTGGAAAACAATACATGAGAGAGCACTTGATTGGCGAAATCAAAAAGAATTTAAGGCTACCGCCTATTCTGAACTTCCAACAGTTAAACATGTTAGGGAAGGGAATGAACACTTTTATGATAATGAGTGCCTTTTACCTTATTGGGATTGAAAAAAATACAACTTGCTTTATCATTTACGTATATTAACGAATATATAATTACAAATTATCCTTGTGATATCACAATGTTTCCGTGTATCAATTATAAATTAAAATTTTTATCGAATAAATTCCATTTAAAAAATTTTTTCTTTTGGGATTTTTTAATTGTAAATACACTGCGTGATTAGATTTAATTTTTATTTAATTTTCAAAAAAGTGTGTGAAAAAGAAATGTTACAGCAATTATTAACAGGAAGTGAAATCAACGGCTAAAAGGCATCCTTATGTTCTATGTACATTATAGCTTTAGTTATAAAATTTTAAATTTATTAAATAATTTGTTATATAAAAATGGCTTTTTTTATTAATTTGATATGAATAAGCGATGATTGGAGAATTAGTTTTACATAACTTGAAAAAAATTAAATTAATAGTAGTAATAATAATATTCAGATTTATTTCAAGTTTATTGTTCTATTTTATTTTTACCAAAAACGAAGCTAAGCGTTCGGCATTTTAAAATTGCTTAGAAGTTAGAAGTTGTCAAGTTTTAGAACTACAAATTTTTGTATTTTACCTCTAAATCCTGCCAACTTATTCTTATAACTCTGATATTTCTCTTAAAAATAGGTAACTCTATTAGGAACATAAGAATAATAACCAAATTACAATTTTGAAAATATTTTGCCGCATTTTAATAATTATAATTAATGCGCTTAACTCAAGGGGGAGGGCTCATATTTAAAGAAATTAAAATGTTTAGTAAATCTTTTTTTATTATTAATTTCAAAAAATGTCGACTTGGCAAAAGATTCAAAAGTCTTCAAGTTTTTCTTCTTTTTTCATTTCTTTATTGCTACTTGTTGCTTTGTTATTTATGGTGTGATTTTTGATTTTAATCTATCTCAATTCTCAATTCGTTATTTATTTATTTAAATAGGCCTCATCACTTCTTTGGTATGGCAATTGTTATAGCCTTTCGGACAGTAGTGAAGTCTCTTCCATTCGAGATTATCGCAGTTTACCTGTAGAGTCTCCCCTTGATGTAGATAAATTGGAAAATTATTTGAATGAAAGGAGTTTGCGTTTAGGGTGAATTTTAGAAAATTAAGATTACTCTCAAAAATTTCAGAAATATGATAAATACAAGTTTTGCAAAATTTGTGAAGGGGATTCCTGCAAAGGATGGCAATTGGTGTGAACGAATGGGTAATGGCAAACTTGACAGTGAAGAACATAAAAAATTGGAAGGATGGGCTTTTGCTGATGATGACAAAACTTTGTTTGCAGAATTGGCAAAAAGCGGGGAGGTTGTCAGTCAACGGTGGGTTGATTCTTAAGTCTTAGAGAATTACAAACTTAAGTTTTCAAGTTCATTATACAAACTTACAAACATGAAGCTTGTTATTTTATTTTTAAGATGTACTCGCCTTAAAGAAAAGTTTCCTTTTATTGATGAACCTCTTTCAGAAGAAGAAAAGAAATTTCCACTTGCTTATGGCATTCTTGTGTATAAATCGGCTTTCCAAGTTTACATGATGATGAGTGCTATTTATCATGTATGCCTTTAAAACTTAAGTTCTAATACAACACAGCTTGGCGTTAGATATTTCTCTCCTTCAGCTAGTGCAAAAGGTTATACGACGGCTGGGAGCGAACAGACAGCCCACCGCTTAGGAATTAAATGCTTTATAATTCTTTTTAATTTTCAGCCGCAGAATATTTATTGTGTTTCGATTGATGAAAAATCAACTAAAGAATTTAAAGATTCAATGTTATTGCTTACTGACTGTTTTCCGAATATTTTTGTTATGGTAGGGTTTAATCTAGTCCAAAAAATTATTTTAAAGGCAAGTGTAAACCCTGTTGGTTGGTGTGAATTTGGAGTAGCTCGTTCGCTTTATAATTGCTTTCGTTATTTGACTGAACATAAGCATGACTGGAAATATTTTCAAGTTAAATAAAAGAAATTTACTAATTAGATGCTTTTTTTAGTACCTGAGTGGATTTGATTTGCCTTTGAAAACAAATTTGGAAGTATATTTATTATACATATTTTATAATGTAAATTTCTTACAGATGGTTCGAATTTTTAAGCAACTAAATAGATCTATCAATATGCAAGTTTCTTTGTATCCGACTAACCGGCTTGGTGCAGAACTTAAGGTGAGTCACAATCTATGAAAAAATAAATATTAAATGTAGAATATCAAGCCCCCGTTACCCTTATGGAAGTCAAGTATGTCTTCTTTGTTTCCCCGTGAAGCAGCTAATGTTATGGTCTCCAGTTCTAAAGTGCATGAATTGCTGAGATTCTTGGAACAGACAATTTGTTCTGATGAAACTGTCTGGACTACTGTTGCAGGAAATCCACAAGGTGTTTAAAATATTATTTTGATTCTTATTTATTTCCTAAAAAGTCTGGTCTTCAACACCACGTAAAATAAAATTGTTTAATTTTCAGAATTAAAAATTCCCGGAGGATTTAACGCTGCAGCTTTCCATTTCGAGAGAACGGAGTGTGTTAAACATAAAAAAGGAAATATTACAGCAATCATTGAACAGGAAGTGAAAGCAATGGCTGAAAGACATCCAAACGAGCTACTATTAATTTAATTTTTTTCAAGTTATGTAAAACTAATTCTCCAATCATCGCTTATTCATATCAAATTAATAAAAAAAGCCATTTTTATATAACAAATTATTTAATAAATTTAAAATTTTATAACTAAAGCTATAATGTACATAGAACATAAGGATGCCTTTTAGCCGTTGATTTCACTTCCTGTTAATAATTGCTGTAACATTTCTTTTTCACACACTTTTTTGAAAATTAAATAAAAATTAAATCTAATCACGCAGTGTATTTACAATTAAAAAATCCCAAAAGAAAAAATTTTTTAAATGGAATTTATTCGATAAAAATTTTAATTTATAATTGATACACGGAAACATTGTGATATCACAAGGATAATTTGTAATTATATATTCGTTAATATACGTAAATGATAAAGCAAGTTGTATTTTTTTCAATCCCAATAAGGTAAAAGGCACTCATTATCATAAAAGTGTTCATTCCCTTCCCTAACATGTTTAACTGTTGGAAGTTCAGAATAGGCGGTAGCCTTAAATTCTTTTTGATTTCGCCAATCAAGTGCTCTCTCATGTATTGTTTTCCAAAGACAAAAATAGGCTTAAATTAATTTAGTTTATTTATTGAATTATTAATATCGGGAACCTGCAGGTTGAAAACTCAAATACATTTTGTGTTGTACAAGTTCTGGTCGTTTAAGCAAATAAGGAATATCCTTAATGCCAAAAACACATGACTCGAGTCTATAACGCTGTGCTAAAAATAGGGTTTTTGAGTTCGCAAATTATTTTTTGAGCTTGAGCTTAAAGTTAAGCATGCAATCCTAATTACAAGTTTATTTATAAAATATTAAGTTTGACTTTAAAAAAGGTTGTAACTGTAAAATTAAGTCTGCAAATTATTTTAAAGGTTGAGCGTAAGCTTAAGTTGTTTACGAACTTCTTTTCTTATTTTTTAAACCATTGTTAGATTTTTAAAGTTTAATCTTAAAAAAGTTTGTAATGTTGTTTTTAAAGTTTGATTTATTTCAAGTTTGAAATTCTGTTTGATTATATTTAAGTTTTAAGTTCATAAACTTTCTTTTCAAGTTTATTTTAAAATCAAGTTTGAAACATTAAAAATCTCTATAAACTTACAGTAACATTTATGTAAAGTAGCTACATCCCAAACTTGATAACGAGAGATATAATAATTATCAGGGAGAAAAGGCTCGTTTGGATGTCTTTCAGCCATTGCTTTCACTTCCTGTTCAATGATTGCTGTAATATTTCCTTTTTTATGTTTAACACACTCCGTTCTCTCGAAATGGAAAGCTGCAGCGTTAAATCCTCCGGGAATTTTTAATTCTGAAAATTAAACAATTTTATTTTACGTGGTGTTGAAGACCAGACTTTTTAGGAAATAAATAAGAATCAAAATAATATTTTAAACACCTTGTGGATTTCCTGCAACAGTAGTCCAGACAGTTTCATCAGAACAAATTGTCTGTTCCAAGAATCTCAGCAATTCATGCACTTTAGAACTGGAGACCATAACATTAGCTGCTTCACGGGGAAACAAAGAAGACATACTTGACTTCCATAAGGGTAACGGGGGCTTGATATTCTACATTTAATATTTATTTTTTCATAGATTGTGACTCACCTTAAGTTCTGCACCAAGCCGGTTAGTCGGATACAAAGAAACTTGCATATTGATAGATCTATTTAGTTGCTTAAAAATTCGAACCATCTGTAAGTATGAGAATTTGGAGAATTGAAAAATAAGTATTACCAGGATGAAATTGCCGAGAAGGCCCTGATTCATCTTTCCGCTTTTTCGTTCCTTAATAAAAAATTTTTTTTCGTTAATAAAAAATTTTCTGAATTTTGTATTTGTCCTATATACAAAGCCCTTTGAATTTTTCAAAAAAATAGGAACCTCTATTACTTCCATTTTTCATGCCTTCGACTAACAAGTCTCGAGGCAATATTTCACCAAAAAACAACAAAAGTTGGATTATAATAAAAGAAGAAATAATCATTTGAAAAAACTTTTCTTTGATTTTTTTTGAAAATTAAAATCTTAGAATAGCTTAACATTTAAACAAATTAATTAACAATCTGTTAAGAAGAATCGAGGTATTCGAGAGAAGAATCGGGGCAAGAGGGGCAAGCAAGAATCGAGGCAAGTTACTATGCAGGAGGCGGCGTGGGTTAATAAATGAGACATCAGTCCGGTTAACTGTAGATGGTTCTTAGCTCCAGGGACGGGACGGGTTGAGAAAAATGACGGATTCGGGTAAGTAGGAACGGAGTTAAAAATTTTCTTCGGATCGGGCTTCGGGATCAGATAGCCCGTCCCCTACCTTGTTCGCTCAACCGACCGATTAGACTTTTTATTAGCTGAAAGATACATAAATAGCTATAGCCCAGATCCGCTTACTATGAAAGTTTAAATTTGACTTTAGAATTGCCTTGAAAATCCCCCAGTAGCAATAAAAAATTTTAAAATTGAAAATATTGGCTATTAATTAAATAAACAATAAATAAATTTTCAGTCAATTTAAATGCCTCTCCCTATTTTTGAATGCCCCTCTCCCCCCCCCCCCCTGTTATTGAAAATAAAAGTCTAATCATTGGCCCCTTAATTTTATTTTTAAATTTTAAAGGGAGGGAGGAGGGATAGACAATTTAAATTTTAAGACGTCTATAGCGCCTTCACGTGCTTGAAGCCCGGCAAATGAAAGGGGATACCCGTAGCGAGAATAAAGCTTGTGATTAGTGAATTAATTTTGGCAACACATGATTTTTAAAAATAAAAACAAATAAATAAATTTCCGGCGCTCCCTTTAATCTTAATTTCAAAATATTTTTTAATGACTTGTTTTGAAATTTTCTTAGATATAAAGTCAGATTCATTGAAGATTATTGTAGGTTGTCGAAACCTGGGGAACTTTCAACTGAACATAGGTATCTACCCCGGTGGGCTGATTTCAATGAAAAGAGATGCCTTCCTATTAATCTATAACTCATTAGAAAGAGCATGCTTCACTGTATTTATTATGCTTCACTGAACCAGTTGGAGATCTGTCTAATCTGTCTACGATACCTCAAAACATGTTAAAATGACTCATATTAGCCTGGAGATAAGACTTAGTTATTAAAAAACTCATATGAGAATGACGCACATTACTGCCACTTTTTTCAACATCAGATATCTCAAGTTGGTGTATTTCGACGACAACGATGCCTTCCTATTAATCCATAGCTCATTAAAAAGAAAACAAAACTTTTACTTAATTAAGAAAACAAAACTTTTACTTTTACTTAAAAAGCGCTCCTGTAGAATGTTCGAGTATTTAAAAAAAATTAATTTTTTTTTGTTCTATCATAAAATTTTTTTCAAAAGTTATTCAAAACTTTCCAAAAGTAGGTATTATATACAGCTTTTAATGCTCTATATACAGCTTTTAATGCTCAAAATTTTCCAATGCACAAATTTTCCAATAAATTTTAAAATTAATTATAGCTCATTCCTTTGTAAGCGCATCTTTATACATTAAATTTTTACATTTTTACAATTTCTGGATTTAATACATAAGTCTCATCAATCAAAAATTTTCGAATAAAATGTTCAGGATTTTATTAAAAAGCTGTAAAATTTGCAATTCTAGGCTTTTAGAATCCATTTCTAGATTTCTAGGCTTTTATTTCTCATTTCTGTCTTCTATTCAATGTTAATTGAATAGGAAAATTAACCCCTGAATCTCTAACTTTTAAATAAACACACAAAATTTTCCAATGCTTTTATCAATGAATTCTTTCAAATGGGTTTTAGCACAAAAGCCTATAAATTTGAATGAAAGGTGAAGAAGGGAATTGAAGTTAATGGAAGGTGAAGTTTTTGGTATAGGCTTTTGTCTTTTACATATAATGAATATTTTGGGGGTGGAACAAACAATGAAAAAATGAATACTTTAAATGTGATTCATTACTAGTCTTCTTTTCCTTTTCTCGTCGCGAACTTGAAATCATTGATAAGACTTCCGTTTGTGTTTAAAAATACATTGAAATGAGGTAAATTTAAATAAAATGAGGAAAATTTTAGAATTATCCCTGTGAAAGAGTAGAAGGGACCCAATGTATGTAGTGTAACCAGGAATGTTTAACACAAATAATATATGTAGGTATCGAAAAATTTATGATAATTTTCTATAAGGTTCGGTGACAACAAGCTCTACTCTATATTAGGGATAAGTGAAAGGTAAGAGCCGTCTAAAACGAGGCTGAATCAGTGAAAAAATATAAAAAATATGCAAGGAACTAATAAATCGTTCCATTGGATTTAGTTGATTTTTTTTGTTTTTTTTAAGTTTTTTTTTTGTGTTTTTGTGTTTTTTTAATTTTTAAAAATTTTTTTGTTTTTTTGTTTTTAATTTTTTTTGTAATTTTTTGTTTGTTTTGCCCTTTTAGTACCCTCAATCATCCCCTCAATCATCATCTTCATTATCTTCGCCATCGTCCGTATCATTGTTACTTGATTCTTCACCTTCGTCTTCACTCAAATTTTCTCCGGTATAATGCGCACTGATATCCGCACTCTCATCATTCACCGTAAAAATAATCCCTGCATAATATCGAATTGTGTTGAACTTCTCGTAGTCCCCATTGATATGTAATCCTGGAAATGTTCCAGCTGTAATTTGAACTATTAATCGCGCAACAACATTTAAAACATAATCCTGATAATCTGTAAAAATATAAATATTATTTTTTCTTAAAGTAAAGCAGCTGGGCTATAGCGATTTCTATAGCTATTTCTCTCGTTTAGCTTTGTAGTGCAAAAGGTTCTTCAGCGGCTGGGAGCGAACCAGCATCTTAAGTAGACCGGACTGATGTGTTACATCATGCCGCCTACTGCATAGCTTTAGGAATTAAATAACTATACTTTACGGTAATTTATTATAAAATTCTTTATTTAATATTTAACTTTACTAAAAAATTTTTTTATAAGAACAAAAATTTAATTTTTTTACTTACTCTGCCTTAATAGTGTGAAAGTAGTACTCATCCCCTGCGCTGTTAATTTATCTGTTGCTTCATTTATTTTAGTTGGATAGTTATCTAAAACTTGTTGATATTTCTCAACATCGAGTTGCCAACTAAATAAAAATTTATATTTTGTTAAGTACATACACCCTTGAGATGAAAAGATGGAAAGATTTAAACCGGTGATCGAAATTTCGTTATTACTGATACGGAATATCGATAAATACTGCAAAATACCGTCGTCGCATGGTACTGTCCGGTCCCTAATTTCTAACTTAGAATTTCTAACCTACACAACTTGAGAAGAATATATATATTTTTTATAATTTGATGGGGGTAGCTAGGGCATTAACACCAATGCTTACGAATACTGATGAGCCAAGAGATTCTTATGTTTTGCTTCTTAACCAGATAGGGTATTTTTTATGAAAATAATATTTATCAATATAATAAAGTTAATAATGTGAGATTATATGTAGTGCTAGACTCCTCAAGAAACGGTAATACAGAAAAATCAGCTATAAAAGTCTAAGTTAGAAATTAGGGACCGGACAGTACCATGCGACGACGGTATTTTGCAGTATTTATCGATATTCCGTATCAGTAATAACGAAATTTCGATCACCGGTTTAAATCTTTCCATCTTTTCATCTCAAGGGTGTATGTACTTAACAAAATATAAATTTTTATTTAGTTGGCAACTCGATGTTGAGAAATATCAACAAGTTTTAGATAACTATCCAACTAAAATAAATGAAGCAACAGATAAATTAACAGCGCAGGGGATGAGTACTACTTTCACACTATTAAGGCAGAGTAAGTAAAAAAATTAAATTTTTGTTCTTATAAAAAAATTTTTTAGTAAAGTTAAATATTAAATAAAGAATTTTATAATAAATTACCGTAAAGTATAGTTATTTAATTCCTAAAGCTATGCAGTAGGCGGCATGATGTAACACATCAGTCCGGTCTACTTAAGATGCTGGTTCGCTCCCAGCCGCTGAAGAACCTTTTGCACTACAAAGCTAAACGAGAGAAATAGCTATAGAAATCGCTATAGCCCAGCTGCTTTACTTTAAGAAAAAATAATATTTATATTTTTACAGATTATCAGGATTATGTTTTAAATGTTGTTGCGCGATTAATAGTTCAAATTACAGCTGGAACATTTCCAGGATTACATATCAATGGGGACTACGAGAAGTTCAACACAATTCGATATTATGCAGGGATTATTTTTACGGTGAATGATGAGAGTGCGGATATCAGTGCGCATTATACCGGAGAAAATTTGAGTGAAGACGAAGGTGAAGAATCAAGTAACAATGATACGGACGATGGCGAAGATAATGAAGATGATGATTGAGGGGATGATTGAGGGTACTAAAAGGGCAAAACAAACAAAAAATTACAAAAAAAATTAAAAACAAAAAAACAAAAAAATTTTTAAAAATTAAAAAAACACAAAAACACAAAAAAAAAACTTAAAAAAAACAAAAAAAATCAACTAAATCCAATGGAACGATTTATTAGTTCCTTGCATATTTTTTATATTTTTTCACTGATTCAGCCTCGTTTTAGACGGCTCTTACCTTTCACTTATCCCTAATATAGAGTAGAGCTTGTTGTCACCGAACCTTATAGAAAATTATCATAAATTTTTCGATACCTACATATATTATTTGTGTTAAACATTCCTGGTTACACTACATACATTGGGTCCCTTCTACTCTTTCACAGGGATAATTCTAAAATTTTCCTCATTTTATTTAAATTTACCTCATTTCAATGTATTTTTAAACACAAACGGAAGTCTTATCAATGATTTCAAGTTCGCGACGAGAAAAGGAAAAGAAGACTAGTAATGAATCACATTTAAAGTATTCATTTTTTCATTGTTTGTTCCACCCCCAAAATATTCATTATATGTAAAAGACAAAAGCCTATACCAAAAACTTCACCTTCCATTAACTTCAATTCCCTTCTTCACCTTTCATTCAAATTTATAGGCTTTTGTGCTAAAACCCATTTGAAAGAATTCATTGATAAAAGCATTGGAAAATTTTGTGTGTTTATTTAAAAGTTAGAGATTCAGGGGTTAATTTTCCTATTCAATTAACATTGAATAGAAGACAGAAATGAGAAATAAAAGCCTAGAAATCTAGAAATGGATTCTAAAAGCCTAGAATTGCAAATTTTACAGCTTTTTAATAAAATCCTGAACATTTTATTCGAAAATTTTTGATTGATGAGACTTATGTATTAAATCCAGAAATTGTAAAAATGTAAAAATTTAATGTATAAAGATGCGCTTACAAAGGAATGAGCTATAATTAATTTTAAAATTTATTGGAAAATTTGTGCATTGGAAAATTTTGAGCATTAAAAGCTGTATATAGAGCATTAAAAGCTGTATATAATACCTACTTTTGGAAAGTTTTGAATAACTTTTGAAAAAAATTTTATGATAGAACAAAAAAAAATTAATTTTTTTTAAATACTCGAACATTCTACAGGAGCGCTTTTTAAGTAAAAGTAAAAGTTTTGTTTTCTTAATTAAGTAAAAGTTTTGTTTTCTTTTTAATGAGCTATGGATTAATAGGAAGGCATCGTTGTCGTCGAAATACACCAACTTGAGATATCTGATGTTGAAAAAAGTGGCAGTAATGTGCGTCATTCTCATATGAGTTTTTTAATAACTAAGTCTTATCTCCAGGCTAATATGAGTCATTTTAACATGTTTTGAGGTATCGTAGACAGATTAGACAGATCTCCAACTGGTTCAGTGAAGCATAATAAATACAGTGAAGCATGCTCTTTCTAATGAGTTATAGATTAATAGGAAGGCATCTCTTTTCATTGAAATCAGCCCACCGGGGTAGATACCTATGTTCAGTTGAAAGTTCCCCAGGTTTCGACAACCTACAATAATCTTCAATGAATCTGACTTTATATCTAAGAAAATTTCAAAACAAGTCATTAAAAAATATTTTGAAATTAAGATTAAAGGGAGCGCCGGAAATTTATTTATTTGTTTTTATTTTTAAAAATCATGTGTTGCCAAAATTAATTCACTAATCACAAGCTTTATTCTCGCTACGGGTATCCCCTTTCATTTGCCGGGCTTCAAGCACGTGAAGGCGCTATAGACGTCTTAAAATTTAAATTGTCTATCCCTCCTCCCTCCCTTTAAAATTTAAAAATAAAATTAAGGGGCCAATGATTAGACTTTTATTTTCAATAACAGGGGGGGGGGGGAGAGGGGCATTCAAAAATAGGGAGAGGCATTTAAATTGACTGAAAATTTATTTATTGTTTATTTAATTAATAGCCAATATTTTCAATTTTAAAATTTTTTATTGCTACTGGGGGATTTTCAAGGCAATTCTAAAGTCAAATTTAAACTTTCATAGTAAGCGGATCTGGGCTATAGCTATTTATGTATCTTTCAGCTAATAAAAAGTCTAATCGGTCGGTTGAGCGAACAAGGTAGGGGACGGGCTATCTGATCCCGAAGCCCGATCCGAAGAAAATTTTTAACTCCGTTCCTACTTACCCGAATCCGTCATTTTTCTCAACCCGTCCCGTCCCTGGAGCTAAGAACCATCTACAGTTAACCGGACTGATGTCTCATTTATTAACCCACGCCGCCTCCTGCATAGTAACTTGCCTCGATTCTTGCTTGCCCCTCTTGCCCCGATTCTTCTCTCGAATACCTCGATTCTTCTTAACAGATTGTTAATTAATTTGTTTAAATGTTAAGCTATTCTAAGATTTTAATTTTCAAAAAAAATCAAAGAAAAGTTTTTTCAAATGATTATTTCTTCTTTTATTATAATCCAACTTTTGTTGTTTTTTGGTGAAATATTGCCTCGAGACTTGTTAGTCGAAGGCATGAAAAATGGAAGTAATAGAGGTTCCTATTTTTTTGAAAAATTCAAAGGGCTTTGTATATAGGACAAATACAAAATTCAGAAAATTTTTTATTAACGAAAAAAAATTTTTTATTAAGGAACGAAAAAGCGGAAAGATGAATCAGGGCCTTCTCGGCAATTTCATCCTGGTAATACTTATTTTTCAATTCTCCAAATTCTCATAGAAGCAATATGAAACTATTAAAATTATAAAATTTTAGTTTAAATTTTTAGTTTAAAAAAGATTTTTTGCTTCAAAATATTTTGAGATTCTCCAAATATAAAACTATTATAGATAAAATCAGAGCTGGAACACCGGTTCTTAAACATCAACCAAATGCATTTTCTCTCACGGAGCTGTCCTTTCTGATTAGAATTTTGGAGATGGTTGAAGAGAATGAATTGGAACAGAATATTTATTCTATTCAACAAATCCTTTTTGGAAATGGAATTGATATATTAAGGAAAAAACACATCTTGAATCAAGGACAACTTGCTCATTTAATATGGGGAAATCAAAACAACACGAGTGAAGGACATTTTAATCATTTAATGCGAGAAAACCAAGGGCATCTGGATTCAGAACAGACTGCACACATAAATGAAACAAATTCAGATCAGATCCTTCATACCATTGGAGAAATTTCTGGCAAAATTGGAAAGGTAATTCAATGTAATTATTAAAAAGGCAAAAATTTTTTTGTCTGTAGTGGTTTATGTTAATTTAAAAACTCGTGTAAACGCCAGTTACAACCCAATAAAAAATTATTAAATATTCACTTGATCATAGACGTTTGGAAAATCTCGGACAAACGTTAACATAACACCTTTCGCAATTTTAACTCAAATAATACAATATTTTAAGTTGATTACTATGTATGAAGGCAAACTGAACGACGCAATGATGGAGCTTAACGGAAGTTTAAAGAATGTTGGAAATAAAACTGAATTGATAAAATTGAATAAATCTAGATACTATGAACTCACAGATAGCTTAAATGAAGGAGATAAAGCTAATCAAATTTTAAAAAACGAGATTAATTCCAACCATAGTAATAATGTGAGAATAAAGTGAGTGATATACATACTAATTAACAAGTTTACTGTCCATAAACAATTATTTTTTAAAGTTATTCGGGTTGGATTTTTTGGAAATTTGAGAGAAATATTTACTTTCTAAATCACCTACTGTCGAAATTATACGCTTTTCCTCTAGTAATTAAATTATTTTTAAAGCGAAGCTAATCTGAGTGAACTTTTGCATCAAGCAAATCCGTCTAGATTGCGCAATCTTTTAAAATCATTACTTGAACCTACACAACTTGAGAAGAATATATATATTTTTTATAATTTGTTAGTAGTAGCTAGAGCATTAACATCAATGTTTATGAGTAATGTTGCGCTAACAACCTTCTATCACAAGCTTCTTAGCAGTAAAGGGTATTTTTTAAATAAAAGGGTAAACGATAAGTTGTGGTCGGCTTTAAAGTAATACAAAATTATAAATACATTTTTCATATATTTTTACTTAGAAAGCAGCTCGATTTTGGAAAATATCAACAAGTTTTGGCTACTTATGAAAATAAAATAGCTGAAGCAATCAACAAATTAACAGCGAAAGGGAAAAGTACTACTTTCTCACTTCTAATTCAGCGTAAGCAAAATTAAAATGATAATAAAATTTTTTTAGTAAAGTTAAATGTTAAATAAAAGGCTTTAATTTTATAAAAAATATTTTTACAGATCATCAGGATTATTTTTTTGATGTTGTGTTACAATTATTAAATCGAATTTTAAGTGGAACATTTCCAGGATTAAATTTCAAGGAGTCCTACGAGAATGTAAACACAATTGGATATTATGCAGGGATTATTTTTACGGTGAATGATGAAAGTTTTGTTAATGAAAATTATACCGACGGAAATGAGAATGACTACGAATTTGAGCCTGGTAATTATTATACCGATGATGAAGAGGGCATTTAATGAAGATATATGATGGTTCTAAAAATGAAAACAAACACAAAAAAAAATTTACAAAAGCAAAAAAAAATTCAAAAAAAATTTAAAAATAAAAAAAGCAAAAAAAAACACAAAAAACCAAAAAACAAAAAAAAATTAACATAAATTTCAAGGAACGATTTATTAGTTCCCTGTATATTATTTAAATTTTTTGCTGTATCAGCCTCGAGCAGTGCTTTAAATTAACATTTTAAACAGCCTTCTACACCTTCTCTTACCCCTAAAAAGGGTAGAGCAAAGCAAGATATGATAATCGTCGTCGTCTCCGAACAAAAATAGGCCCTCCTGGGGCCCTTATATAATTAGCTTCCATATCTTTCAAGATAATCATTATCTATCTTTAAAGATAGGAGAACCCACATTACATATTAGTGTTCTGCCCTACCTGATTCCAATATTTTAACTCCTTTAACGAGGTAAAAATTCAAAAATTTAAAGTATCTAACTCAATTTACCTCATTTCAATGTATATTTTTTAAACATAAATCGGAGGTCTCATCATTGAATCTATGAAAAGTTAGTCAATCATCTGTGACTCATTAGAAAATAGTAAAAGATAGGATGGGGATTATTTTGATAGTTATCTGGAGCAAAATTATTATCCTCTTAATCATATTTTTGTATTAGAGATATTCTAAAATTTTTAAATGATGAGACTTCCAGAATTGTATATACTATGAGTAAAAATTTATATAATATTTATATAAGTAATGTATAAAAATGTACATACAAACCGAAAATTTATTATTTGATTTATGTTCTTATGTTCTATGAAGTTAGTCTGATTAATTATTTGGATATTCTAAATTTTGATAGATTATTGTAGAAGTTATTATTTTTGGAAGGACAAAAAGCCGGATTTGGGGGCGATCTCGCCGAGTTTACTCTGTTTAGAGGTTGAAAAAAGTTTTTAAACTAAAATTTTAACTTATGGTACACAGATTTTATGTTTTTATTACTCTTTCTAGTAAAGGATAAATTTATTATATATTTATTACAAAAATTACATAAAATTTGGAAATTTTATTTAAATATTTTATTTAAATTTATATCATTTAATTTAGTATTTATCTTCCTCCAATAACACTTTGGATTCCACCACCTCCATATCCACCTCCGCCAGCAACAAAGGAAGATCCTGGAAGGCCATATCCTCCACCTATTACACTTTGGATTCCTCCTCCACTTCCACCACCTCCAGAAACGAAGCTGGAGCTTGCTGGGGCGGCCTTTTTTAATTAGAAAATATTTTTGAAATAAATTTATTTAATTGTTCTGATTTTTCTCTTAATCCTAAATTCCTAAAAGTATCCTCTCTTCAATTAATTCTTCAACTCCAAGTATTTAAATTATTAATTTAATTTTTTAATAAAATTTACCGGAGCATAATAATAAGGATAAGAATAAGCAGGTGCATATACAGCATGTCTCTTTTGCCTAGAAATGGGATTTTTTTATTATGAAAATAATATTAGCTGAAAAATATTAAGGAAACAAAAATTAAAGCTTTCGAAGCTTATTGCTTTCCAAATTAATTTTTTACAAATAAGATTAGAATTTAGCAATGGAAATATCCAAAATTCTATTGATAATTAAAGACTATGGATAATCACCTTATTTATGGATACAGACATGGATACAGATAAGTTCAAAATGCCTGCGGATATCCGTCTGTATCTGCCGTAAATATACGTATACAGATATCAAAATCCATGAAATTACCCAGTCTGATTTATTCCTTTAATTAATTTCTAACTTAAAAACCTACACTGTCTTATCAGCAACAGGTGCAGAAACCACAATTTGTGCAATTAAAGCAGCTACAATTAAAAAGCAAAAAGTCGAAGAAGACATTTTTAATTTTTAGAGGGATGGGGATTTTTTGAAATTTAAAAATAAATTATGATTATTAAGTGTGAACTCTCCTCTTATTTATAGGCTTCACTTTACTTATCAAAATTTTAAAGAATTTTATTTGTTTACTAATGCCTAGATGCTTTAAATGACGTTAATTCAAAATTTTTTCTTTAATTAATTGGAAATTCGAGCATAAATAAATTAAATTAAAATAAACTCTCCGTTCCACAGAAAATACACCAAAATTATTATTTTCTTCAAAGTTTTTTCGTTAAATTCCCCCAATTAATTTTTTTCCCATGAATTATTTCAAAGAAATTAGAGTTCCTTTTTAAGTTGTTTATTTTTGAATAATTTAAGGGGGACCCCAAAAATAAATTTTTAGTCAGCTTGTATTCGCGAAATAACGAATAAATAAAACAAAAAAATAATTAATCAAAATAAATCAAGCTCAAAAAAAAATTTTTTTTTCAAATTTGAGAAATTTAAAATTAGCGAGAAAATTCTCTCCTTTAAGAGTTGGGGTCATAAGGGCGCTGGGCCATTAGGGCGCCAGCACTAGAAACTGACACTTAGGCGAAACCGAAATTTATGAAAATTTTCTCAAATTTCTTTAACATCATTGACTACCTGCTCCAGAAATTTCAGAATTTTTCATCGAATATTTCTGAAGTTATAGTCGATAAACCGCGAAAAATAAGCAATTTTCAAACTTCTAAAAATAATTATTTAATTTAAATAAAATTTAATTTTCTTTGCTTAAAATGGTTCTGCTTTACTGTACAATTTAATAAAAAATTTTCTTTTGTTCCTCAAAGTGTGATTAATTTTCTAAAATTAATCCAAGGTTACCCCTTGTAATTACCCTTGTTGATTAACGTCACTACCACGCGTGGAAAGGGAATGCTTTTGTAAACAAGTAAAATTAATTTAATTTTGATGAGAAAATTAAACCTATAAATAAGAGAAGTGTTCACAACTAATAATCATAAAATTTTACTTTAAATTTAAATTTTAAAAAATCCTCATCCAAACAAAATTAAAAATGTCTTCTTCAACTTTTTGCCTTTTAATTGTAGCTGCTTTAATTGCACAAATTGTGATTTCTGCACCTCCACCTCCTGCTGATAAGACAGTGTATAGTTTTTAATTTTATTAGGGAATCTTGGAAGGCATTCTGAGACATCTTAGGGGACTTCTAGAATTCTCTAGGGTTTCTAGGATCTTCTAGTATTCGCAGAATCTGCGCATAATTGAAATAGGCACCTGAACGAGTATACTAATTTTAATTAGATAATGAAAGGACGAATCTAGGGATCGATCGGGATCCGAAATCGATACCCCCAAAGAATTGCGATTCTTGATACTCGAGATTCTGAACGTGGTTTTACTAACTATCCTTTAGATTTCAGTATTATTTTACACAAAATTATTTCACTTTTAATTCTAAAAATATTTTCTTTAGCGATAAGAGACATGCTACATGTTGTGCTCCTGTTTATGCAGCTCCTGTTTATGCGGCACCAGCTTATGCACCTGCATATTATGCTCCTGTAATTTATTAAAAATTTAATAATAGTAATCCTGTCTCCCATTAATTCAAAGACACTTTGGGAAATTATCTCAGTTTATTAAAAAAATATTTTTTCAAAAAGGCTGCCCCAGCAAGTTCCAGCTTCGTTTCTGGAGGTGGTGCAAGTGGAGGAGGAGGAATCCAAAGTGTAATAGGAGGAGGATATGGCCTTTCTGGATCTTCCTTTGTTGCTGGTGGCGGTGGCAGTGGAGGAGGTATTCAAAGTGTTATTGGAGGTGGCTCTTCATTTGTAGCTGGAGGAGGTGGATATGGACATGGAGGATACGGTTATGGTGGATATGGATATGGTCGACGTTAAATTATTTAGAATGAAATAATCAAAATATTTATTTAAAATGATGTAGAAAACAAAAATTTTCTAAAATTTACAAATATTTAATTGGATTTTTTAAAAAAATATAATAAATTTTTTGAATTTTTAAATCACTTTAAATCTGTAAAATATGTATGACATCTATCACAACGTAGTCATGTTTTGTAAGGACTACGTAAGGAATTCTGCCTACAGAGCGAATTCAAGTTCTGGGATCGCCACCTATGGCCTGATGGTCTAAGTGAGTACTCGATCCTATTCCTTACCAGCAATCCAGATTATTTGAATTCAGAATTTGATAAAGACAGTTGGACAAATAAACAAAGGGAGAAGAAGTGAATAAAAAAGTTTGGGATATTCGTAGATTTGCCAGGGACAGCCAACACGAATCCTAACTTTGAGCATCTACAACAACGGCAACTGACTTTTCTACAAATTTTCAATTTCTCCAATTTTCAATTATTTTCCAATTTTTAACTTTCTACCAATTCGACATCGATTTTCGGGTTATTTTTCCCAAAATTCGAAGATTTAGAAAAATATTTTCTATTTGAAACATTTGAATTACTTCAATTTTCAGAAACTTTTTTGCTTAAAAACAACTTTGACTGTGAGTCAGGTGTCTATTTTTGCCTTCGAAAAAGACGGGAAAAACTTAAAAGTATTAAAAAAAAATTTCAATAAATTGGCAAATAAAAAATAAAATGCGAATAAATTTTATAAGACAAAAATATGTGAATAGGATGTCTATAAGATAACATTGATAATAATAGTTTGGAACCCCCCCCCCTTTTTTTTCCTTTCTATTTTTCCCTAGTTTTTTCCCATTTTATGGCAAATTAGGTATCATTCGAAAGAGCTCTTCGAGCTAATTCGAATGACATTAGAATGAAAAAAAGCTTTTCCCAACGAGGATTTAGCTTCATAATTTTTGTAAAAATGATCAGATCTAGTTCGAATGATATATGATAAATTATGTATCAAACAAAGAAGCTCAAAATGGTCAGGGAAACAGTGAAAAAAAAGAGGGGGGCGAATTCCAAACTATTACCAAAATATTTAAAAAATGCACATAAAACAAGGGCTCTCATCGGAGAAAAGAAATTTTATGCATGTTCAAATCTCATATATTTTTCTCACGCGTCTTTTTCAGCATGTGTGAGAGAGAAAACAAAAAAGATTTTTTTCAATTTTTAGCCCCGCAGGCGAAAATTTCCAAAATTTTAAGGAAAATTTAATTTTTTTAACCAAAAAAATTTTTAATTTTGTAAACACAAAGGTAGGTAAATTTCAAAATAAATTCGAATGAGAGCTCTGCATAAAACAAAAATAATTTAATCGAAAGTCAATGAGAAACTATTCACAAAAAAAACTTATGGTTTAGGTATCCTTTTTTAGCCACGTCCTTTTTTCCCTTTTCCATAGTTTTTCAATTCAGCTGAAGATGTAGAAAAGGTTAGTGAAGAAATAGATTAACTCATCGAGCTGAGTTTAATGATACCAGAATCTGTCCTTGATCTCTGGGAAGAATTACATGGGTCAAAATGTCATTTTGAGACAAATATGATTCTAAACACAGAATTACCGGAAAAACTAAAAATACCGGGACCATTATTTCAAAATGAAAAAGGAAAAAGGGGCGTGTCCAAAAAAGGATACCTAAACCATATAAGATCTCATAAAAATATAAATTTCATTAAGCAAGAAATTGATGAGGAATTGTTTCGTCACCATCAAATAATAACCTGATCAGTTCTGGATTAAATCTATACCCACCATAAGGATATTTAAAAGCACAGCCAAATAAATGTTGAAACCAACAACGAAGTGTAACAAGATCCTTGATATTTTTTGGAAAGGCTGGCAAATTTAAGAGAAGATGGACTTCATCCTCGATTTTTTCAAGTTTGACAAGAATTGGCCACTGATTTATTGAATGATGTAAATACAACTGAATTGATTTAGCTAATGCTGCATTCCACTGAAAAAATTAAATGTAATTTTATTAAAAATTAGTTCAACCTTCTTTCTAAGTTGATCATTTAATGTAAATTTAAAAAGTCCAGATTGAAGGTTAATCATTTTAGCGTTTTGAAAGACTTTATCACTGAGTATTACATTTACAAGCCGATTGAATTTCTTCTTTGCCAATTGTTCTTCATATTTATTAATTAAATTGCAAAAGTAAAAATTGGTTTGTCTTAGAGAAAATAATTGGTTGAAATTAAGGCATTTTAATATGTCAAGTTGAACTTCATTTGGAAGAGAAGACATTGGATCCTTTACCTAAAAAAAGAGTAAATAAAAAATTAAAATCTCCTAAAATTTATTATTTAAAAGTGGAAAATTGAAGATTAGGTAAAATTGTTTGAGGGAAAAAACTTGGGGAGAGCAAGCTGGTTTGTGGGGTAAAAACTTGGATTATACAAATGTTAGCTTATTCAAAAGGCCAAAATACATCAAACAAAATTTCCATGAATGAACGTGTTATAACCATTTGTTTTTAACCCTTAAATAAGACCCTTGCGGAAAAACAACCGCCGACTGATTCGTGCATCATTCAACTCAGCTCGTCGAGCTTTCGAATGACATATATAAAACCGGAATGCCTATAAACACAATTTTTCCGAAGTTTGGCTAAAGTATACACCCGGGGATTTTTGTGTTTTTTTAGAGTCAAGCGAAATAGCACATTGAGCTGAGCCGACTAACACAAAATTTTTTCGGAGGCCGAAATCATACTCCTAAAAATAAAACCCATAGGGGGACTCAAATGTCGTTCAAACTCACTGGCAAATCATCATAATGTTGTTGTTCACTTGCTGTAGAGGTCGAAGGAGAGCAAATTTGAACACTACTACGGCGGTTCACAAAAACCTAAAAAATTAAATTTAATTAAATTTATGAATATTATTATACTTCAAAAGGTGATCCGAGGATCGGAGTACCAATAAAATTGACATTGATTGAGTAAAAACCAGGTGATTGGACTGTGTATCTGAATTGGAAAGTTTTAGAAATTGTTATCAAAATTAGTATAAGCGAAAAAAAACGAACTCGACTTGATAATTGTTTTCATGTAGATGCTGTACAGTTCGAACTTCAGCCTTTTTGGATCCATCAATTAATACGGTTAATTTTCCACCACCCAAATTTTTTGTATAGCAAACAGTAAATTTATTAGGGCGGCCAAGTACGCCAACAGTCAATCCAGGACCATCCGCCCAAGCCATAAAAACACGTTTATCAGCTAAAAAGTTGGGGAAACACTATGTTACAGGAGTAAAAAATTGCCAGAATGTAGAGTTAAAAACTCTCTATTATACAAGGAAAAGGCCAAAACGTGGAAAGGACAAAGACACGGACAGAAAAAATGCGGTCGGACAAAACCTCTCAACACATTCCTTGCGACGTTCAACCAAAAAAGAATCAAAGCATTCCAAGGCATATTTTGAATCAAAACGGACAGAAAATTTAGCCTCGTATTCGGTATGGTCAATACAATTTGATGGCAGCTTTGAAAGATGTTTTTGACCTTGAGGAGCAGATACATAGTAAAGCTGAAAAATTGAAAGGAAAATTATAAAAGCGGAAAGCAATGGGGTAAATCAATAGAAAAAAGCTAAACTACTATCAATAAATACGAAAAATGAGCCGGTCTATGGATTCGGAAAATAAAAATGCAGAAAGAAAAAATGAAAAATCCAGATCAGGGTAAAGGTATCGCTCATTACTCCATAAAATGCTCTGATTAAGAGAGAAATATCAGATGAGCTCTTTCGAATAAGCTAGTACTTCCAAATTCAAATTTTTGACCCCAAAAAATCGGGTTGGTCTTCTCGACGGATTTTCAATTTCCAGGGGTTTGCAAATCTTGGGGAAAAGCTTGCTATCCGTATTGGCACATTTTAAGTATCGTCGTATCATTTTAAACATTACAAATGTTTTTTAATGGGTTGATAAGCGATACCCTAACCGAGATTGGCCTCTAAAACACACTGTTTAACAGTAAAAATACCACACCACAAAATAAATTATAAAAAAATACAATAGGGATGTCAGTCCGACATTGTGGGCATTGTTTTTTTTCTCCAATCACGCGGATACGCATTGAACATTCCATACAGATCTATAAAATAAATTAGAAACATTTCCAATTAAACAAAAAAGAAACCGGATGCATGCACTCCCCAAGTCCAAAAAGATCAGAACGTTGACAACAAATTAAGCAATCGCTGATTTCCCCAATCGTTGGAATTCCAGCATGGTCTGTTCGTTCCTGAAAATTAAAAAAAATTACTGAAAGTTCAAAAGAAATTTTGAAGTAAACTGGACAGATAATAGAGGATGAGCCCAAAAAGTATGGGAAGGTCTGAGGACTCACTAGAATACTAGGAAAATTTGCCAGAAAAAAACGGCGCGCGGAAAAAACGGCGCGAAAAAACGGCGCGCGGCCATAACGGCGTAAAGCCATAACTTGCCTCAAAATTTCTGAATCTTAACAAATTTAGTGTTAAACGATTCCACTCATCGAGCTTAAGAATTCGATTCCAAAATTGATAAAAGCCAGAAATTTTCCAGCAGTTATGGCTTTGCGCCGTTATGGCCGCGCGCCTACTTGGGTGTGTCCCATTTTCAAAAACCTCTGACTTTGTTAAGGACCTTAAACTTAAGTCATTGAAATTAAGGAACAATGAAAACTCGATTCTGGTTATAGAAAATCGAGTAAAGGATTCAGATCCATTCAGATCTATGACAAAACACTTAAAAAATAATAACTGAGTTTGGAGCAGGTTGTTGCTGGTTGTTACCATGAGAAGTTTGTCCTGTTTGTTGGTTGTTTTGATTGCCTGGCTGTTGATTCGTCTAAAGTTTGAAATTCTACATTTATCAAGCTAAATAAATTAAAAACCTTTTGATTATTTTCTTTAGTCAAATTTTGCTGATCTTGAATATTTTGTTGTTTGGCTTTGCTTCGAGTGATCATATTTTTAAAATCAATTTTCCTAAACAGTTAAAAAAAACTATAATTTTACTAGTTCTTGACTTCAAAAAAGGCGGGAAAAACTTAAAAGTATTAAAAAAAATAGCAATAAATTGGCAAATAAAAAATAAAATGCGAATAAATTTTATAAGATAAAAATATGTAAATAGAAGTCCATAAGAAAATATTGGTAATAGTTTGAAAGTCGCCCCCCTTTTTTCCTTTCTATTTTTCCCTAGTTTTTCCCATTTTATGGCAAATTCGAAAAAGCTCACATCGATTGGCACAAAAAGTACACAACGAGGATTTAGCGTTAAAATTTCTGTAAGAATGATCAGATCTAGCCAAACATAGTATCATTCGACCAAGCTCGAAGAGCTCTTTCGAATGATAAATTATGTATCAAAGAAGCTCAATGTCAGGGAAAAATTGAAAAAAAGGGAGGACGAATTCCAAACTTCTACCAAAATATTTAAAAAAATAAAATGCACATAAATTAGGTACATAAATGCACATAAAACAAGGGCTCTCATCAGAAAAAAGAAATTTTATGCATGCTCAAATCTTTAAATTTTTCTCACACGTCTTTTTCAGCGCGGAAGGTGAAAATTTTTAGAATCTAGAAGGCAAATATCTAGGCCAGATTCTTTTCAATTTTTAGCCCCACAGCAAAAATTTTCAAAATTTTAAGGAAAATTTAAATTTTTTTAAACAAAAAATTTTTAATTTTGTAAGCACAAAGGTAGGTAAATTTCAAAATAATTCGAATGAGAGCCCTGCATAAAACAAAAATAATTTAATCGAAAGTCAATGAGAAACTTTCACAAAAAGGAACTTATATGGTTTAGGTATCCTTTTTTTAGCCACGTCCTCTTTTCCCTTTTCTATAGTTTTTCAATTCAGCTGAAGATGTAGAAAAGGTAATTTTTATTTTGGTGAGAAAGAAAGAAAAACTGATCTTTTCTTTATTAATCTTTCTCATTGAACATGCCACAAAGAAAATTTGGGTAAAATCGAGGAAGAAAGAAGGCAAACCGATATGTACATATTAAGTTTGATTGATAATGGAAAAGGAAACAGGCGTGTGGCCAAAAAAAGGATACCTAACCCATATAAGTTACCGTAAAAATATAGATTTCATTAATTAAGAAATTGATGAGGAATTGTTTCGTCATCATCAAATAATAACCTGATCAGTTCAGGATTAAATGTATAACCACCATAAGGATATTTAAAAGCACAGCCAAATAAATGTTGAAACCAACAACGAAGTCGAACAAGATCCTTGATATTTTTTGGAAAAGCTGGCAAAACCAAAAGAAGATCTTCTTCATCTTCGATTTTTTCAAGTCTGGCAAGAATTGGCCTCTGATATGTTGAATGCCCTAAATACAACTGAATTGAATTAGCTAATGCTGCTTCCCACTGAAAAAAAATTAAATGTAATTTAATTAAAAATTAGTTAGTTCAACCTTCTTTCTAAGTTGATCATTTAACGTAAATTCAAAAATTCCAGATTTTCTAATGTAGTCATTAGGGGTGCGAAAGACATTACCACTAAGTTTTAGATTTACAAGTCGATTGAATTTTTTCTTTGCCAATTGTTCTTCATATTTATTAATTAAATTGTAAAAGTAAAAATTGGTTTGTCTTAGAGAAAATAATTGGTTGAAATTAAGGCATTTTAATATGTCAAGTTGAACTTCATTTGGAAGAGAAGACATTGGATCCTTTACCTAAAAAAAGAGTAAATAAAAAATTAAAATCTCCTAAAATTTATTATTTAAAAGTGGAAAATTGAAGATTAGGTAAAATTGTTTGAGGGAAAAAACTTGGGGAGAGCAAGCTGGTTTGTGGGGTAAAAACTTGGATTATACAAATGTTAGCTTATTCAAAAGGCCAAAATACATCAAACAAAATTTCCATGAATGAACGTGTTATAACCATTTGTTTTTAACCCTTAAATAAGACCCTTGCGGAAAAACAACCGCCGACTGATTCGTGCATCATTCAACTCAGCTCGTCGAGCTTTCGAATGACATATATAAAACCGGAATGCCTATAAACACAATTTTTCCGAAGTTTGGCTAAAGTATACACCCGGGGATTTTTGTGTTTTTTTAGAGTCAAGCGAAATAGCACATTGAGCTGAGCCGACTAACACAAAATTTTTTCGGAGGCCGAAATCATACTCCTAAAAATAAAACCCATAGGGGGACTCAAATGTCGTTCAAACTCACTGGCAAATCATCATAATGTTGTTGTTCACTTGCTGTAGAGGTCGAAGGAGAGCAAATTTGAACACTACTACGGCGGTTCACAAAAACCTAAAAAATTAAATTTAATTAAATTTATGAATATTATTATACTTCAAAAGGTGATCCGAGGATCGGAGTACCAATAAAATTGACATTGATTGAGTAAAAACCAGGTGATTGGACTGTGTATCTGAATTGGAAAGTTTTAGAAATTGTTATCAAAATTAGTATAAGCGAAAAAAAACGAACTCGACTTGATAATTGTTTTCATGTAGATGCTGTACAGTTCGAACTTCAGCCTTTTTGGATCCATCAATTAATACGGTTAATTTTCCACCACCCAAATTTTTTGTATAGCAAACAGTAAATTTATTAGGGCGGCCAAGTACGCCAACAGTCAATCCAGGACCATCCGCCCAAGCCATAAAAACACGTTTATCAGCTAAAAAGTTGGGGAAACACTATGTTACAGGAGTAAAAAATTGCCAGAATGTAGAGTTAAAAACTCTCTATTATACAAGGAAAAGGCCAAAACGTGGAAAGGACAAAGACACGGACAGAAAAAATGCGGTCGGACAAAACGTTACGACAATTGCGGATAAGCAATGCGATGCGAAAATTTGGACTTAGTGATTTATTGGTGACTTTTGTAAAGTTATCGAAATATTATCAAGTTATTAGTCTGTCAGTTTCCGAATTCTGACGGTTTCCGAATCATTTCGTGACTGAGGTGACACAAAAATTTTTAAAAAATTTTATGTCGGTAATCGTCGTGCGGAATTGTCGCATTCGCAATTACGTATCCGTAATTGTCATACAGCCGTATTAACAGAATATATATAAAGACAGACGGGATATTTTTAAAATCAGATTTTCCTAAAAATCATAATATTTCCTAAAATAGAATTTTCAAAAAGTGTTAGAATTAAAAAGTCTGAAAAATTCTGATTATAAAAAATAGGATTTCAAAAATATTTGTATTTTGGACGTTTCGTGTTTTGTCTATTCCGTGTGTTAGAATTCTCGTTTTGCCCCTAACACTTTTTAAAAATGATGAATCATTTAACATCTAGTTGATTGATTTGCGGTACGTGCCTCGTGGGAGTTAACGGGTTTCACACAAAATAGACCGAGGGGAGAGGCATAAGTGCCGCAAAAACTTTTTTTCAAAAATTAAAAAAAATCATACAATTTTTCATTTTAAGATTTGGTGCAACATCTTCAAGATTTGGCCCAACATGTCCCCATCGTTTTATCTTTAAAATGTTAGAATTAATATTAGAAAAGTTAAAAAGAAAATAATTCAAAGGTCCCCGGTACTTCAAAAAAGCTTAATTTATAAAACATTAGTAGCAAGAGGTTGGATTCTCAGAGGGAGGGAGAGGCACACCCAAAATTTATAAAATTTTGGATTCGAAAAATTGAACAAAAAAATAGAATTACGAGAAAATAAAAAAATCTTTGGAGCATTTTTAATGAGTGTGACACCAAATTGTAGCACAGAAATCTTACCAAATCGCACGTGTGATCAGCACACAAAATGTAATTTTTTTGAAATTCTCTTAGATAAGCATTGCATTTATACACCTTAATTGGGTTCTTGGAGCAGCGCCAAATTCCGTTTTTTCTAAAAATATATTTGAATTGGCCGTGTATAATGCTAGTTTTGCTTTTAAAAGTTGGGTCAAAAAAAACCCATTCATTTAGTCTAAAATAGAAAAGATAAGCTCGACAACCGAAAGCCAAAAAAACCTCTCAACACATTCCTTGCGACGTTCAACCAAAAAAGAATCAAAGCATTCCAAGGCATATTTTGAATCAAAACGGACAGAAAATTTAGCCTCGTATTCGGTATGGTCAATACAATTTGTTGGGAGTTTTAAAAGATGTTTTTGACCTTGAGGAGCAGATACATAGTAAAGCTGAAAAATTGAAAGGAAAATTATAAAGGCGAAAAGCAATGGGGTAAATCAATAAAAAAAGCTAAACTACTATCAATAAATACGAAAAATGAGCCGGTCTATGGATTCGGAAAATAAAAATGCAGAAAGAAAAAATGAAAAATCCAGATCAGGGTAAAGGTATCGCTCATTACCCCATAAAATGCTCTGATTATGAGAGAAATATCAGATGAGCTCTTTCGAATAAGCTAGTACTTTCAGATTCGAATAACCCCAAAAAACGGCTTGGTCCTCGCGACAGGTTTTCAAGTTTTAAGGGTCTGCAAATCTGGGGAAAAAGCTTGCTATCCGTATTGGCACTTTTTAGTTATCGTCGTATCATTTTAAACATGACAAATGTTTTTTGATGGGTTGATAAGCGATACCCTAGCCGAGATCGGCCTCTAAAACACACTATCTAACAGTAAAATAACAAAAATAAATAATAAAAAAATACAATAGGGATATCAGTCTGACATTGTGGGCATTGTTTTTTTTCTCCAAACACCCGGATACGCAGTGAACATTCCATACAAATCTATAAAATAAATTAGAAACAGTTCCAATTAAAACAAAAAATAAACCGGATGCATGCACTCCCCAAGTCCAAAAAGATCAGAACGATGACAACAAATTAAACATTTGCTGATTTCCCCAATCGTTGGAATTCCAGCATGGTCTGTACGTTCCTAAAAAATAAATCGATAGAAAAAATAAAAATTAGAATCTAAAAGCTAACCAAAAACAATAAAAGAACGAGATAGAAATTTTTAGAGACACGCCCAAAACGGCGCGCGGCCATAACGGCGTAAAGCCATAACTTGACTCAAAATTTCTGAATCTTAACAAATTTAGTGTTAAACGCTTCCACACATCGAGCTTAAGAGTTCGATTCCAAAATTGATAAGGGCCAGAAATTTTCCAGCTAGTTATGGCTTTGCGCCGTTATGGCCGCGCGCCTACTTGGGCGTGTCCCATTTTCAAAAACCTCTGACTTTGTTAAGGACCTTAAACTTAAGTCATTGAAATTAAGGAACAATGAAAACTCGATTCTGGTTACAGAAAATCGAGTAAAGGATTCAGATCCATTCAGATCTATGACAAAACACTTAAAAAATAATAACTGAGTTTGGAGCAGGTTGTTGCTGGTTGTTACCACGAGAAGTTTGTCCTAGTTGTTGGTTGTTTTGATTGCCTGGCTGTTGATTCGTCTAAAGTTTGAAATTCTACATTTATCAAGCTAAATAAATTAAAAACCTTTTGATTATTTTCTTTAGTCAAATTTTGCTGATCTTGAATATTTTGTTGTTTGGCTTTGCTTCGAGTGATCATATTTTTTAAATCAATTTTCCTAAACATTAAAAAAAAACAGTGATTTAAAAAATTTGCAAATTTTTACAAAAAAAAAACAAGATTTTAGTAGCAATAGCGAGAGATAATATGGAAAAAGAAATACAGTTAAGAAAAATATGGGATCTAATGTCATTTTTCGATAGAGGACAGTTGCGCTCCAAAATTACCGGTAGGGGACACTTCAGTACGGGACGTTCCAGTCCCGAGCTCTATAACTCGAGAAGATTCGAGTTGTTTTGAACTCTTGGTATCGTTGGATAGAGGATTAATTAAGCTACAAAATAAGCTATTGATCGAAAAATTTGATCGACAGGTACCAAAGTTATGATTAAAAACATGCAAAAAATGACTTTTTTTAAAAATCGCGGTTTTTTGATAATAACTTCATTATCAGTTGATAAGATTATTTTATCTTTGGTATCATTTTGTAGAGAATTTAATCCTCTATCTAATGGTACTAAAAGTTCAATAAATTATTTCCAAGTTCCCGAGTTACACGCTCGGGACTGAAACGGCCAGGGACTGATGTGGGACGTTCCGAAAATGTGACACGCCCGAATAGTCGCGCGGCCATAAGGTCGCCAAGCCATAACTTGCTTTAAGTTTTCCTTATCTTTCCAAATTTGGTATTAAACGATTCCTCTCTTCGAGCTAAAGAGATTGGTACCAAAATTGATAAGGGCATTTTAGCAAGTTATGGCTTGGCGACCTTATTGCCGCGCGACTATTCGGGCTGTACCCTCCGAAAATTACTGCATATATTTTTTAAAGCGAAACTTTTTCAAAATTTTTGATCACAGTATTTAGACTCTAAAAAAGACAGTTTGTGAAAATTATTTTCCAATATCCATATCAGTCGAGGATAAATTGTGGATATGATGAGAAATTGGAATAACCAAATTGAGGATTCTAGGGAATTTGTAGAATTAAGAAGGATATTAAATGATATGGATATATCTGGGATTTGAATGGAGTTGACTTTGATCTTATATTTTTTGATCGCTAGACTTCTACCTTGGTTGACTGTAAATAGGGCTGGCGAATCATGAAAAATCCCAAGATAACCTGATGTTGTCCCAATCAATATACCATAAGATATAATACAATATATGATTTTTTAATATTTTTAAAATTGAAACTTTGAATAGAAGATTGGCTATAATCTTTAATTTATTTACAATGGAATATTCAAATTATTTATTTCACTTTATAACTTCCATATTTAAATATTTAATTGTATTTTAAAAAACATTAAATAATGGAAAATAAGTTTATATTGTATAAGGATTGCCAGCCCTGGAAGAATCTATTGGAACACTTCTAGATTTCTTTAAGTTTCTAAAAATTAACTGACCCTAACAAATAACAAAATAAAATTTATATGAATATTTATTAAAATTCAAATCTAAATAAAATTATTTATGAATTGACTTTAAAAATTAATTTAATTATCGTTTCTATCAATTTTTCTTTCTAAGCTAGAATAAAAGTAAATGGTAGTTGATAGCATTAATCAAATTTTTCAGTCCTCCTTCAGTCTTCAACGTCCTCCTATAACACTTTGTATTCCCCCACCTCCATATAAACCCCCACCTCCTGATACAAACGAAGATCCGGAATGTCCATAGCCTCCACCAATTACGCTTTGAATGCCACCGCCTCCAGCACCGCCTCCGCCAGAAACAAAGCTAGAAGCTGCTTGTGCAACCTTTTTTTAAAGGGTTTATATGAATCTTAATTAAATTACTGGCTAAGATTTCTCCCTAAATGGCTTTTGATTTAAGGGATTGCCTGAGATAATGAATTTGATAAACGATCCTTTGAGTTTCTTATATCGAGATTCGAATGTAGCCTTAATTGCAAACCCGATAGAATTAATTTTCCGATTCTAAGTTTATAAATATTAAATACCGGAGCATAATACGGATAATAATAGGCTGGAGCAGCTACAACAGGAGCGGCAGCAACTACCGGCACTGCATCGCCTCTCTTTACTCGCATACTTAAAATTAAATTATTATTATTATTCCACATAAAGATTCACTGGTCAGCGCGTAGTGGAGGTGCAGAAACCACAATTTGTGCAAGTAAAGCAGCTACAATTAAAAAGCAAAAAGCTGAGGAAGACATTTTTAATTTATAGTAGAGGGAAAGTTTATAAATTAAGAATTAATTTTAATGGTTATTAGGCGTAACCTCTTCATATATTTATAGGCCTTTCAAGCAGCTATTTTTTCAAGCAAAATTTAAAATTTTTTTGAGAGTTTACTAAGACATTCCACTTTAATTTTTATAAAAATTTTAGATAATTAATTAAATATGGGGGTATTTTTGCATTTTTTAAAAATTATGCTTGGGCACAAACTAGGAAATTAAATATTTTTTTATTTTTTTTCTCGATGAATTGCTCTATTAATTTTTGCTCTCTTTATTAGTTAAAAAATTGCTCAAATTATTAAGTTGCGTTTATTTATTAGTAATATTCTTGTTTGCAAACAAAGCAAGTTTTTGGCGTTCTTGGACTGTCAGGAAAACTTTTTTTGGCGCTCCCCTTAATTTCTATAATTTATTACCTTGTTGTTTTTATTTTTGAATAGTTTTGGGGAGCCCCTTCAAAATAAATTTTTATTCGCGAAATAATAACTAAATAAATAAAGTAATTAATCAAAATAAAATTGAAAGAGAAGCAATTTTCCTTCTTAGTAATAAAAATTTAAATAAAAATTTTAAAAAATAAATGTTGCGGTATAAAATGCTAAAAATAAAAAATGTTGCAGTTCTTATTTATTATGATTTTTATTTATTTTGATTGAAATTTAAATTACAATAAATTTTAAATTTTTTAAATTAAAAATAGTTCTACCCAGATATACATTTAATTAGAAAAAGTAATAAAAACAATCTGCAAATTTCTTTTATTTTTTAAATTATTAATCCCAATAAATTCAAAATCATCCATCATAATAACAACATTCAGCCCACCCTGGAGGGTATATAGTTGCGGAGGTTAATGGACAGTCTGAACAGCTTGGATGTTTACATCGTTCTGTCTCAATTTTGTATTTGTAACAATCAGCTCTTTTCACTCGAATATTTTGTTTTGACTGGAAAATAAAAATTTTTATTAAAAAAATATTTCTATAATTTATCCGTAAATAGAACGGATAGTATTGTATTAGATTGTAGCCCAGATAGTGGACCACATATTAGTATCATAAGGGACCTATAAGATACTTCATAGACCTCATAGGCCCTGCATGGGTTCCTTTATAAGGCCCTGCAAAGGTTCTTTTATAAAGCCTCAAGACATGATATCCCGGTAACGAGATCAAGATATTTTGAGGGACTATATTTCGGTGTAATTCAAGTCTGGTCCTCTAAAATGACCATGTCTACTATAATTTAAAAACCAACTTCATTAGCTCTAAGCATTTCTTCCTCTCTTAACAATAATAAGATTAATATCATAGTTATAGTTGTTGAATAAAAAAGCATTATTAATTAATAAATTAGTTAAAGATTAATTAATATTCTCTAATTATTTCTTCCTTTCTGTAAAATAATAAATAATTGTAAAATAATAATTTTTGACTAATTTTCTCTCTTTTTTCAAATTTAAATTTACTAAAAATTTATTTTTTATTTTTCAATTTAATTCGTCAAACAAAACAAAAATTAAAAAATTATTACGTTGAAGTATCCATTTAAAAAAATTTTATTTAAAAAATCTAGTTTTGTTTGTTTCTCTTTTTTGTTCCTATTGATAAACTTTTAGTTTAAATTTTTATTGAAACAAAAAAATTTAATTTTTGAGAATTATTATTTTATTATTAAAAGGTTGGAAAGAAATTTATAGAAAAACAAGGGGGTTTTAAAACTTTTGGGTGTTTTTGGTGTTTTCACAAAAATACAAACAAATTTCAATTACACACAAATATTAATGAAAAATTTAATAAAATTAAAAGAAATGGTTAAAATTTTCGACTGTTTAAATGACTAATGAATTTTTTCTACTAAAACATTTATGAAATTGATATTTATAAAATTGATCACTAATAATTAATTTTTACCTTAAAATAATATTTTTTTATTTTTCCAATTTTTATTATTTAATAACTTTTAAAATATTAATAATTTATGTAAAAATAAATTTATTAAAATGCTCATCCTTTTTTGCCATTTTTTGCCAATCCTTCTTTACCCGCTGGCACTTTACCCAATTTTTAAAGTGAAAACAAGGTTTGTGTTAAGCCGCGATAATTCCCATGAGAAAACAAAAATATACAAACAAATTTATTTTAATTTTAACACAACTCTTGTAGACCTCCAAAATTTGCAAAAATATTTTTTGGAGGCCAAAAATATTTTTAATAATCACTATTTTATTTAAATGAATTTTTATTTTTTATTGTTACTGTTAATATTAAAGTATATTGAAGCAAATGAAAGTAACCTTCAATTTTTTAAAGAGGCACGTATTTTTAAAACGCCAGGCCTCGATTTTATAGAACACCCTTAATTTAAAGTTATTCTAAAAATTTGTTTGGACACTGGGTAGTGAACCGTATTTTCTCGATTGCCAGGAGGGTTGAACCCCTTCAAATCTCGAATAATTCCCCATCCATGAATGTGTCAAAATATCAATCCTCAGCGAATTAATCGGGAAAATACGCTAAGTTGGATAGAAAGCCTGACAATTATGAATAATTTGGACCAAAGGGTGTATCTAAAATTAAGGTCCGAGTGTAATTAATATTTTAGAATAAAACATCACGAAAAAGCACTAGAGAATCCAATGAAAATGATCTATCTCCCATTATTTCACCTATAACTTTGCGAGAAAAATCACATGCAGATCCATGCTTGTTGCGTTGCAAGGATGAATATGTAAATTAATATTAGGGACTTAGTCTATATAAAATTTATTAGATGTTTTACACAACAACGAATACTAAGGCTGTCAGAAGGGATACTTTTGCAGTTGGGTCACCTCTAAATGCTCTAGTTTGTTTTTAAAAATTTTTGATAATTTTGTAATGACGAGGGAGCTGGTTAAGCAAAGATTCGGGGATGGGGACATCAGATAAATCAGTTAGGAGAACCATAAATTTAGGAGAACCATAACCAGAAACCATAAATTGATTAATAAAATTCTTCTATTTATTCAATAACAACAGATAGATATAATTATCTCAACTGAAGAAAATAAATCTCCATTAGATAGAATTGCCGCTGCTTGCGAGTAGATTATTAAAAAAATTATTCAAAAATTTTTCGAAAATTTCTAGTAAACACAATAGTTTTCTGTCATGCATTCGTAAATGCCAACATTCTATAGCTCGACAAATCATTGCAGATGGGCAACAAGCAATGAATGTAAAAACTTTTAATGATAATTCCCCTGTGTTCCTTTTAAGGCAATCTGTCAAAGCTTTCGGATCGACAAAGAATTTCAAAATTTTGTTTTACCCTGCCTTATAAGGAATGGACCACGTATTGGAAAGAGTTGTCAAGTTTTCAATTCAACTTTAAATCCCTATAAAAATTAACTTTAAAGCTTCATTGGTCTTTAATGGAAAGCGATGTTTACGAGACTATTAGTCAACGACAATTTTTATATAACGGATATGACCCGTCCGAAATTGATAAGAATGAGGAAAATGATGGATTCCAACGATTGTGTAGGTTGGATAAAACGGAAAAAATTTAAGAAATATCCTCTTAAATAAGGGCAATGAATAGCTATGCTGATTGCCATCTTAAAGCCATTGCCAAACTCTGCCATCGGAGAACAATTCCATTTTTTGTTAGATTCAACGCAAAAATATCAGCGTAAGTTTTGGATTTATCAATAAAATATCTAGAAAATTTTGTCAGTTTCTGGAAGGTTAAGCTACCCTAATTTATAGTTAAAGCATTCACTACTCGAAAACCTAAAATTGAAACTTATTGGCATGAGAAGCTTAACTTAATCTGTGTTCTCTAACTTGCTCCTCCCTAAGATTCTCTAACTTGCTCCTCCCTTGATTTTGATTAAAAGACTAACATGATATTTTATTAATATTGTGACCACTTTTAAAATTAAAGCGCACTTCTCCAAATGCTCCTCGACTGGTTCGGAAACACAAATTCACAATTAGACACAAAATGGACAGAATGTGAGCAATGGGAACCTCAAAAACTGTTAAAATCTGTTTTGGATGGGCCTTCAAATAATGCCTATTTAATCAAATTTTCAAAAAATATTTTTGTTTATTTTATAGTTTTTGTTTTGTTTTTATTTTAGAATCAAAAAAAATTTTTTTACAAAAATTATTAAACTAAAAATGATTATTCTCGTTGTTTTCTAAAATAACTACTTCATTTTTGGCTACCCCATTTTCTTGTCTTTCCTGTGTAACTTTGGTTACGTGAACATACTTTAAGTTAAAAATTTTCTAAAAAAAATTTCTCCCTCAATTTTTACCTTCCCAGGAGGTGCACCTTTAGGTCTAACAACCAAATCGGCTGTGCTCCTAGCTTCCCCTGCAATATTCTCTAGCAAACAGGTAAATTGGCCTGCATGTACAACATTTAGGGATTCAATTCTGAGGGAATAGATAAATGGGGCGTCCTAAAAATTTATTTTCTTTGAATAAATTTCTTTAAAATTAGGATTACTTTAGTTGTTTGAATACCATTTTTAATTCCAAACTCTGTAGAAATTGGAATTCCATCTCTAAACCATTTAACTAAAGGTTCAGGATCTCCACTAGTTCTAACCGTCCAGAAGAGTGAAGAGCCAATTTCAACTTCTTGGCTTACCAGGCGTTCAACAAAATCAGGAGCAATCATTTTGGCTATATAATTAAAAATTTTCGGATAGAATACTTTGGGGACCTATCCCTATCTTAAATCAAGCACCTTTTTAGACAATATTTCAATAGGATTTAGCCTCTCAACGATTATACACCCAATTATTAACATTTCCTTGGGGTGCAATTTATTGAACTTACCAGAAAGTACAAGTTGAGCAGAAGTGCAAGCTTTTCCTGCTTTATTTTCTGCTGTACAACAATATTTGCCAGCATCGTTACTATAAATATTATTTATATTGAGTATTGTTTTGCCATAATTATCATTCCAGATAGAAATTCGTTCATTCGACTTCAATATATTCCCATCTTTAGACCACACAACTCGAGGCAAAGGATCACCTTGATATAAAATTATCTTTGTTATCACATCATAATTATTTTTGATACATAAAAAAATTTTTTTGCGCCAAATTTTCATGCGCCGAAATGACAATAGACAACAGTGGAAAAACTAACATCCGCTTTTCCTTTTATGCGGCATTTTCGGCGCGCATAAATTTGGCGTTAATTTAAAAAATTAAGAACCAATGACGACTGCTTCAAATTTTACATTTTGTCCCTCATTTCCAATTGCAGAAACTAATGTTTTAGTAAAATGAGGAGGGGACACATCAAAATTATTTTCCTGAATAATTCTTGGGGAGAGGATAAGTGTTCGTTCTTGATCACTAGAAGGAGGTCTGTTAATATCTGAATAATTATGTATTTCTGTTGCTCCATTGCCAGTAAATCCGTTGACAAATATCTATGTATTTTTAGAAATACTGTGTTATAAATTTTGCCGATAAACTACCTCCAATCCTGATTGCCTTCTATCAGGTTCATAATCCGAAGTTGACATAATCCCCATCATTTCGGCATGGGCTGAGGAGGTTGAATGTCTTTTGGCTTCAAAATCACGACGTGGAGGAGTACTTAAAGCTCTAGCTTGGTGTTGTTCAAGCTTAAATATAAATTGGCGTTAGGAGCTCCTACATAATTGAGTGATTAATCACCAATTGCTGCCTTTGCTTCTGCCATTGTAATAATCCTTGAACACCGCCAATTGAACGTCTAGCCCTTTGGTTATTACCTCCAATTGGCTTTGGAATTAATGATTTTGGGCGAACATGTATTAGCGTTAGAGATTCACAACGACCACGGATATTTTCTGCAACAAGACGATACCAACCGGCACATTCCAAACGAGCAGAATTAAAACGAAGTGAGTAGGTATCGCCAACATTTAGAAGCTCGACAAATTCAGCATTGGATTTGATTTGCCGTCCATTAAAAAACCATTGAACTTTTGGCCGTGGATTGCCCAAGATCATGCAATCAACTTCAGCTTTCTCTCCCTCATTAATGGTCACTTCTGAAGGAAAAGGGCGGAAGCATTCTGGAGGGTTTGCGAGACTGGAATAGCCTTAAAATAATTACGATTAAAAGGCAGAATTCTAGAATAAAGGAGAAAGCTTGTCATTTTACTCACCAGGATCTATAATATCTCCATCACTTGCCCTTCTCGATTTAGAACCTTCTGATTTAATCAATGCATAGACTGGACCTTGTTGCCTATTTTGATGTTTCATCGAAGAAGGAAATTGGAATTGACCAGAAGGTGCAGCTGGACTGCCTATCCCCAGCAGAACGTTCAAAGTAGCTGTAGAAGTTGATCTACCCGCTATATTCTCAGCTTTAATGCTGTATTGACCCGCATGTTCAGTTAATACGCTTAAATTAGATTTTAATCAGGAAAATAATTTTCAAAACCAAGGAATGGTTAGTATGCATTGACCATCTTGATGACGACTCAATCCAATATCTGATCTTTCAAAGTCTATAGGGCAGTCATTATAGAACCAGTGAACGCTTGGGAAAGGAGTACCTCGTATGCGAGTCTGTAAAATTAATAGAAGATATATAAGATAGTCACATAATGAGTGTATCTTAAATAGGGGGATAAAATCACCTTAAGAACGACAGTTTGCCCCTCACGTACAAGCTGACTGCATAGAGGTGGTCCAATGCTAGGAGGAACTTTGGAACTCTGGCAATCACCATTTTCAATATTTATTTTTTGCACTAAATTTGATTGTTGATTATTATATTCCCCCAATTCATTAATTATTTTTTGTTTATTTTCTTTGATAGTCTTTATTGAAGTTTGTTGTAAATTTTGTTTTTTAAAATTATTTTCTGATTGAATTTCTTTAAAATTCATAAATTGTTGGCATTGTTGTTCAAATAAAGAATATTGACGTTGATGTGAGACAACTTGAGAGCGTGACCAGTCTATTGCCTCGATTGTGACTAAGTTAGGATCATTTAGTTCAAGCTCAGAAGCCAATCGTTGAAAATTATCGGCTTAAAAATGAAATTAATAGTAAATTTTGAAAAAAACTCCGGAGCTTCAGGATGGAGCTTTATTTTAAAGGCCAAATCCTTGGGGTTTAGTTTGAAGTCCGAGGGAAGGCTTCAATTGGCCAAAGATGATAAGAATCGAATTTGGTGCCTATAACATAGAATTTCTGTTTTATTGGCATGAGGAGAAGCATTCTTTAAATTCACTCCTTCATCAAGAGTATCGTCAGAGTCAGTCCGAGTTTTGGCAACCCTAATCCAGACGGAATGAGATTAAATGGCAGTCTAACTCAGAGGGATAATTTTAAAACCCCTCACATTGTTGTTTCTCTCTTATACAATGTTCCTTGACTGTTTGTAATAAATTATTAACATGTTGTTCTGTTTCTGGTCTATATCCACCACCTTGCAATAATGTAGCAAGAAAATGAAGTGAAGTTTCTAATTCACGTCCTAATTTTTGTAGCTGAAAAATACTTGATTTTAAATGGTTTTCTATCTAATTAAACAAAACTTGTTCTAATTTTGAAGCCAATTCCAATCGTTTTTCAATTATTATTTTATAGGAAATCAGTTTTCTTTGAATATTAATTAATTGCTCGAGTTGGTTGGAATCCAAATGTTTTTGATGATTTTGGACTGTTTTGAGAAGATTTTCATTTTCCTAAAGTTTAACAAACCTTCAAAAATTTTAACTAAATTCACCGTTATTTCTGCCAAAAAACTCTTATGTTTAGCAATGAATTCGGTTGTTTCAGCAGCTATTGGACTCAGAATGAGTGATTCAGATAGGAATGAATTAGCAACCGTATTTAGCCATTTGTCCAATATTGTTAGCTTAAGAATTTGTTTTTAATTTTCTATCGGAGGCTTGTTTAGGTTGTAATCATTCATTATAACCCCACACAAGGTCAGTTCCAAACCCAATCAACCCTGAGGAAACTGTGTGTGTACCCACAAACCTTAGGACACATGTTATGCCCTTATAAAAATGTTTACTGTTAATTCACCTTTTCAACAACTTTCTGAGCTTTACTAGCCCCAATCTTCTCTCTAGCCAATTGTACAACAGCAATAACAGCTTCTTTAAGTGATTGAACTTTTTGAGCAATTCTTTCACAGATATTCTGATTAATACAAATTTCTTCTTTATTCTCTCCTTTCCATTGTAAGATTAATTGTTCCCCTTGTTCTACAAGTACAACACCTTTTTGTTGTGCAAGAGGTCCAAGTTCTGCAGCCATTGATTCATTGGCAATATTTAATTCTCCCAACATTTTTTCGAGTTGGGAAATTAACTAAGGTGATTTGGAATTTTTTTAGATTTTTTAAAATAATTTTATTCAAAAGAAGGAATTTAAGAAATGAGTGTGTTCTCTTCCAAAAATGTAATAGTATAATTTTACTTTTAAGAATGATTAATTACTAAATAAATTATTCGATTAAGAGAGATTAGATTTAGTATTTTAATAAAAGGATATACTTTTAAATTGATATATAACCAAAAAATATTTTTAGTTAAACATCTTGGAGGTAATCCCTTCAATGAGAAAAATACCGTCAAAAATGCCCCCGTTAAAAAAATGCCCCCGTAACCTGACTGGTGATCGTAATACCTGACTTGTGTCAAGCCTATTGCTTAAAAAATTTTTGTTATCAAATGTATGACCACAATTGGGAGACATATCATTTCAGTGATTTTTAGATCCTTAATTCTAGAGTCTATTTCTATCAGTATTACCCTAACAACCTAAAACTTACATTATCAGCATTTAAATACCAATTTTCAGTTTTTTCCAGAAGTTCAATTTTTATATTCATATCATCAATCAGTTTGATATATTGTTGTTGTAATTTATTATTTATTAATTCGAATTCCGAATAATTTTTAGTTAAAGAAAATGTTCTCAATTCTTCCAGTTTTTCCTTTAAAAATTTCAATGCTTTTTATTAAATCTTATGCGTACTGGGAACTTTTTCACATAAAACTATTCTGAAAATTTTTGTAGTTTACCCTATAAACTCTTATTTATCACTCACGAAAAACCCCTGATCCGATACGGAGTTAGGGTAAATTCAGCTGAAGTCCAGAAATTATTTTTATCGGATTAAAACCGGAATGGATTAATCTAGAAAAATCCGGTCAGATCCGGTCCGGCATCAGCCCGAAATTCAAAATCAGTTTGCGGATCCTGGAAAAAAGCTCACTAATAAAAATCCACCACCATACTTTAGTCTGTTCTTCAAGTGTTTTTAAAATTTTGCTTTCTTCCATACTTTCAAACATTCGTCTAGTTTCAATTAACCATTGTTCTGCATTATCCAACTGATTTTTTTGAATTTCAATATCAAAATTTTTAGTTATTTGTTGTTGAATTTGTTTAGATTCTATAGTTTGGGTTATATGTGAAGGTAAAAGTTGAGGTTGTTCGGGAATATTTTTTAAGTTGCGAAATGCCTCATTTAGTAATTCCCAACTTTCTGCCATTCTAGTAAGGAAATTTATATCAATCATTATCAAGGGTCGATCGGAATTCCGAGTTCCGAACATTAATGCGTGCTTTCGAGTTCTGATTTTTAAGCAATTTCCTATTTCCGACAGTTCCGAGTTCCGATATCTTTTCATTTCCGAGAGACCCATGCTCACTATAATATACCCCTTTTGAACTGGAAATCTTGGTACTTTTCTGCTTTTTCCTATGGTAAAAGGTGTTGATCACGACTACCCGATTAATTGGTATGGCGATGCCCGCCCATAATATAAAAATTTATTTACTTTAACATGACTTTTTCTATACGCAAACAAGCCTCGTAAGTCTCTCTCGGTCGTTGATCATTGTCTGAAAGAGATCCAAGAAGCCGTATTTGAGTAATCAAATTAGATCCAACACTCATTCCTTCACTTGTTAATTCACCTAATTCTGAAATTTTTTAAAAAAGAAATTTATTTTAATTTATGTTGCGAGGAAAGTTTGCGAGGGTTGATATAAAAATTAAATAATAAATTTTATAGCCTTGTTTGTTAAATTTTTTGTTTTTATTTCGCAAATTTCACGATTGATTTTTATTATTTTAAAGAGTAATCAGTGCATAAAGAGCATTTTATATTAGTCCAAAAATAAAAATATATTGAAAAGAATTGAACAAAATTTTTTAAACTTGAATATTTTTATGTTAATTTTAATAGTTATTGAGGTCACCCCCTTATTATATCCCCTCAAGTATATAAACCACTATACCAACAATCCATCCCTAAGGAAGTTTATTCACAAATCTAACTAATAAGAATACAAATCATCATTTAGTACTTACGGGTTGGGGTTATAACGGCTATCTTTATTAACTAGGGTCTAACGCAAAATAAGCTGACTTGCCGTCAATTATCGTTTCATGCGAGTCAATTTTAACATTTTTAGTTGATTGAAGTCGGGAATTGAGCAACTTTGCTAATTCTTCTTGTTTTAATGCTAATTCATACAATCTTTTTGTATCAGATAAAATGTACCCACGCATCTCTAGTTGCCTTAAATATTTTTTTGTTTGATATAAAGTGTGTATATGGGATGAATGTTATGTGAGATTTTTAGATGTTGAGTATTTTCCATGGGATTGAGGGACTTAATTTTAAAATTTAATTTTAATATTACCTGCTTAAACCCCTCCAAGCAGTAGCCAACCCATTAGCCATTGCCTCATAAACTATTACATCACTAACTTCAGTCTGTTCACTAGCTATTTGCTCAGCTCGAGCAAGTAAATCATCTACCTTATTAATTATTTAAAAATCCAAAAAAATTTTCAAAAATATTTTTACTTGTTGATGTTTTTCTAGTAATCTTTGAAACAAATCCGTGTGTATTAGCAACAGTTGAGTGTTGTCCTGAGGGTTTTTACCAATTTCTAAAAGGCCGGGTTGCATTTCATCAATGCGGAAATCAACGTAATTGATGCTCTGTGATTTTTAAATTATTCCAATAGAACGGCATTTTTATTCTCATAGAAGGGCATCGGTACCCTTATAATAGAGGGGGCATGCCCTTTATCTATTAACTACGTTAATAATCTTCATATTATTCCTATAACACTTAATCATTATTAATCCAACATCGGGCAAGAAAATTTGAATATAGTAGTACCTTTAATAAGGCAACAACTAAAGTAGAATGAGGCTCAGCACGTACTGCAATTGTAGAGATTGTTGTAGTTTCTCCTTTAAACAATTCAGAATCAAGATTTCCGGAATTTTTAGTCGGTATAAGCTGTTGACTATTTTTGGCAGTTAGCATGGCAGTATTCAATTTGACAGTTTATAGGTGTTAAAAAAGCTCAAAAATAATTTAATTTATTTAAACAACTGCCTTTTAGTGAATAATTTTTTCAAAAAATTTTAAAGAAAATGCAAGACTACTACTTAACCGACATCAAAAATGCTGCTCTTTTTACTTCCTCACTTTGTACCATCTCCTTCCTCAAGTTTTAAGTCCATTGATTGATTGATCCTTCTTAATGCCTGCGGGGAGAAAAAAGGGGAAGGAAGGCTGCTTTAAGTTTAAATTAAATAAAATAAGAAAAGAAAAATGAAGTGCTTTAACTAACAAATTTATTTTTATTTGTAAAAATAGCCAAGAAATATATTAAGCTTTAGAATGATTATTTTCGTGTATAAGAGTGACCGAACGAATATTTTTAGATCAAAACAGTTGTTTAATTTAAAGAGGGGATTAGTCTGTGTAAGTCAACATATAAGAATGTTGTTTGTTGGTCAGGTAAATAATTTTTATTTTTCTTTAAAAAAATTTTTTTTAATAAAAATGGAGAATTAAATATTTAAAGGGACTGTCTGAATAAATAATTTTAAAATTAAAAATCAACAAAAAAAATAAAATTGAAAACAGACAGAAAATTTATGGGCATGTTTTTAAATGTGTATTAAAAGTATAATTTATGTTTATGGGAAAGAAAAATAATTTTGATTTAGTGGAGAAAGATGAATGAGAAAATTTTTTGGTAGAAATAGAGGTCTTTAAAAGTTTATGGTTTAGGTATCTTGAACTAAAAAAAATCCGGGTATGCGGAAATTTTCTGTTCGACTATCGGTTCCGGATATCCAGAGATTTTCCAGGAACCGGCAATTTTAATGGACATATATTTAGCCTGTTTGCGGTATTTCTAAATTTTTGTTGTTTCCAAATTTTTATTTTTACTTAAAATATATGTGTTTTGCTAATATTTAAATGAATTTTTTTTAACTTTCAAACAAGATAGTTAAGCATTTATTTGAAGCAACAAAAAATAATAATATTTTACAATTCCGCTTAAATTTTTTAAACGCTTTTACATCTAATCAGCAATCTTTGACGCTTCTTAAACTAAAATATATACTTTTAAAAAATTTCAGAAAATTTTTCAATTTTTCAAAAATTTTTAGGCCTCGAAAAATCTTGTAAACAATACCCAAAAATTTTATTTTCACGCTCAACTCTTTAAATTCAAAATAATCAGCACACTTGATGATTCACCATATCACGCAATCCAGCTTTATGGTCATCTGGAACTGGGCGAGCTTCATATGTTGCAATTACAATCTTTAAAAGATTGGGGAATTAAAAAGATTTTTTAAATTAAAAATTAACCTTATTTCGAAATTCTGATTGAAATTCACCACGAAGACCAATATACTTAAAAATAAATTTTTTAATTAAAAATTTTTTGAAGGAATAAAGTAGAGATGGGTTTGGATCTGAATCCGAACCTTGAATTTTCTTGGGTCCAGAGTCGGGATCGAGGCACTTTTCATTGTTCTTTGATTTTTTCTTAACTCAAGGTCATGGTTAAGGTCGAATCTGGTCAAAGAAACCCCAAAAATATTTGCCAAAAAATCCAGACGAACAAAAAACCATTAGAGGCTTTTTGTCTGAAAGGTAACGCAAAATCAAAATAACCCAAAGAACCACCCCAAAATTTTTTTCAAAAAAAAATAGAAAAAAAAACAAACATGAATAATCGTCTTCTCGTCCCCAAAATTTGCAGGAAAATAAAGAGTTAAATGGCCAACAGAATTAAATTTACTGGACATCAAGGGATAGTCAATAGAAGCATCAGAATCTTGTTTTAACTCAATTTGTTGATCTTCTTTTGCATTTTCACAGTCATCAAAAGACATCTAAAAACAAATTTTTTAGAAAGAATTTAATAAAAATAGGAAGGAATTTTTGAAACTAAAAATCAGTATAAAATGGGAAAATGATAATTGTAAAGTCAACTGGTCCCTAGAAGACATAAAAAAGTGGGTTTTCGATACCTTAACGATAACCTTAAAATCATCGAAATTCATTTATTCTAGATCATTTCCAGAGACTAGTAAACTCAACATTTACCGGAAAAATGAAATAAAATGTGGGGAAGGCTGAAAATGAAAAAAAGACTTTCCTCAAAAAATTTCAGAAAAATTTTTAATGGGGCTCAAAAAATTTTTATGACCGTCCTAATGGGTGGATGCCAAAAAGAAATTAAAATAAGAGGAAATTAACTTCAATAAATTAAAAAAAATAAACAAACATTTCCTCGATCTTTATAAAGCCGAACAGTTGCCGGAAAAGAACCACTCAACGGCCCAGAAAATGTAATTCCCGTAAGTTTAACATTGGCTAAAATTTGGGAAAAAAATTTAAGAATAAATTTAAATAAAAAACCAGTAAAAGGAACAGAAAAAAGCAATTGTTCGTCAACATCGCTGTGAACAAAATCGTTTCTAAAAATTTTTAAATTGAAGAAAGGACAAGAAAGGAAGGGAAAAACAATCCCCATACTATAAATCAATACAGAATTAAAAATATGTTGTGAGAAAGTTGGCAACTCAAAAAATCTTAAACCTCTAAAAATTTGAAATCTGGGAAACAGAAAAATCTAACAAAAAATTATTCAGATGGAGAGGTAAAGGGTACTTATGCAGTTTCCCACCCCCAGTCACTAGTAAACTAAAAAGCAAATAGGTTATTAAATACGGTTTAGGTAATGAACTAAAAATCTTTTTTTCTATTAAACAAAACATATTTTAGTGCTTTTCCGTCATCCCCCGAACTTTTTCCTGATAAATTTTTTTCCTCCCTATGCCATTGTCACCAAATCAAAATTTGCTTGACGGTGGAAAATGAGGGAAAAACAAAAATTAAATCTATCCGAAAAAGTCCACTAAAAATTCGTTGGGATAACGGCAATGTCCCAACCTAAGTGTATGTTATTAAAAAATTAAAGAAAAGAAAACCTCACTTATCAAACCGATCAGCCCAAGTTTTAAATACTTTCACACCAGAACCTTCCACACTTTCATTGAGAACAATAACATTTTCTTTGTTGATAAACTTAAAAATTGTTGAAATTTTTAATATTTTTTAGTTGTTTAATCACTTTATCCATTGTGTAATGCATTCCCTGTTGATGATACTCAAAATTTGTGGCTATATTTGAACAATGCCCACCATGATGTCCGTGTCCATGCCCGTCCATTTTTTTACAAGAGATCCTTTTTATAATTCTAAACAAAGAAAAGTTAAAAAAAAAGTTTTTAGAAGAACAGAAAAAATTTTAAAAAATTATTTTGATAAAATTTTCTGAAAGTGGACAGTTCAACTTATTGCGAATTGAATTGCGAATATTTAATTGCGAACTGCAAATAATACAGTAATCTATTAAAATGACATTAGATCCCATATTTTTCTTGGGTACAGCCCAAAACGGCGCGCAGCCATAACGGCGCAAAGCCATAACTTGCTTCAGGATTTCCGAATCTTTCAAAATTTAGTATTAAACGATTCCTCTCATCGAGATAAAGAGATTGTTCAAAATTGATAAGGGCCAGAGATTTTCCAGCAAGTTATGGCTTTACGCCGTTATGGCCGCGCGCCTACTTGGGCGTGTCCCATTTTCTTAATTGATTTCTTTTTCCTATTATTCTTGCTTTTGCTACTAGAATCTTTTGTTTTTTGTAAAAATTTGCAAAAGTGTTTAAATTATAGTTTTTTAACTGTTTAGGATATTTTATTCAAAAATTATGATCACTCGAAGCAAAGCCAAACAACAAAATATTCAAGATCAGCAAAATTTGACTAAAGAAAATAATCAAAAGGTTTTTAATTTATTTAGCTTGATGAATGTAGAATTTTAAAATTTAGACAAATCAACAGCCAGGCAATCAAAACAACCAACAAACAGGACAAACCTCTCGTGGAAACAACCAACAACAACCTGCTCTAAATCCAGTCAAAACTAACAATAAGGTTTTATTTTTTAAGTGTTTTGTCACAGATCGGTATGGGTCTACTTCCTTGACTCGATTTTCGGCCCTATCCCAAAATAAGGGCAGAATCGTTTTTTTATTACCTGAAAGGAAAAGAAAAATTGAAAGGAAAATGGAGAAAAATGGAGACGAACGGACTCGGACAGACAAAACACGGACGTGCTTGGGTCAGATAAGGCACGGACGGAATCGAACAGACGTCCGTATTTTGTCTGACCCGAATCTGTCCGAGTTTTGTCTGTCCGAGTCCGTTCGTCTCCATTTTTCTTTTCCATTTTTCTCCATTTTTCTTTTTCATTTTTCTCCATTTTCCTTTCACTTTTTGCTTTCCTTTCAGGTAATGAAAAAAACGATTCCGCCCTTATTTTGAGATAGGGCTCGATTTTCTGTATATAGAATGGATTTTTTATTGTTCTTTGATTTTTCTTAACTCAAGGTCAAGGTCCTTAACTAAAGTCGAGGGTTTTTTAGAATTTCCTATCTCTAGTTCTTGTATATTTTTTAGTCAACTCTCATATCTTCATTTTTATTTTTTCTATCGATTTATTTTTTAGGAACGTACAGACCATGCTGGAATTCCAACGATTGGGGAAATCAGCAAATGTTTAATTTGTTGTCATCGTTCCGATCTTTTTGGACTTGGGGAGTGTATGCATCCGGTTTATTTTTTGTTTTAATTGGGAATGTTTCTAATTTATTTTATAGATTTGTATGGAATGTTCACTGCGTATCCGGGTGTTTGGAGAAAAAAAACAATGCCCACAATGTCAGACTGATATCCCTATTGTATTTTTTTATTATTTATTTTGTGTTATTTTACTGTTAAACAGTGTGTTTTAGAGGCCAATCTCGGCTAGGGTATCGCTTATCAACCCATCAAAAAACATTTGTCATGTTTAAAATGATACGAGATACCTAAAAAGTGCCAATACGGATAGCAAGCTTTTTCCCCCAGATTTTCAGACCCTTAAAACTTGAAAACCCGTCGCGAGGACCAAGCCGTTTTTTGGGGTTATTCGAATCTGAAAGTACTAGCTTATTCGAAAGAGCTCATCTGATATTTCTCTCTTAATCAGAGCATTTTATTGCATTATAAACATGTTTTTTCATGGGGTAATGAGCGATACCTTTACTCTGATCTGGATTTTTTATTTTTTCTTTCTGCATCTTTATTTTCCGAATCCATAGACAGGCTCATTTTTTGTATTTTTTGATCGTAGTTTAGCTTTTTTATTGATTTACCCCATTGCTTTTCGCCTTTATAATTTTCCTTTCAATTTTTCAGCTTTACTATGTATCTGCTCCTCAAGGTCAAAAACATCTTTTAAAACTCCCAACAAATTGTATTGACCATGTCGAATATGAAGCTAAATTTTCTGTCCGTTTTGATTCAAAATATGGCTTGGAATGCTTTGATTCTTTTTTGGATAAACGTCGCAAGGAATGTGTTGAGAGGTTTTTTTGGCTTTCGGTTGTCGAGCTTATCTTTTCTATTTTAGACTAAATGAATGGGTCTTTTTTGACCCAACTAAGAAAAGCAAAACTAGCATCATACACGGCCAATTCAAATATATTTTTAGAAAAAACGGAATTTGGCGCTGCTCCAAGAACCCAATTAAGGTGTATAAATGCAATGCTTATCTAAGAGAATTTCAAAAAAATTACATTTTGTGTGCTGATCACACGTGCGATTTGGTAAGTTTTCTGTGGTATAAATCGTATTCATACATTAAAAATGTTGGGGAAATTTTTTTATTTTTTTGAGAAATTTTAACTTTTTGTTCAATTTTTCGAATCCAAAATTTCATGCACAAATTTTGGGTGTGCCTCCCTCTCCTTTTGAGATCCAACCTCTTTTGCTACTAATGTTTAAAATTAAACGTTGTTGAAGTCCGGGGACCTTTGAATTATTTTCTTTGTAACTTTTTTGATAATAATTTTAACATTTTAAAGATAGAACGATGGGAATGTGTTGATAGATATGCTCCACCAAATCTTGGAATGAAAAATTGTATGTTTTTTTTTAATTTTTGAAAAAAGTTTTGCGGCACTTATGCCTCTCCCTCGACCCATTTTGTGTTAAAGTTGATAGGTTTAAAAAGCCCTAGCGACCGTCAAATGGGACCATTCTGAATTAAAAACAAAAATTTTTCAAAATTAAAAAACCTTGAAGTTTCAAAACCAAGGAATCGGTCGCGCCTAATCGGCCCGCGCCTAATCGGGTTGTACCCTTTTTTAGATATTTTGGTGATACGGCTGTACGACAATTTCGGATACACAATTGCGTATGCGACAATTCATGACGACGATTGCGATATAGAATTTTTTAAAAATTTACGATTTTTTTAAATTTTTGTGTCGCCTCAGTCACGAAATGATTTGGAAACCGTCATAATTCGGTAACTGACAGCCGGGACTAAATAACTTGATAATATTTTGATAATTTTACAAAAATCACCAAGAGAGCACTAAATGTTAAATCCCAATCGTTGCATCGTAGTTGTGTATCCGCAATTGTCGTACCGCCTTTAATACCGCGTTTTGTCCGACCTTATTTTTTCTGTTCGTGTCTTTTCCTTAATACATTTTGGCCTGTCACTTGTATAATCGAGAGTTTTTAACTCAACATTCTGACAATTTTTTACTCTGTAACCTAGTGTTTTTCCAAATTTTAGCAGGTAAACGTGTTTTTATGGCTTGGGCTGATGGTCCAGGATTGACTGTTGGTGTACTTGGCAGCCCTAATAAATTTACTGTTGGCTATACAAAGAATTTGGGTGGGGGAAAATTAACCGTATTAATTGATGGAACCAAAAAGGCTGAAGTTCGAACTGTACATCATCTAAACGAAAACAATTATCAAGTCGAGTTCGTTTTTTTTTCGCTTATACTAATTTTGATAACAATTTCTAAAACTTTCCAATTCAGATACACAGTCCAATCACCTGGTTTTTACACAATCAATGTCAATTTTATTGGTACTCCGATTTTCGGATCACCTTTTGAAGTATATAATATTTATAGATTTAATTAAGTTTAATTTTTTAGGTCTTTGTCAACCGCTGCTCCAGCATTCCTTCCACCTCTACAGCAATTGAAGAACAACATTATGATTATTTGCCAGTGAGTAGTAGTAAAATTGTTTTTCTAATACTTAATTTCGTGGCGCGAACTTTGCGGAACAGCATTTCGCGGATTCGAATTTTGCGTACTTGAAATTTAATAAACCACATTAGTAGTTACCCCCCCGCAATTTGTTGCACAGGTGTGCAACAAATTGGAGGCGGAATTTTGAAACATCAAAGGGAAACCCAAGGGTGTAGGGGGTTTCCCGGACCCATCCTCATCAATTTGTCGGCATGATCAAAGGGTTTGGGTCATTAATTTGGGAAGGTACAAGATAAGTGACAGGTTTTGATTGATGGGTACAAGTGTTTGATTGATGATGACAAGTGACAGGATTTGATTGATTGGGACAAGGTACCACCAAAACGTTGCACGTTGTGCAACATTTTGGTGGGTACCAAAACGTTGCACGTTGTGCAACATTTTGGTGGATGAAGTCGGGATCAAAGGAAACCAAAGGGTGTGGGGTACTTTCAGGTTCCCGGTGTGTCAGATTTGATTGACAGGTACAAGTACAAGGTACTTGTACCTTGTACTTGTACAAGGTACAAGTGTTTGATTGATGGGTGACAGGTGATTAAGTTGATTGATACCTGTACAAGGTTTCAATCCCAGACTGAAAGTCTGGGGCTGAAACCTGGAATTTCAGTCTGGGACTGAAAAAATGTTGGGGGGCAGGGGTCCGGGGTACGGTAGAATTAAAAATAATAAAAATTAAAAAATATATTAAATAAAAAATAAAAATTACTGGGAGAAATAAAATTTACAAAATTTTATAAAAAAATTAAAATGATTTGGAAAAAAGGGCGGAAGTCAGAATGTAAGGGGGAGTTACCAATTATTTCGAAACATACAAGATCTTATCTAATTGACTGATGATTAATGAGTCTGGGGCTGAGATATTTGAGTCTGAGATTTTCAATCTGGGACTGAAATTTTTGAGTCTGGGAATTTCAGTCTGGGACTGAAATATATGGGTTTGGGAATTTTAGTCTGTGACTGAAAATTTGCTGGGGCAGGGGTCCGGGGTACGGTAAAATTAAAAATAATTAAAATTAGAAATATTAATTAAATAAAAATAATAGGGAGAAATAAAATTTAAAAATTTTACAAAAAAATAAAAATGATTTGCAAAAAAGGGCGGAAGTCAGAATGTAAGGGGGTTCAACCAATTATTTCGAAACATCTCAAGATCTTATCTAATAGATGATTAATGAGTTTTTGAGGCTCAAATTTTGTAGCCGACAGAGTTTGGATAATTTATAAATGACCTTGAAGGTTACGAAATAAGGAAAAGCTAACTTATTAAAAAATTACCCTTTATCTCAAGATCTTATCTAATAACTGTCTGATGATTAATGAGTTTTTGGGCAGACAAATTTTGAGCGGGAAAATTTTTTTAATAAAATGACCTTCAATTTTATGAAATAAGGTAAAGTAAGTTATTAAAAAATTTTTTCCTTTTATCTCAAGATCTTATCTGACAGATTGATGATTATGAGTTGTAGAGGGAACAAATTTTACCAGTTCCGCATCACGTGACCTTGACAAAAAATATTTCGTAATCACCCATCCGCCTGAAACGAGGAGTATAAAAGGCGAGGTTTTTTGTCATTCTTAACCATTTGTCTCAAAAACAAAAACAAAACGCTCTCTTCAATTAAAAATTAAAAATCAAAAATGGCATTTAATAACGGACAAACTGCACCTGCCAATAAGCGCGCTAGATTCCTCATCCGCGATATCCTTCCTCATTTATTCAATGACGTACAAAGCGGTGCGGGTGCAAATACCCTAAAAAATTATTACCGACAAATCGATTATGAAACTGACTACAGCAGCAAATTTAAAATGATGAAAACAACTGGAAAATTTATAATAGAAAAAATACCTGAGAATCCGGAGGAATTGCTTCGAGAAATAATACAACAATGTATGGATAAAACAGTTGAAGAAGCAAAAAATAAATCAATAGAACCTGAATGCCTGGGGGCATTAATTTCGTCACAGCTATTAGACAGCGACATATGGATTCCTATAAGAAAAATTGAAAATGATACGATCGACAACATACTTAATCGTTTCCAGCTTGTTTCACAATCAAAGATAGAAAAAGGCTCTCTTATTGGGCAACCATTCACAATAGCAATTCAAACACTTGGAATCTCCTCTCTTCCAAGAACAAAATCAATTAGAGGCCGCGCACCGCAAATATTAGCAACAAGTAATCTACAAATAAATAGCCCCTGCCTAATAAAAATCGATAACCCCAACAACTTATGCCTCTTCTATGCATTGGAAATAGCAAGAAAATATTTTACTAAAGAACTGGGTGCGCGTTGGAATTTTACAAGATACATGCAAAATAAAAAGAGACAAATGGAAGATGTTTTTAATCTTTTGATTTCAGCAAAAATCCCCCAAAATCTCCTCGAATATGATGCTGTGGAATTTGTACCAACTGTTGTAGATTTTTGGAACAACAAATATAATGATTCTGGGTTCAAATTCAAGGTATTTATATTTGGAAACGACAACGAAAAGCCAAAATTTACTTATGGAAATGAAAATTTCAACATGCCTATTACAATTCTTCACACAAACAACCATTTTGACGCAATAAGAAATGTTGGAGGAATGTTTGGATCAGGGGCAAAATATTGCTTTACGTGTGAAAAGAAGTTTAGGAAATCAAAGGAACATGATTTGAGATGCAAATCTCTTTGCCGATTTTGTGGGCGCATTGGCAGTGACCGACCTTGTGTTGCAACGGGAGACTTTTTCAAAAAATGTGATGAATGTGGGAAAAATATTTAAATGAAGACTGCTTCAATCATCACAAAAAAAGCAGCAATTGCCGCCAAACAAAGCAGTGTGAGAAATGTGGAGTCATCTGGTCAATGAAAAATTATAAGAGGGAGGGTGAAAAGAAACATGTTTGTGGGCAAAAGTGGTGTCAAATTTGTCGGCAATTTCACAGTATGGAAAGAGGGTGCTTTATTCGACCACTGGAACTGAAAAAACCATCACATTATCGCCTAGTAACATTTGACTTTGAAGCAACACAAAATGAAAAGATAAACGAAATTACCGAAGAAGAAAGGCGACTTCACAAAGTGAATTTCATTGCTGCAACAATAATCGATCAATCACATTTTCCCACCGGCCATTTACTCAAACAACAGTCGATCAGCAAATCGTCACAACAAACCCTCTAAAAGAATTTATTGATTGGATCCTGTTTAAACTTAACCCTCAATATACAACTGTGGCATTTTCACACAATGGAGGGCGCTATGATATGATTATGGTCTTCAAAGAAATTTATTCAAAAGGAGTTGTTCCATCAATGATTCGTCGCGGTAATAAACTTTACGAACTGAAAATTCCCCGCAACAATAAATGCAATGAAGTTATATTCCGAGACTCTTTTAACCTCTGTCCAGTTGCCTTGGGGAAGCTGGTTGGTGCCTTTGGACTACAAATTACAGAAAAACAATTTTTCCCGCATTTGGCAAATATTCCTGAAAATTACAATAAAATATTACCGCAACTGCCTTCAAAATCCGATTACCTTTATGGAGGAATGTCACCTGAGAAACAAAATGAATTTGACAAATGGTATGAAGAAGAAAAAAATAAACAATTTTGCTTGGATGAAGCCTTGGCCGAATACTGCACAAACGATGTCCAAATACTCACAGAAGCACTGATTGCATTCAGGAAAAAATTCACAGAGATTAGCAAACCAAAAAATGGCAAGTCTGGGCCAGCAGCAGAAGGAATAGATATTTTGAAGGATGCAATGACAATAGCATCGGCCTGCATGAAACATTTTCGTCTGAATCATCTTCAACCTAGAACAATCTCATTTCACCAATATTATAAACAACGCGATTTTGGACGCCGAAGAAATCAAGTCTAAATCAAAAAGAGTTGTTATTGAACGGGCCCCTGAAAATGTTGACATCACTTCTTTAGTTAAAAAAATTGCTTCTGATTGTGGAGTCTCTTCTGATCTTTTGGAAAATGACATTCATCGACATCCATCTCGTGAGTTATCAAATGATATAAATAAGAAACCAAGAATTGTCAAAATCCCATTTAACAATAAAAAATCTAGGGATATTTTTCTTTATAATTTTCGTAAATGTCTTAAGCAAAATCCATCTTTACCGCAGTTTTTAACTGCTAGACGTGATATGACTCGAAACGAATTAAATATTTTGTATAACTTGCGTAAGCAAGCATTTTCTATGAATCAGGTCGAGAACATGTTTAAGTACATTGTTGTCGATCTGTCAATCATTACACTTAAAAAACCACAACCGCTCAAGGCAACTAAAAATAAATAGGGGCACGCAGGCAAACCACAAACAAAAATAACAAACGGGAATATTTGCTCATATAGATGTATATTATTTAATTCTAGATCGCTTGCTAATAAAATACCAGATTTAAATTACCTAATTGAAAATTCTAAACCAGAGCTCATATTAATCAATGAAACATGGCTCAAAACAGATAATATAATAAATTCTGAACTATCATATAGGGGTAATTATGAAGTCATATTAGCTAATAGAATAGAAAAAAGAGGTGGAGGATCGGCAATCCTAGTAAAAAATAACATACCTTTTAAAATCATTTTCTCTGGCTCTAAATTTCAATCAGAGATTGTACATATAAAATTATTGCTTGAAAAAGAAATTAACATCATAAACATTTACCGACCACCAAATAGTTCAATTCTTAATACAAAAAAGTTATTTAAATTCCTTCTAAATCAAATCAATCAAAAAACTATATTATGTGGAGATTTCAACATTAGACACATAAATTGGGATTCCAACGAAATAATTGACAATTATGACAAGATCGCGAATATTTTTATAGAGTTTATAGGTCAGAATCAATTAAACCAACTTGTTACTGAACCAACTAGGGAAAATTCAATCCTTGACCTAGTACTTACATCTGATTCCGGTATTGTTAGAACTATTAAAGTTAGAGAGAATTTTTCAACTTCCGATCACAAAATGATAGAGTTTGAGCTAAATTATCGTGTTAAAATTATAAGGAAGCCCAAG